TTACTAAATGTATGTTAACAAAAAAAACCCTCAAATGATCTAGACAAAAGCTTTTAGCGCAACACATAATTGCATGAAAATTACAATAATTGTACCAATTAAAATAATCTTGAATGAACAGTATGTCATCTTAATGTTCCAATGGCTTATAGAGGGATCTACTTAATTAGCTGAAATTGCTTTCCAGTGTTAGTATCAAATGTCATTTGTTAAAAGTTGAACAATTTAGAAAATAATTTAACAAAGCAATTTCACCAAACACCAAGAACCAACATTTTCTTTTTCAGCTGAATAAAGCAAGCAGATGTGTCATCAAATCTCTATAAAAATAAATGAGGCTTTTTATGGATTAAAAAAATAAATTTTACTACCAGCGTTAAAAATACTATTTTCTGTTTTTACCAAATCAGATTTCTTTAATAAAATAAATGAATATCAATTATACACTGCTGCTTTTTGTCTGCTGTAAATAAAACTTTTTATTATTCAAATGACAAGCAATAGCATCAAAGAACTCAACTATGGTTAACTTGAGACAGTCATTTAACTCTTCCAACCTATCCCAATATATGATTTTTCAATATGGTAACCAAATTGGTTTTCCTATAGTTTAAATTTCAAATCATCTTACTAAATTTTATTACTTTAAGTCAACTCCTTAATGAATACTCAAAGATACTTACTAAATTGCCTTTTTATCTTCCTTAGACTAGCTATAAAATATTCTTATATTTCTATGCATATAAAATATAGTTGCACCTCAGGAAAAAAAATAGGCATCTTGAAATCACCCAGAATCCAGCCCATTGTAGACCAAGGCTGAAGTCTCAGACACCGGGCTAGGGTAATAGCAAAGCAAAGCTCTCATCACCTCAGTACACCTCCAACATACAATATCCTGTATCTACTGCTGTTCATGTTACACTGAAAGAGGGAGAGAGCAAGTGCAGGCGGCAACACAAACAAAGCTAGGCCTTGACACCGAAGACGGTGAACACATGGATGGCTACTCCTTGCACTGCACTTACTCTGGAACTTTTTTCTAAGTTTGAAAGAATGTTCAAGTAGAACAAACAATTTAATTAAAAGATATATGAGTTCCCCAAGGGTATAAGGTACTTTTTATGTTTGTCCCTGTATGCACCTGCAACTTCCCCAACCCCCCATTTTCTGCACTACACGAAAGCATACAAGACAACCATATAAGCCACGGCCCTGGTAAAAGAATGTCACCCTAAATATACATTAAGTGAAGGGCCTCCCCTGGTGGCACAGCAGTTGAGCGCTGGGCTGAGAAGCTGCCTGCAGCCTCTGCAGCACCGGTTCAATCCCTGGCCAATGGCAAGGATCCCACATGGCACGCAGACCTCTCCTGCCGCCCGCTGCTCCCCTCAGCAGTGTACCTCACTCCTTCTGCCTGTTCTGCTCCCCGCTCTGGCTCTGGTGAATTCTCTTACCCTCCCGCGCTTCTGACTGTACCCAGTGCTTGTATAAATAAATAAATAAATAAATAAATAAATAAATAAATAAATCTTTTTAAAAATTTAAAAAAAAAATCTAAAAATAGCATTGCACAAATAAAGTATCTTGTTATAAAAAAATACATACATTAAGTGAAGAAAATTAACTAGAATCAATACATAAAAATCAAGGAAAGCCACTAGGTCTTTGCACTTCTACATTTTGGTTTAAGAAAAGTCAGTGTTTCAGAGAGACATGTCCTATCTTCCAATGATAATATCTAAAAGGAAATCAAATTACTCTTCATCCTTTTTATATCTTTTGTTTTCCTGCCACCTCTCAGCAAAAGACTAAATAGAAAACTAAACTCTTTCCAAAACGCAGCCTGCTGGTAAGCAGAAAGCCCATCTTCATACCAACATGCTACAGAGACACAGACACACACACTTTTCAGTTTCAGGTGGCGCGTGTGTAAAGGTTACTAGAATCGCATGAGTGCACCAAGGAGTACAGCTCTTAAATTCATTCATTTAAACTATGTCCTTAAGTTAAAAGGTTAAAAAGCAAAGAATATTTATTAAACGATCCGTGTGAAGAACAACAGGGAAGGGAGGAGGGGAGAACTGTAAGAAGCACCGTGCCAGGGGCCTTCATTTTTGGGACCCTCATCTCTTTTTATTTGTTCAAATCACAGCATGTATCAACCTATACTTTTTTTTTTTTTTTTTTAAGATTTATTTATTTATTTATACAAGCACTGGGTACAGTCAGAAGCATGGGAGGGTGAGAGAATTCACCAGAGCCAGAGCGGAAAGCAGAACAGGCAGACTGACAAGTACACTGCTGAGGGGAGCAGCGGGCGGCAAGAGAGATCTGCACGCCACGTGGGACCCTCACCCAGTGGCCGGGGATCGAACTGGTGCTGCAGAGGCTACATGGCAGCTTTGCAACCCAGCACTCAACCGCTGCACCATGGGGGAGGCCCTCAACCTATACTTTAATGACTTAACTGTAGTGCTTCCATTGCTTTAAATTTTTTTTAAATTTTCAACCCATTGATAAGTTGAAAGAACAGAACACAAACACACTTCCCTAGATCCACAACTGTTCAAATACATCTTGATACACCTGATCTCACATCTTCCCTGTGTAAATATGTATGAGTGTGTGTGTGTGTGTGTGTGTGCACACTTACATGTGTCTGCACACAAACCATCTGAAAGTGCCTCTAATGCCCCTGAAATGTCCTCAGTGCTCCCCTTTCCTTCTGACGAGATTCCAATCAGAGCTCTTGTCCTGCACTTGGCGCCTCCGACTCTCAATCCTCCCTAGCAGCCAATGAGTCGTCCTGGAGAATGTCCCACAGTTTGCAGTCATCTGGCTGTTTCCTCATGAAGAGACTTGTAGTAAAATACAATATCACACAGGTGCTACCCTCTACTGCACTGCCCAGAGACACTCCATGCGCGACGCTCTCCATCCCATGAGGTGAGTGATGACTTCAGGCCTGACCATCTGATTAAGAATGTGTGGAAGCCCAGTGCTAAGCGCAAGTATAAGTGTAACATCTTGTTCCCTAGCCTCCCCAGCACCCCCCGCAGTGGTTTTTATTTTTTTATGCATAGAACAAATAGGGTGCAGGCCAGAGGTGCTGGTGGGGGCAGGGGTAGTGAGAAGACTCACCAGAGACAGAGTGGGGAGCAGAACAGGTAGATCCACTGAATTCCACTGCTGAGGGGAGGAGCAGGGAGATAGGAGAGGTCTGCTGCACCCTGTGGGTCAGCTCCCTGGCCACCAGGGCAATAGTGCTGGGACTTAACCCCTGCGCCACCAGGGAGGTCCCCTGCCAGTGCAAGCATTGCTGAGCCCTGCGTGAATCTTGTTATACTCGGGGTTTTAAAAAGGTGATTTTTGGGCCTCCCCTAGTGGTGCAGTGTTTGAGCGCTGGGCTGTGAGGCTGCCCGCGGCCTCTGCAGTGCCAGTTCGATCCCTGGCCACAGGCGAGGGTCCCACATGGCGCACAGACCTCTCCTGTCTCGCCCGCTGCTCCCCTCAGCAGTGTTTTTCGTCGGTCTGCCTCTTCTGTTCCCTGCTCTGGCTCTGGTGAATTCTCTCACCCTCCCACACTTCTGACTGTATCCAACGCTTGTATAAATAAATAAATCTTTAAAAAGGTGATTTTTCTAGTTCAATACCTTCTTTCCACAAATTTTAATTGACCTTTGCCTATGATTTAAAAACAAACAACTGTTTTGCTCCTATGATCAATACTATTTAAATAAAAAAATTTTAAAAATAAAGCCAGTTTATCTAGCAAACATTCATCATCACGTAAGCCTGTGTTGTGATGCACACTTACTCATGAAGTAAATGACACTGCACAGCCCAGAGAAACGCAAGCATGTGCTGCCCTGAGGCAGCAGCGGCTGCAGCGTCGCTGCTGGGGAGGCAGGTGCCTCTCTGTGCCTCAGCGCCACTGTGGGGCTGCTCCGCCACCATCTATGGGCCCTCCTTGATACAGCACAGTGTGAACAACTGGTTCATTTAGTATCTGTTAGAGCAAAACCCCAGGAGAGCACAAATCCACAGACGAGTGCTCCAGCCATCTCTTTAGTTCTAAAATGAGTCCCTCACCTGGACATATTAACTAATAGACAAACGTGAAGAATGGCAATTAGAAAACAGGGGAAATTACCTGCTGACAATACTCTAAGAAATACTATTTGAAATCTTACAAGTTTTAAGATAGGAATTACACACTGAAAGCTCTGTTAGATTTACTATTTCATTTATAGATTTAAAACAACAGTTTTATAACATTGCAAAGTTCCTTATATTATTTTCCTCTAAGAAGAGAGCTTATTTAGAGTAGCAAGTGATGAAAACATTGAAGGTATTAAGTGTTCTGATAAACAAAAAGAACTATCATTTTATTTGAGAATTTGACAACAAATTGGTAACTTATCACTATATATTTGACATTTCACTAAGTCTTAACTGCATGTCTTTCAAGAGAAAAATATCAACTTTATCAGAAGCAAAAATTTTTAAAGTACTTTCCATGGCTGACTATAAAAGGAAAATAAATCCCTTATCATTTAATGTAAGCAGTCTTTTCCTCCAGTACTCAGCTTCTCAGTTCACCAGCTACAAGTTGTGAGACTATCTGCACCAGTGATTTGTGGAAACACCCCCTCTTAACAGTCTATGAAGGCAGAGAATAAAAAATAAAATGGCAACAAGTAATTATGTTTTAATGTTTACATTTCATATTTATAAATACATAGAGTCAATCTGACTGTTAAGTCAACATTTTTATCATATAGGTTATTCTGGAAAAAGGAAGAATATATCCAAATAAAGCTGAACATTTTTACCCTCTGCTAACACAACTCTAAGTTATAATAGAGTCGATGAGAATGAGCAACCAAATGCACTTTATACAGACTAATTTATATTCACTTTGCTTTAAATGCTTTAACTTCTCTCTGAAAAGTCAATCTAAGGTAAAGTTATATAAAAGAGCTGAGACAGAGTACCTTTCATAGATGGTTTTTAGCGTCATCTGATCTGGGATGCCTTCTGTCTCTTCCAAATATAATATAAGCCAGGACGTCCTGTAAGGCCACTGCTCGGTCAGGTTGATCCAGCTAGCAAGTCTGTCCCAGTTAAAACTGATCTGATTGGCTCTCAATAATCTCCCTTTAAGGAACACAAAAACATTTAAAAATTACTATATAATAATGTTAAGCAAGGAATTAAAATGTACTTACAACATTGACAATCTATTTCTTGAACTTTTAAGCATAAAAAGCATAAAAAAACTTAGAAATTAATTGGAGACAAATTACAATTATGTTGTAATGTAATTAGATTATGTGTTAAGGTTTGCATTTCCTATCTATAAATATGATGATTAAGTCAACATTTTTATTATATAGGTTATACTGGAAAAAGGAGGAATATATCCAAATAAAGCTGAACATTGTTACGAGATGGGACTGTATCTGTGCTAACTTAACTCTAAGTTCTAATAGATTCGAGGAGAATGAGTAACGTATTTAATAATGTGAATACACTACATTATGTATGTAATTATGTTGATATGTACTAATTTTAATCCCATGACTGGGTTAGTCCCAGAGATCAGTGGTGGCAAGCCGTGATGACATCTAATCTAACTTTGTGCTGTGCTTAAAACCCACTCATTCAGCTTATTAGCTACTGACGGCAGAGACAGAAGCCCTAGCGCCCGGCCTGGAAGAACTCGAGTAGCCTGGAGTGGTGGGTAAGTCCGAAGCCCACTGTCACAGGTGAGATGTGGCTGTGCTGTCAGGAACTGGCACATGGACGCCACATCTAGAAGCAGCAGTTAGGGGAGTGTTTCCTTAAGGCTATAAACACCAGCATCCGGTAAGCTCTGCAGGGTGAACGCCGGCCAGGGCAGTGAGGGGGCTGAGGCCAGGAGGGAGGAGAGGCAGGACCTTCCCACAAGAGAGCAGCAAATGCAAAGTCGTGAACTCAAGAAACAAACTGAAAAAGAGAATTGGGAAACCATCTCGAAAGTGTAAGTGAATGGGAATGAGGAAAGTATTCTAAGCACTCTAGCATAGACTAGTTAAGAAACAAAGTACCAAGAGAAATATTTCCCCAAAGAATGCATCTAATATTATTTTTTAGTTTTAATCTCCAAAAACACCCCAAAGAAAAACAACCTGTAAAGAAACACAACTGATAAAATAAAGCACAGTTTTAAAGTAAGAAACCTCTTAACTACCCACCAACATTTCATCTACTAAAATGCAAAATTATTTTCTGATATTAGTTCTATCTATTGTATGATTTTCCTAAAAAGAGCAACAGACTACACACATTTTGACATACAAAATAATAGGGACTACTGATTAATTAACATGTCCAAGCCTCAAATCCAAGTCTTTCGCCTTCAAATTCTTTCCAAATAAATTACTCATCTATTTATAAAAATAAAATAAAATGTAGTTTCCTACATACATCTAAGTAATGTTACCCAATTAAATGAAAATTTACTGTAAAAACTAGCAAAAATCCATTTAAATACAAAGGCTTAAATCTGTAAGTAATTTTTCAGCATAAGCCTTTAATTTTAAGCAAACCTAGGACACTGAGGTGCTTTTATAAAATGGTTACTTAGAAATCTTTCATTTTCAGGCAAAGCTGTATTTGACAAAACTTAAAAATATTTCTGATATAACAATCTAGAAAGACTGCTATATAGTTAAAAACTAATATTAGGGAAATTCTTACATTTAAAATGAGCTTTTAGGAAAATACTTTGGTTCTACTCTATAATACCTAATCATTTTTAAAACATCATTTTTAATATATCTCAATAACAACTATTAAATGACATTAATTTGGTCATTGTTAGGATGCCTTAAAATGTCCAAATATAATGCAACATCCTTATTATGCATGTGGGGCCTTTAAGACCCCAATAAACGGGCCCTATCTGCCCCCTGTGCTCCCCAGACTCCAGCCAGCCTGGCCTCCACTGTCCCTGGCACAGCACTGACTCTTGCTCTTCCTTCTGCCTCTCCTAAGAAACTGTAAAATTCACTCCCACTTCATTCAAGTCTGACTCACTGGACAACAGTGTCCTGGTCCCTGTTTTGGGCACTGAGGAAAGAGAAAGTGAACACAGCAGAGAGCCTGGCGTGGTGGGCCTTACACTCTACTGAGACACAAAAACCAAAAAAAAAGTAACCGAGTGAGTGCCACAGAGGCGATCTGTTCCGTGGAGTAAATTAAAGCAGCAATGTGTTGAAAATCAAAGAGGGAGCTCTGATTTTTATAAGATAATGCAGGAAAGGCTCAGAGAGAAGCTGCCATTAAGGAAAGCCTTCGAGGAGGCGCTTTCGGAAGCTCAGGATGCAAAGGGTCGTTCCAGGCAGAAGGGGCAACTACAGTCCCTGGGTGGGAAGACACTGGGCTTTCAGGACACAGCAGAGGTGGGTTAAGGGTGGAGGACAGTAACAGCCGATGAGGCCAAAGGTAGGGACACTGATCAAAAAAGGCCTTATCAGGGCCTCCCTGGTGGCGCAGCGGTTGAGTGCTGGGTTGCAAAGCTGCCCGTAGCCTCTGCAGCGCCGGTTCGATCCCCGACCGCCAGGCGAGGGTCCTACATGGCGCGCAGACCTCTCCTGCCGCCTGCTGCTGCCTTCAGCAGTGTACTCTGTCACTCTGCCTGTTCTACTCTCCGCTCTGACTCTGGTGAATTCTCTCACCCTCCCGTGCCTTTGACTGTACCCAGTGCTTGTATAAATAAATAAATAAATAAATCTTAAAAAAAAAAAAAAAAAAAAAAGGGCCTTGTCAGCTGTGCGCAGCCTCTGCAGTGCTGGCTCGATCCCGGCCAGCCAGGGAGATACCCACAAGCCAGGAGATACCTCTCCTGTCTCACCCGCTGCTCCCCTCAGCAGTGTTCGGTTGTCTGCCTGTTCTGCTCCCCTGCTCTGTCTCTGGTGAATCCTCTCACCCTCCCACACCTCTCCTGTACCCCAGCTCTTGTATAAATACATAAATCTTTAAAAAAAAAAAAAAAAAAAAGAAAAGGGCCTTGTCAGAGACTGCCCGGGTTAAGTTTCCTTTTCAGTGAAATGGGAACACACAGTAGAGTTCTGAGCAAAGAAACAACATGATTGACGTCTATTTTAACAAGATCGCTGCAGCTGCCACGGAGAACAGGCTGCAGAGGAAACAAAGGGTGGAACACTTAGGAGGCCCTGCGGTCATTACTGCAGAGGGGACATGACAATGCTCCGGGTAAGGAAAACATACCAGCAATGGTCAGAAGTGGTCAGATTCTGGATACAGTCTGAAGACACAGTTAAAGAAAATATTTGCAAATCATATATATCGGATAAGAGATTAATATTCAGGATATACTGAGAACTAAAGCTCAACTTGAAAAAAAAAATTTAATTGGCAAAAACCTACATGACACACCTCCAAAGAAGATAGAGATGGCCAACAGGCATGTGAAAAGATGCTCAACATCTCGAATAATGGGGGAAATGAAAATTAAAGCTACGAGATACCACTTCATACCCATTTGGAACTACTACAAAAACCAAAAACAAAACCAGAAATCAAGTGCTGGGTAAACTAGATATTATGCAAAAGAAGGACGGCGGAGCCTTCCCTAGCACTATACATGCAGAATGCAACATGTTCGAGAAGCTAAGTGTAAGACTTAAAACAATAAAACTCTTAAGAGACCACACAGGCCAAAAACCTCACAACCATAGACTGGGAACGAGTCCTTGTACACGCCGCTGGGGAGGAGCGGGCATTAAAAGAAAAAACAGACAAATTGAGCTTCATGAGGTTTTAAAATTTTATACCTCAAAAGACACTATCCACAGAATAGAAGGCAACCCACAGAATGGATAAGCAAATGCTCTAAGTACATACAATGGACTATTACTGAGGTGTAAAGAGGAAGGAAATTCTGCACACTACAACACGAAGACATTATGCTTCATGACATAAGTCAGTTACAAAAAGGCAAATGCCATGATTGCACTGATCTGAAGCGCTGTAGCAGCCAAAATCACGCCAGCAGAAACTACAGTGGCAGCTGCCCATAGCCGGGAGGACAGGGGAAGGGGAGTCTTGCTGAGCTGCTATAGAGTTTCAGTTTTATAAAAAGAAAAGCGCTCTGGGGATGGAGGTGTGATGGCAGCACAAGAATGTGCACGTATTTATGTCACTGAACTGTATCCTTAAAATGGCAGAGATGGTAAATTTTATCTTACATGCATTTTATTTAACACAATAAAAAAGAAAAATACATCATTTGAAACCAAAACAGAATAGCAGTGTATAAGAGCTGAATTTCAACACTTTAATTATAATCAGCTATGTGGATTAGTATAAAATTATTTTTGTACAAAGAAAAAAATAAAACCAAGAAGACATAAGAGATTTTTTAAATCACCAAGTTGTGAAAGAGCAGTGTATATCTGATGGCAGATTTCCACCGTCAAGACTAATAATGGTTCCACCAGAGAGACTCAGCGCAAATAACATGGCGTTCAGCAGAGCAAAAGGCGCACACCCAGCATGGCCTGTTCCAGAAAGTGGGCGGCCATATTAAGGTCAAAGCTCTTAGCCACTGTGACCAGTAAGAAACAAGTCACCTGTCACAGACACGATATTCAGTAATCTCCTCATGGTCTGGGGGCTTATGTCGCTGAACCAGTCCTCCGTCACCAGCAGCTTGGTGAGGTCAAAGGACATCTGCCGGGTGATGGTCCGCTGCATCTGCCTCCGGCGGTACGTGTCCTGGAAGAGGGGGCGCAGTGAGCATGGGCCATACTCCAGTTGCAGAACTTAGAGCTTTTTGAGAAGTTAATGGACATTTACTTCTAGTCAGAGAGGAATACTACATAGTAATGAAAAGTACGATTACCATTCCCGGAGGCAGAATTTTTACAGAACAAATATAAAGTAACACTAGAAGCAACTACATCCACTGCCATGGTGTAGCTGCAGACACCTTTGGATTTATAATTGGCTCACTGCCTTGAAGATTATCAGTAAGCAGAACTGTGGGAAGAAAATCCTATTCAAGTTCTTACGGGAACTCAGTATTTACAGGAATCCTGCAATAATAAAGCGAATAACCATTGTCTAATTTTAAGGATTCAGTATTTTGACTTTTAGGTTATTTTACGTGTAGCACAATTCCTCTAATTGTTCTCAACCTGCCTAGGAACCCCCACTCTTAAATTTAGTGCTAGCAGCTGCCAGCCATCATTTAACTTTGCATCCCTGCTTGTATGGAGACATCAAAATGTCACTGAAGACATGTTTTTTAAAATGTAAACTGTCCAAATTTAATGGTGGCAAATGTGAGGAACAAAACAACTCACCTGCAAGGGCCATCTTCCTGACCATAAACACGTCTGTTCAATACAAACTCCCCGTTCCCCGGGATGGGCAGGACAGAGACAACTACAGCATTTGAAAACACCCAGGTGTGGGGACGCACGGAGCCTCTATGTGGGCACAAGTGCAGACACACCTCGCAAGCGTTATGGAAGGAGGGAGGCTGTCTCGAAGAGAAAGCCACCTGGGCTAGGGAAGAGGGAGGAGCTGCTGTAAGAGTTCACAGTTATGATAGCCCAAGTTTCAGACAGCCTCTGAAACTGAAAGGAAATGCAATGATAGTTACTTTTATGACCTTCATGCAATCTGTACAAAAGCTTATTCAAGTGGTACCACCTTGGTTTTACCCAGATAATAGCAACACAAACACGCCTCAGAACAAAGGCCGCCGTACCCGTCTGTTGAGGGCTGTCTTGCTCCCGAGTTTTGTCATCTCTCCAAGGCTGTTCTGTGACACTCTTCTGTCAGCATCTTCCTGTATCCCTTAAAGAATGTTCAAGAGAGCACCATTGGTACTAAAATTCTGTTGGATAATTATTTCAAGAAACGTGAAATAACAACATTTAAAGAAGCGTCACCATAAAAACTCTAAGACTACTTCAAACCCAAAGGACTGGAGACACATGATCTGTACCTGCAGTATCCGAGCAGGGGATGTCCCCATTTGTGGTTGCAGTGACGAGAAACTTCCTCGCGTTGCTCAGCCCGCGGCTATTGAGGAAAACGGGCAAGTGGACGATGTTGCGCATGTAGTCGTGCCCGTTGATGTTTGAGTCGCGCAGCACGCTGTTGAGGTTCTGGTTTATGGCCTTTATGATGATGTGCGGGTCACTTGCAAAAATGGCGATGAACGGGCCTTTAGAAAAGAGAATCCGGACCTGCGGTAGAGGAGACGCACATGTCTAAGTTTCATTAGCCAAAGTATTAAACTATGTCTTCAAGATCTACGCTACCCTTTGGCAACTGTATTTTTAAGATAAGATTTTTTTTTTATCAAAATATTCTGTGTGAAAACAAATTTTATCAACATCTCAGTCTGTTTTGTCACCACCTGACAGTCTTTTCCACCTGACAGTGATATACCTACAAAGAAAAGAAACAAGACACCTATTTGGCGACACCTGTGACCTAGGTGCAAGGTAAGACCAGCACACCTGAGGGCCGTCTGTCCACAAGCACGAGGGACAGGTGCTCTCTCTACCTGCTACCTCTGAGGTGCCACACAGAGAGCGATGCAGACTTGGCCCTGCTGGTCCCCCACATTCACCTCTGACTCCAACCGCAAAATACCTTCAGATTTCAGAGACACTCCATCTGGGTTTTTTTCCTTACACTACAATAAGCTACAAGTGCTTACAAATGTTTGTGATAAAACATTTGCTGTGTTTCTGCATAAAGTTGGTTGTTTCCCAGCAGAACCTTCACAATAGAACCACCAGAGAAAAAAGCACCAGTCCAACTCCATTTGAGTCATTCTGGAAGTCACTCCTCTCAACTGCCCCTCTGCGGCCATTAGTTTCGGAACAGAGAGGACGCACCGTGTCCAGCATCTGGAGAACGCGGTCCTGCTCACAGGCATCCAGTCCATCAATGATGACCACCAGCCTTGTCTGATTCTGAGTGAAGCTGTCAATGGTTTTTGCCATCCTGGCCATCAATTCCACTTCACACTTAAGAACCTGTGCAAAGAAAGCGCAGAAAGCAAGGAAGACATGAAAATTAGAACAGCTTCCTAGAGCGCCTATAGGAGGTCATCTACTAGAAGAAAAGAAACCCAAAGCCAGCGTCACCGGTTGTGGTGCCACCTAAGCCTGCCCTGAGAGCATCACAGTTTACACAGAGACTTCACACGAGCTGGAGCGTTTCACCCTCACACCGACACTATGATGTAGATACCGTCACCTCCGTTTTAAAGAATAAATTGGGCTGAATGACTTACCTGCCAAGACAACATGGTCTGAATGTCAAAGGACTCAGATTTGAACACAAATCTAACTGACGCCAACTCCACACTACAACTGGCCCCAGGGGCTGCAGAAACTGTAACAGGCCCCTTTGGCTCAAAGAGCAGGACGCTATTTCATATGCGCTTATTCTACCAGGTTCTAGAGGATCCACTGCCATTAGGTAGTTTAGTAATCACCACCTGTGCAGTAACCAGCTAGCCCCTGAGTGCATTTATGAAAGTCTACTTTATGAAAGTGTGCTACTAATAGGCCTTCCTGGTGGCACAGGCGGTGGAGCGCAGTGCTGTGAAGCTGTCCGCAGCCTCTGCAGTGCCAGTTCGATCCCCGCCGGCCACGGAGCAATCCACGTGGCCCGACAAACCTCTCCTGTCTCGCCTGCTGCTCCCCTCAGCAGTGTATTTCAGACCGTCTGCCTGTTCTATTCCCCGCACTGTGAATCCTCGTACCCTTCCACACATCTGGCCTGTACCCCGGTTCTTGCATCAATAAATAAATCTTTAAAAAAAAAAAGTGTGCTATTGTTTTAGTTTTCTTCACTTTAAATGTACATTTCCGAGGTGGATTTGGAACAAAACTGAAAGGCAGCGGCTGCGGCACCGCTACAGAGCCCTCCCTGAGCCGCAGCCTCGGGCCTGTGGCGTTTTCACCTCATGCCACTTTCCAGAGCCAGTGCTTACTTTCATGAATCCTTCACTTTTCAGCTTGTGCAGTTTGGAGGCAGCATTATGGAGGCGTTTCCTTTGCGAATTCAGGAGCGAGTCCAGAACCTGCCACCACGTACGACAGTTGAGCAGGAAGGCCAGCCCCACCACAGAGGCGATGGCTATGAGGACGGCATTGACGGTCAGGTGTCTCGGGTCAACTCTGAATATAGCCAGGAGGGTGACCCCAGCAATGATGCAGCCGAAGATAAACAGGAAGATGACAAAGGATGGGAGGCAACAGGTCTTCTTCCATTTCTTCTTACCTGTAATCCGAGAGCTGGTTTTACCAATTATTTCATAGCGAGTATTTAGAAAATACTAACCATTACATCACAGCCTATGATTCTCCACCTGAGTTTGCATGCATCCTCAGTCCCACCCACGTACACAAACGCAGGAGGAGGGAAGCCCTACCCTGCGTGTCTTCAGTCTTGAACACTCGAAAGAGCCTGGTTGCCAGGAAGCCAAACTCCCGTTCACAGGCATCCGAGAGGGTGGCGATCATTTCCGCCATCGACGTCTCTCCGCCTACACTGGACAGCCTGTTGTAGTCTGTAAACAGAAACCTTGGGGGTGGGGGGAGAAGCTGTAACCTCGACGTGGGCCGTCTCTGTGTCACTCACTGCTCCATGTTTGCCTTACGTCTCTTTCGAGTGACTGTTTTTAAAACTGTGCAGGAATAGAACTTGGAACTAGGTATCCTCCATGGACAGCTTCCTTCAGAAAAGACAGTAACTAAAGCTAAATGGGCAGAGTTACATGGGAAGCCCTGATTAAAGGCAGAAGGGTTAGAAAGCCAAGCAGAGCTCAGGCAAGGGGCCCAGGTCAGGATGGAGCAAAAAGAGCCACACAGAGAAAGTTTTCTAAGCACCAGAAGAGATTAGTACCCTGGGAAAGTATTCGTCATGCCACTAAGAAATGAATGCCATTAACAGCTTCCTCATCTCCTCGAAACCAAGAGGTTGTAAAATATTCTTTTCACAGTTGTTCTTTAAAATTAACTGAATTATTTGCATTTTGAGTCTCTGGATGCTTAAGTCTGCATTTGTTCCTTTCTCCTGTCCATCTGTAACTGAAACCTCTCGGGGCAGCCGCGAAGAAGCACTGCTCTCCCAACACAGCCGGGGCTGCACTCAGCTGCTCTGCGGTCCTGTAGGGCTGTTGCGATGCTCCTGGCTTCCATGCCGTCTCATTAACTTAGTGTTCTTCTTGTTTGCTATGAAATATTTCCCCCGGTTACTTTATTCTACTGTTTTCATTTCAACTTTTCATTTTTAAATCCTCTTCTTAATAGATAATCCTAACATAAGCTTTTATCTTTATTTTTCCCTCTTATATTCAAAGTTTTGATGTTTTCTCTGGCTTGGTTTATTTGTTTTCATCTTAAATTACATATTTTTTAATCTATAATTTTTTAATTCTTAATTTTTAGTATACATTTAATTATTCTGCTAATTCTTATGAATTCCTTTTGCACTAATTTTCTTAACTTGGCTGTTTTTTTCTTTCATTTTACTTCCCCTAGAGCCCTCTACCTTTTCTGTATTCTTTGCTGACATGCACTCCACATTTTCTAAATGGTTCTGGCATACGTTTCCTATCGGAGATTAATAATAATCTTAGGCAGTCAAGATGAGAAAAAGAGCAGTTCGGAGGGCAAGTCGAGTTTCCCAAGTCACGCGCCAACAAGCGGCAGTGCTGGGACTCCATCCTGGAGTGTCTATACCGAACACTCTTCAAAGCGTATCCAGAGGACGCCAGTAGGTAACACGGGTTGCGGGGGGAGGGGGAGCAAGGGTTACACTCAATAAAATTTGGTAAACGGAAGGTAAGCCGATGGCTTTATGGAGAGAGGTCTCTGCCCCTTTAGAGTACATGAGGAGATCTAACATGGAAGTATCTCCCAAACGGATCTGACCAGGACATGTTTACTTTACTTTCATATAAAGAGTACCGAGAAACAATGTTTTGGCATGTACGCTGAGAAATGATGCATTAGAAACTTTTTACTCTTGCTTCATCTTGTTAAAGGTCACTTCTGTCAGAGGGACCAACTCACCTCACAGGTAACGCTTTCGTGGTCTGCTCTGGCAATTCGGGTGGATTCACAAACATCAGTCTGAGAAGGAGTTCCAGGTAGCCGATGTGTCTTGCCAACCTAGTGCTGAGGACCCATGCCCAATTCCAACTCTCTCCTTCCCTCCGGCCACCGAAGTAAATGACAACTGGAATTCACAGTGTGAAAGAGTACCCGAGACAGTCGTTAGTCAAGCACTGTCTTTTCTCCAAAGAGTCAAATATCAAATAATGACGAAGGCGTACACAAGTTTTTATGGTTCCTGATTTTTTCCCAACTTCCTCAATTAATTGACTTCCCCCCAGGTACAGAAGGTGTATGAAAAATGGAAAGAAAACTGTTGAATGTATGACATAAGAAACAATGAGAAAGAGAATGACTTAGATAGAAATACTCCATCATTCAGATTTAAATGTAAATGACTTTGGGCCTATCACGATTTCCAACTGTTGAAATTACCAGTTCCTCCATCAGTAGATCGCTATTTCCTTTCTGACAAGAGTCTAAGACTAGAGTGTGTTTGATTTTTTTACTTTGCCAGAGACAGCTATGAGGGATGATTTTCAAAATGAATGAAATCACTAATTAATATATAGTAAGAATTCTACCTCAATTTTTTTTTTTTTTTTTTGGTGGGACCCTCGTCGGTGGCCGTGGAATGAACCAGCGCTGCAGAGGCTACGGGCAGCCTCGCAGCCCAGCGTTCAACCGCTGCGCCACCAGGGGAGGCCCTCTAACTCAATCTTAACAAGTAGCACACTAGTTTTGAAAGCTACGTTGGCCAAGTATGGACCGAGGTCTTCAGGTCAACTGATAAAAGAGCAAAATTTATATGTTCTCAACTAATTATACGAAAATCACTGACAGATTTTAGGGCAGGTATAGCTACTATTCTAAGTAAAACACTGAGTCCTGACATTTTCTCCTGTTTAAGATAAGGTAAAAGCAAAGACTTACTAAAAAAGATGTAGAGCAGAGCCAGGAAGCTCAGGGACACTGCTATCCCAAGATTTGGGTCCACAGTGAAAGCGAACAACAGCCCAAGCCCCCCACAAAGCAGCAGGGTCAGGAACACAATGAGCCACGAGAACTGGAAAAGGGGCTCGATCTGCTGTCCTGCAAAAGTCTTCATTTCATCTGAAAGAGAAATGTTCACAGGTGAATAAAACCTTATTTTTGCTTTAAGAAATACAACTTTAAGGCCATGTGGAATTTTCACATTTTCAACCTACACACTTAGTGGCACTCACTCTCTCAATAGAAGGTTGCTGCTTGGCCGTTTTCACTGGTGTTCTCTTTTGATAAACATGAAAACCTCATTCCCTAGGGGCACACCCACCCTGTCCTACCCACTCTCCTGCTTCACGCTGAAGAAACACAAAAATTCTTTTTTATGTATTTCAAGGTCAAGATTCCGTGGATATTTCTCTTCTGTGGTTTATATTAGACAAAGTATTGCTCCCACACACAAAACTAGAAATCATTACTTTGCTGTGTATCTTCAAACTCCCCGTCACCACCTTCCTCTCTCGTTACCACCTTCCTCACCTTTTCTTCCTCCAATCACATTGAGAATCGCTTATTAAAGGTGCGTGTGTTGAGTCCAAATAAGTCTCAAATGCAACATTTTTTCCAGACACTCAGCAAAAAATTTCCCAGCCAACACTGAAGAATGACCTTGAAGAATGAGCAGGATTTTCCCAAGCAAAGGGTGTGCATGTCGGGCAGGAGGTGGTGGGGGCTAACCAGGAAAGGTGCCCGTGCAGTATACACACGCACACACACCAGACACAGACACAACACGCACAGCTCTGTCTTCCATGGCTGCAGGGAAAACCGTGTACACATGCAGACTTTGTACAGATGCACCTTTTACCTTCTAGTTTCTTGAGCAGGAAGGATTTCCCGCTGCCCCACTGTGCGTACAGGCCCACACAGATGGGCGGCTGCATGGTCGGTTCACTGAGGATGTCAGCCAGGGCGCTGCTGTACAGGTCATAACCCAGCATGTCGCCATCTGTCTCGGTGGGAGACAAGTGTCCTGCAAGTAAAAACACACATATCCTTACATTAAAAAGTGATATTACCAGCAGAAAGGAATGTTAATCCTCATTTACCAACTGTTTCTTTAAATAGAGAAAAAACTGATTTTAAATGGCCAGGCTCATGGAAAAACAGGCTCAGAGATTCTTAGATACTTTTTCAAAGGAGTTAAGATTATTATCAGATGTGCTATTCTTAAGTACAACCAAGCAAGAAAAATGCTGTCAAATTGTGACACAACCCCTTCTTACCCGTCAATTACAAGATGCGTTTCAATTTCAGAGATTAAAATGTGGAATAACGTGCATATTAGAATCAATAAAATGGCCATTAAAACATAAACTAGTATATAGAAATAAATTTATTCTATGTCTCGTGTGATCTCAGGTCGAAGGCACCCAGGGCCACGGGACATATCTCACAGAGCCTGCAGCCGAGGTCTCAGGCATATTATATCCTTTATAATTCTATCATAGGGTGGTTTTTCATTGTTAATTTTCTGGCATAAAGTGGCATTTAAATATTTTTCTAATTCTCACATTCATTCTATTTCAAAGTGAATGCAGCTTTACAGCTTTGTGAAGGCAGCAGGAGAGGTCGCTCTCATCAGCGTCACCTGTTGGTAACTGGAACTAATATCTCTTTTCACGTTTTAGTAGAAAATTGTCCCGTATTTCGAAACACCACATGTTAATGATTACCATCTCTCATGCGTTCTTTCAATCAAAATGTATTTCAGTTCAATATTCAAGACATTATGCTAGATACTACAGAGAATGCAAAGGTAAGAAGAAGAAAAAAAAATCTCTGCCCTGAAGAACTTTCTGGAAGGGAGAAAAATCCTAAAAAAAAAAAAATAGAATAAGAGATCATAAGAATTAAGATTAAAAGGGAAATATAAACACAAGTGCTGAAGTATCAGAATGAGGCAAAAGTTGCATGTGGCTAAGTAGATCAGGGAAGCTCATCGAGAAGAGGCCTAATGACAAAGGTCTAGGAGACAGTCATCTCGATAAAGAAAGGACATTCTTGGGGATGGAGAGGTCGCAGCTGTGATAGTGACAGTACAAGCAAAAGTACAGAACTCTAAGCACTGGAGTCACATTCAGGAAAGGCTTGATAAAAGCACAGAGAATACCTGTAAGAATAATGGGGAGGAAAGATTTTTAGAAAAGCAGGCTGGATTAGAATTCTTAAAAGCCAGTTGATGACTGAAAATATTTAATTTAGAATATTACAATACAGTGCAAAGGAGCTTAGGATAGGGAGTAGTTCTCCAACGAAGATAATAATTTTCTCAACATTGATATTTTTCATTGAATAATAAATACAAAACTGCTGTTGGCCTCTTAATTTTTGCATTTTTGCATTCATATATGAAAAGCTTGATCAGGAACAAAACCCAATACTTACTGGCTCCAAATATTTGAGTTAAGATACTTTTCTGATGGCTACAGTCAATGTTGTAGGGGGTCTCCCCTGCTTTGTTGGGCCTATAGAGCAACCGTCCATCTTTGGGATTTCTTAAAAGAAGTTCTGCCAGTTTCCGACTCCTCCCACGAATAGCAATATGCAGGGGAGTGTCTCCTTTCTGTAAAACAGAGGCAGGAAGCTTGAACTTTCACGTATTTCATATATAGTATACAGAGAGTAACAACTACAGAAAATCTGAAATTTTCCCATTTTTTATGTGGAGTATATACAGAGCATGAATTTCTATCTCTATCTGTTCCACAATTTCTTTGTCTCATCTCTTTCCTAGCTGTTCTTGGATATAATTTATTCCACACCCTCTGGAGTGAAGGTTTTTCTTCCCCCCCTCCCCACAACTCCAAGAAGCAATAGACTTTCTCCCTGCAGCTCCTCCCAGGTCACAGACCCACTTCCATCACAGGTTAACAAACATCCATCATCCAAATATTTATCGGCCTGGGATGTCAACTACCTTCCTCAGTTTACATCCTACTGCACAGCTTTCTCCTCCATTTGTCTCCATAGCTCCTGACCTGTGCGGACAGCCCATCTGACAAGTACGAGCTCGTCTGCTCCTGTGCCCCGTCCACCCGACACTGCTCTACTGAACCTAAACTCCCGTCTCCACTCTCCCCCTCGTGACACCCGGCCTCTGGCCTCGACCGCCTCCCACTCTCCTCCCCCTTCACTTGTCCCTCACATCAACCCGCTTCTCCCTTGATTAGCCTCTCCAATCACATGGGTGTCGTTTCCAACACTAATTTAAACAATATGTTTTTTTAAAAAAAAACCCACTTCCGTTTAAAGATTGCCCTGTCGCTTTTATCCCACAAGCACCTAGAGGGAAGACAACTGACCAGAAGCTAACACTTGAATCGCTCCCTCCCCGTCTCCACCGCTCTCTCTAACACAAAGTGAAACGGCCTGGAATATTGGTCCATGGCGTCTAGGCCTTATGTTGATTTTGAGTTTCCTCTTCTTCCTCAGGTCCACTTCTTCCTTTTCTGTGTTCTCTTCCTACCCCCGAAACAGGGTGCAACTACGGACTGAGTTCAGTCCACATAAGGCACTGTGCTGGGTACTTTGGAGGACACACCAATAGAAGACGTGACTCAGAAGCTTCCAGTGTAACGGGAAGAGAGGGAATATGCACAATTATGAAACAACTCGAAGGTGACACAGGCCAGGGAGAAGTAAAGTTCTGACCCCAGCGTTCATCTTTGCTCCCACTCATGACCCTAATCACGGTTGTGCAATGCTCACCACTCAGTGGCCGATGGCCCGGGCCCATGGCGACGCTCACTCTCTGCCTGACTCTGGCCCTACACTTCCCAATGCCTGCTGGCCTCAGCCTCCTGGACGTCTTATTAGCCCTGGAACTAAACGTACCCACACTGGATTTCGTCCTCTCATTTCCCCCGCTCAACCCCATTTCTCATCTCCCAACGTGTGAGAGGGCAAAAACGTCACTTTTGCCACATAACAAAATTTCTGGAAAGACATTAACTCACCCCACCACTATACTGAAGATAGAGAGATCAGTGGTGGGCGAGGCAGAAGTAATACTAATCCTCACTCTTAAACATATTTGTATAAAACCCTCCGATGCAGAGCCAGGTTCAAGATTTCTACAAATCTGTATATCTAAATGCGGCAGGACAGGCCTTATCTGACCCTGGGGCATGTGGTGAGTGAATGAAAACCTGTTCCAGGTCTCATGTGTATGAACTTGCCCCGGGAAAAGCCACATACAAAGGACACCAAGCCCTCCGGAGCCTCCCCGAGTGTGAAACACGGCATATCACAGAATTTACAAGGCTACATGAAGGTAAAGGCACTTAGCACAGTGATTTCTCAGTGCAGGTGAGGGAGCCGCCCTACAAACGAGACAGCGGCAGAAGAGAAAAACCAACCATACAGGAAGTCCTCTATAAAGCCAAACAATACCCAATTTCAAAACCTCTACTTTATGTCTATCCTCATCTCCACTTACAAGTTTCCCTTTTTAAAGAAAAAACTATATTAACATGATAATAATAGATGCAATCTCCTTTGAAATAGTATTGTTACCTGATTTTAAAAGAAGCAGAAAAATACATATGGAGCTTGTTTTTCAATCGCCTCATAAATGATAGAAAGGTAAGCCTCAGTCTACTAGGGAGTAGGAAAAGCCAAATCCTATCAGGTATTCACAGGGAAAGATGCGTGATACTTCTTACTTCTCACATAATCAATTCACTTCTTTTCTGGGGGGAATTCACTTTGAAGCAGAGAAAGAAGCCTATTCAAAATGAAAACAAACTAAAACCAAGAATCAATTCTATGTGAAATATTAAGCAATTTAAATTTATTTCAGAAAAGACAAAAATTCCGCTGAAAGGATCGTGAAGAAGACACATGGCAGAACGTTTTCTCTTCTGCCAGTGAGGCATAAATGCCAGTCTGCTCTGAGTGTCCCCAGCCCCTGGGACCCTCTCCTCTGGCCTCTGTGACGAGCTCTGCACCTGGTGATGCCCTCCCCAGACGGTGGCCAGCAGCAGCTCCCCATCACCAGAATGAGCACCAGAAGGGAAAAGTCTCTTCAGAAGGGTGCTCGGTCTGCCCAGTCCCCAGCACTGTGTAGAATAGTCAAGAAAATATCACAGTCCCAAATCCCACACATAAAATCTCAGCAAATAATCTCTCCTGCTAAGAAACCCACCAGATACGCAGGTCAGGCTACCAGTGATGGCCTTTTCCAAAAACCCACACCCGGCACAGGGTTTACCTTATCTATGGCTGAGACCTTGGCTCCCTTATCCAGCAGCAGCTCCACCACTTCAATGTTTCTCATCTTGGTAGCCTTTATAAGCGGGGTCTCACCATCCTGTGGGCACAGATAAGAAAGTACCAGCTCATAACTTTACTCCTACAGGTTTAAAGTCATAAAAATGCACATGTCAAGAATTTAGACAACTAATTCTGGAATCAGTCTATAGTGAAAATATTCAAAAGAAAACAGAGTTTTAAAAACTAATAAGAAAAGTGCTCCTTTTTTAAAGACAACCAATCATTTACACCAAAGTCATTCTCTATCACTCAGTCCCGTATGGGGGTACCCAGCCACTTATGAGCCATTTCTGGCACAGGTGCCTGCCCCCTACTGACCTCTGGGGCACCACCAGGCCGCAGCCCAGCCAATGTCCAGTAAAGATGCAGTCTAGACTTTCAGGAATGGATACCAGCTACACGTCAGTTCTCTGTGCACCCAAGGACCCGTGTGGAACAGGGAATCAACTTGATACAAGCTGCCTGTCTTTGGGAACCCTCAAGCATTTGTGACTGCTTTCCAATCAGATTAAGGGAAACAGGAAGAGCCCACAGTTCAACACTGAATTAGAAGGAGAGAAAGCTGGCCAGAAGCCACAGTGGTGACAGTGGCAGACAGACAGGTGCAAAAGAAAAAGAAAAAGATTACCGGGGAGCCACCTGCAGATGAGAAGATACCCCCGGAAACCTGCCTCCCTACAGTCGTGGGCCTTCATGACAGGCAGAGAGATGCGGGTCCAGACCTCTAGCAGATGAAACGGGAATGTCTCATGGGTAATTCTATAGTTTGCTTTATTCATTACGAATTCTGACGCTTCCATCCAGACTTAAAATATATTCTCTGTGGAAAACTATTACACTTAAGGCCAAATACAATCACTTAAGTCTGAAACAGTTTTAAATTTTTCAAAAATACTTGAGTAAAACAGACTGAGGTGGCTGACTGGGAGAACCGATAACCCCTCATAACAGTCTTTTAAATGGAAATGGGGCATTTTGAACAAAAGGACCATAAAAAGATTCCAGGGAAACAATCTGTCCATAATTTAGAAGTAATACTGGATTCTCCAAAAGTACAAAACTGAACTAGCAAATTACATACATTTTGTTGCAAATATACAACTTCAGAAAGCATATAAAATCCCTAAATTTAGTATAGAACATTACCAGTAAAAAAAAAAAAAAAACAACAAAAAACAGTATAATTCCAATATCAAGCAAGTATGACTGAGAAGCCCCACCAGTACTGGCTAGTCAGCTGCAGGCGCTGCCGAGACGGGAGACATCATCCCTACCTTTGTGCATATCTCGGTGTCGGGATTGCACTGCAAGATGTCTCTCACCATTGCTGCATTTCCTTTCTCAACTGCCCAGTACAAAGCAGTTTTGTTGTCCTGTATATAAAAAAAAATCAACAGTCACTTCATATAAAATACAATATTAAAATCTGCTACTTATATCCATGAAACATAGTTATTAACATTTGTCAGAAATTATTAACTGATCTCACCAACAGGCAGCGTGGTGGGAAGAGTGAGGAATCTTTTTCCTATCTTAGATTTACTTTGAGCAATTCCTGTAAAAGCAGCCCAGGGACCACCTGACACAGCGGCCCGGAGCCCACCAACGGGCCAAGGAGCCCCAACCCTGTCACAGCCGCAAGGGGCCTCTGACCTCTGCATTTCCTCTCCCAATCTTTTCAAAAGACAAACAGAATGTACCACACAAACATAAGGTGAATAGTTTTTATCATCTTTATCTTTCTTACCCTCCACCCACCCCAAACTCACAAACAGGTGGTGATCAGATCCTTTAAAATCCTATCTAGTTCGAAAACCAAAACTTAACCCTGAAAGCAGAGCTGGAAAGCAACAACAGAGCAGATTAAAATGTAGGAAATAGGACTGGAAGACAAAGGAGTTAAGTAAAAGTCTAGATAGGTAATCCCATAATCATCTTCTAGCTAAGTATTTTAATCCAAAAAATAGTGAAGGTCGGCTGTGCCACATTCACTTCCTATGCCGAATTTTCCCCAATAGAGACCCCCCAAAAACGCACACTAGCTCCCACCTGTCTTACGAGGCCACTCAATCATCGCTGGCCCTCCCTCCCTTTCCGTTTCCACATCAGTCTCCCCGCTACCTGGCTCTCTCGCCAGCTAAGGGGTACTGCGTGTCCCATTCCCATTTCCTTGAGTTTTCTCACCCTATTCATCTACCAGCCCTGCCTGAAATACTCCATCTTCTTTTTCTCTACCTATCTAAACCCAACCTTTCTTTCAGACTTAGCTCGAGTTCTACCTTCTCTCAAAAGCCTTCTTCATGCCCACCTTCCCCACCTCTAGACAAGTGCGTTTTACCCTTCTGCTGGGTAGGTAGCCAACTGCAGAAGCTCTGACACCACAAGTGGCATCACTTTTCTGATAAACAAAACAAACTAAAACCTACCACCAAAATCCATGTTTCTTACAGTAAATTAAGTACCTTATCACACTTGACATAATAGTCATTAGTTTGATTTTCAAATGCATTTGGATACAGGCTAAATACAAGGAAAAACTGAGTAGACATTTAGACTGTTCAAAAGTAAAATGGGGTATCAGTCAGCACAGAACTTTTTCAATCTAAAGTTCCTGAAATATTGGATATATCCATATCTTTAGGCAGTCTGTGAATTATGACTGCCTTAAGCATAGCCACAGGTACAACTAAGTAGTCATGGAACAGGCAAGCAAGATGGGAAAATGGAGAAAGATAAAACAAGCAGAACAATATATGGCTGAAGAAGGAAAAACTGAAGAAAAATATTAAACAAAATAAATAAGTCCCATACACTCAAAGTGCCACTAACTATCTAAGTCTCCTAAGCTACTTACTTCAGTACTGAGTACATGTACACATTAGTAAGGGGGGCATATCTGAAAAACATGAGCTGTTTTTAATTTGCTTCTATAAATCTGACTTGACATTAATAAAGAAATTTCATAACAAAACTTCATAACTTAATAATGTAGGCATCCATTAAATATATTAGGGTTTACTAGTTTATCTCCATATAAAGTTGGAGAATGACATTATGAGCAGCCTACATATATATATGTATATAAAACAACTAATTATGCTCAAAGATAACAGTACCTGTCCTCTAATGTCTATATCAGCATATTTTTGAAGAAGTGCTCGAACAATTTCCACATGACCGCCTCTGACAGCACCAATCAGCACAGTGTCCCCACTCTAAAGAGACAAAACGCAGGGAATTGATGAGAACATACAGTACTGTTTTAAAAGTTCAGACTAATCATTTATTAATAGATTTTCTCTGTAAATTTCTTAAAGAATTTCTTAATAAAAGATTAGTTAATATTAAAACCTGGTATTACTAGGCCGGAAGTAAGAGACAAAGGACTTTCACTTCTCAAAAAAGCGACTTTGGGGCCTCCCTTGGTGGCGCAGTGGTTCAGCGCTGGGCTGCGAAGCTGCCTGCAGCCTCTGCAGCGCCGGTTCGATCCCCGGCCGCCGGCGAGGGTCCCACATGGCGTGCAGACCTCTCTTGCCGTGCCTGCTGCTCCCCTCAGCAGTGTATTTCTGTCGTCTGCCTGTTCTGTTCCCCGCTCTGGCTCTGTTCCCCACCCTCCTGCGCTTCTGACTGTACCCAGTGCTTGTATAAATAAATAAATTTTTTTTTTTTAAAAAAAAAGAAAGCAACTTTGGAATTCTACAACAAAACAAGAGGTGATAGTCTTTGAAAGTAACCTCCTAATACATAAGTAAATTAAATAAAAATGATAGTGTTTGTCAAAGAATTGGGTGAACATTCGGAAACTGTATCATACAAATCCCTTAGAATAATGCTGAGGAAAGCAACAGTCACTAAAAAAAGGGAATTGAAGAGTCAGAGCCATAAGCTGGTCATTAACCACAACTGACGAGAGAGGGTGAGAAGGGTGGTCCCCAGACCAGCACCCACATTCTAGACAGTAAAGGCCCATAGTACAGAAGATGGTTCATTCCCAGTATGCGATTTAAATGAAGTTCATTCAGAGGGACATCTCTTTGCCCTGTAATTATCCTCACCCAACAACTCCCATTATTAACTGTATCTTCCCACTACTACAAATGCTGTAAATGGCCATTTTGGCAATGGGTATAAATATTTTATTATTTATGCCAAAGTACAAATCAATTGTAAGGACTCAGCTGGGTAAATCTATGAGCATGGCCCATGTCAATTCCAAATGGACCCCAATAGGCTAGAAATCAAGATGCAGGTCCTTCAGGATTATTAAGTTTAGTGCCACTGTGTAGTCTCTCAGCTAATACTTTCAAAGTAGAAACAAACCCAAGGCAGATAAATTTCAACTGAGAAGGTTAATCATAAAATGGGTTCAGACGAGTAAATTAACAGGGCAATTTACTGCTTGCTACATGCCATGCACTGTCCTAGCGCTGGGACACAAGACAGACCTTGCCTCAGCCCTGGGAGAATTCACAGTCAGAGGAGAAAAATCAAACAATGGCTACGTGAGTAAATTGAAACAGTGACGTGACGGAAAGCAGCCAGCTACTTTAGACTGGACACAGAAGACCCTCTGGGGCAGCCATATTAAGCTGAGATGGGAAAAAGGAACAGCCAGCAGCCACGACAACTGATAACATCAGTGTTCCAGACAGCACACGGCTGTTACAGAGGCCCAGGGCAGCAACCAGCACAGTGTGTTCAAGAAAGAAAGGAGAAAAAATAATATGGCCGCAATCTACTCAGAAGACCAGGTAGAAGTGGAACAAATGAGGACCAAGAATGAGTCCAGAACAATGTCGTCATGTAGTGTCAACAAACTAGAAAGGTGACATTTGTCCTGTGTGTGAGAGGACAAAGGAGTACATGTGAGATTCATCACTTTGAAGATCACTCTGAGAACCATATGGAAAACAGGAGACAACAGGAGAACCATAAGTCGGGATGCGGCTGCCACACGACTATTTCTAGTCACACGTGCAGCAGCAGAACCAGAGCAATGAAGTCAGTCCTGGGCTAGAACCACCTCCACCACCTGCAGTGCGTGACACCAGCTGGTCGCTTTAACTTTGTTGAGCTTTGTGGGGTTGTCGTGAGAATTCAGTGCAGCAGACCTTAACTATTTTAGCTTATTAAATCCTCTCGACAACCTTGTAATACTCAATAACATCCCGTAGTAACTTGATAGGTATTTTAGAGTTGAAATAATTTAAACTAGTTGTCTCCCATAATACCTGGCACATAAAAACCACTTATAAGTTAGTTTCCGGCCTTCCTGGTGGCCCAGGGGTTAAGTCTCAGCACTGCCACCACTACAGCCTGAGTTCGATCCCCAGCCAGGGAATTACCCACATGGCACACAGACCTCTCCTGCCGCCCACTGCTCCCCTCAGCAGTATATTTCAGTACATCCGCCTGTGCTGCTCCCCACTTTGTCTCTGGTGAGTCTTCTCACCCCCTTCACCTCTGGCCTGCACCTCAGTTCTTCTATGCAAAAATTAATAAAATTTTAAAATAAAAGTTAGTTTCCTTCCCCTACTGTGTGCAAGCACACAAGGTCCCTTGAATTAGGAAAGGAAATGTATATGTAGTTGTTTACTAACTTATACTTGTCTCACTTTTAAAAAACTCTGTTCATCCTGGGCTTTTTTTTTTTTTAAATATTCTGTTGCTATAACAATGGGAGATGGCAGTTTGGACTAGAGAGTTGGTGGTGGAAAATAAAAAAAGTTGACAGAAAAAGGAGACGTTTTGGAGGTAACATCAATGGAACCAGCTAAGGAATTAGATGTGGTAGGTGAGAGAGAGCGAAATCAGGGCTAAGGTGTAGAGCTGGGCTTTAACAACAGGTGGCAGTGCCATTTACCACACGGCGGAAACCGACGGAGAGCAGACTGGGTGTGCAGCACACAAAAGAGCTGGTTGGCCTTAAGTTTAAAAAACCCATTAGACATTCAAGCAGACAGAGTGCAAATGGAGTTCTGAGAAGAGGTTAAAGAAAGAGATACAACTAGGAAATTCTAAGTCTCAAGTTGGTGCTGAAAGTGAACATTAGGTGAATACGAGTCAGGAACGAAACCCGCAGCAACATACACCAGTGACTGCACAGACTATCAGCACATTTTCAATAACTATTATTATGTGACAAAAATTTTCAAAAGTCCCTTCACAAAAATTAAATAGCTTTTAACTTAACAGTTAATGAATAGTGCTTAAGAGTTCTAAAGGTAGAAATAAAACTTATTTTAAAACAAACATATGCCACACACAAATAATGCCGAAAGGCAGTGAGAAGGCAATAATCCCCTCAGTGTCACCCCGAGAACACAGCTTTCAGTAGGTGGCGCACCCTGTCAGGTATGTTCACATATGTGCCCGCGTCCAGCAGATCCTGGACAATCTCTGTATGTCCCTCCTTTGAGGCAATCATCAAGGCTGTATTGCCGTCTTTATCTGTTAAATTCACGTTTGGATTCCTCTTCAAAATTTCTTTCACTGACTGCGTGTAGCCGCCTTTCACTGCCACGATGAGGGCGGTCATTGAATTCTAAAAAACAAAACCCAAGAAATTCACAATCCTAGAAAAACATAAGATGTAAGTCATTTTCAAAAAAGATGTTTCCAAATAGGTAGCCTATTATTAACAGTTATTTTTAATAATAAAACACTGATCTGAATAACCAAACAGATAGCAAAATGGCCAGGAGGCATGTTTTCCATTTTTGAAGGTACATGAATGCTTTTAGGTCATTAGGACTGTTATGACATTAAATTCTTTAAATGATAATCTTAAATTGAACTCATGGGCAATGAACAAGCCCTCTCACTAAAGTATAAAATATAAAATAGTTAACAAGATGACTCAAAATTAAACATAACTGATTAAATAATCCAAAGTAAGGTGACTCAATCTTCAAAGAATTTTTATAACAAAATAAAATCTAAAGAAAAAACTGAAGTAAAGCAATGAATTAACAGGTACAGGATATTTGAATGAAAGTATAATATATTCTTCTATCTTTCATAGTGATCTAGAAACCACATTTTTAAAAACTGCCTTATTTTTTGTGGCTCTTTTTAAAACTGCACTTCTCTATTACAAAAAAATCAACTAATAGAAGAAACTGACTTGTTATCAAAAGCACTACAATTGCTTGAGGTTTTGATCTATTTTGAGGTGTCATACGGTTTCTTTACAGAACTATTTCAGCCCCCAAAACTAAGCTTATAATTTTCACATGTTAAAATAACAAAGCCTTTTTAAATTCGTTAGCAGTGAATAAACAGGAACATGTCACTTTTCAGAAAGGAGGCACATGACCTCCATGGCTGAGAATCACAGTCATCTCTGCAGAGCTCTAAGACATGACACACTCCTTCAAGTTCAGCAGTTAGTAGCTTCTGCCCATGTGGAAAACAGGAGAGCATGGCTGATGTGCCCATAAGCAAGTATGATCTGGAGCTCACGCTCATTCCATTGTAGCTGGAGATTTGGTAATTCCTCCTCCCAGCACCCCTCCTGGTCCATCTCAAGATAAAATAATTATGTGAAAAGCAGTCTGTACTGTTTCTTGTACACAAATGCATTTCCTTTAGCCACATTCTTATATGCTGAAGGGAAAAGTAGTTTTTAGTCTCCCAAAATTTATATGCATTAGCAATAGATCCTTAAAAGCATATATTTATAGTATCTATTACCTATAACCTATAAAATTGTATATATTATCTCTATATTTCTCAGGATAATAGAAAGAAAATGTTTGCTTATCCACGTATCACTTAGGAACTGTAGGGAAGCTTTCCTAGGCATAGACTAAGGCAAACTATTACCTCTTAAAACTCAAAAGCATGTCCGTATCACCAGGGGTGAAAACAGGAAAGATACTCACAGCCCCCTCCTGATCAACATCCGCTCCCATGGCCAATAAGTGCTTTACACATTCCAGATGGCCCTTCCGTGCAGCCCAAACCAAAGGGGTCGTTCCATACTATTAAAACAAACAACAAATTATTTTCAGACATCACCTAAAAGAAACAAGCTCTCAACATGAATTTTGATAAAAATCATACTTTGAGTATTCTAAGGTTACTATTTACACCAATCATAATTCTAATCCTAGATAAATCGCATTCTCTCCATTTCATTTCTTCTGAATAGACGACTAACCACTGCATGAAATATCTTTCAACCAATTTAAAATTTGGTAATTAGTGATAAGTTAATTTTCAACAACTATTATTGTTTCTCATACCTTGTGAAATACAATTTAAAGTCCAACAGTGTGATTATAGGCAAAAATAGAAACAACTGAGTGCCGAACATAGTTCTCACTACTTTAGAAGGGTTAACTCACATAATCCTTAATGCTAGGGTAAACACCCAGTACCACACTTTCACAAGTGAGCAAACCAACTCTATAAATCAATAATTTCCCCCACATCATCAGACTTTTCTTGATTCTCTCAGTACAAACTCATCTTGGTTTCTCCTATCCTAAAAAAAGAAAAACTCTTCCAACAAGTTATCCTCTTAAAATACTTTCAGACTTGCAAAATAACTTATAATGACTACTTTCAATTTCTTACCAACGCCTCCTTGAACACTAGTATTTTCTATGAACATTATAAGAACCACTGTTGGTACCAACGGTCACCTAAACACCGAATCCAGACATCTTTCTCGCGTACTTACTTTCTTCCTAAAAGCTCTGCATTTCTGAAGACTAGTGACTGCCTTTTACACCTTGAACTTTAAATTTATTAGTCATCTTTGACACTACACCAAATTCTTCTACCTCGGGAGACCCAGGAATAATCAGCTTGTTACCCATCTCAGTCATCACTACTCGTCCGGGCTAGCAAACCCGCCCTCACGTCGCTCCAGAAAGCAGCCCGTGCAGACAGCCCTCTCCAGTCAGAATCTCTATGTCGACTCATGGCAGGATTCCTGCCACCATAGGTGCTACCATCACTTCACCGTCAACACATCCAAAACTGGCTGCCTGTCCCTTTGCTAGAAAATCAGTTCCCATGGAAACCTTCTATTTCTGTTAGCAATAACAGCAATAACTCCTCCCACATTGCACTATTAAATAATGATTTTTTTCCCCTAAAATATCACTTAGTGTCAATCTACTACTCAGCCGCCCCAATGATGTCCAGCGACTCTAGGACAACGTCCAGTCTCCCCAGGCAGGACTCCCAAGGCCTCCCTCTAGGTGACTCCCCCTCAGGCCTGTGTCCTCACAGCTGTTCTCCGATCTCTCGGATCTACCCATGAGTCTACTCAACACGCCAGTGCCACGTCCCCTCATTTTTCCTGGGCCGGGTGCCATCTCTGTACCCCTCTCACTGGTGGGCACTACCTTCTCTGTCAGGACATAGTAAGTCTGAGATCCATCCCACTGGAACCAACTGCTCAGTCACCAGTAAATTCTGTCTCCAAAATCACTTGCTCCTTAGCCTTTACATATCACCCCGCTTTTCGAAGGAACATTCGCGTCTGTTTTGCTCTCTTCCGTGTGTAGTACAGATGAAGGCCTGCACATGGTATGCATTCAACACAACATTTTCTCAGGAAAGACAGGCTGGGTCGAGCAGGACCTGATTCTGGAAACTCTTGAATGACAAGTTTCATATAAACGTTTTTCAGTGACCCACAAGAAGAAATTAAAGGTCTCCCCATTATGGTAAGTATAGAAATCAGAGCCCTCACCAGGGAGCCGCATATCCACTTGAGACACTGAAACCTCTCTCTCTAATCTGAATCGGAAGGTGACTGATCAGTGAAGAGTCCTGAATGCACTATTTCTAAATGCCATGCAATATTTCCAATAGTCTCTTCACAGTTCTCATTGAGTGATACTTTTTAAAAATGGGGCATAACATGCATGAGGGATGAACACCACATAAAACTTAAGAGCACCACTTGACTTTTTACATGTGTGTAACTGTACAGCCATCAGGCGTGTTGAGGAAAGGACGTGTTCTGAGGTTCCCATAAGAATAAGCCACACTATTTTACTGAAATTTATGCTCAGAATGTATTCCAACTATTAAAAAGCCTATTAATAGCAGTTTTCTTATACTTTGCTAAATGGTTAATTTGAAGAACGTGACTGAAAGAATATGAAGAACATGAAAAAACATGACAACCGCAATGTATCAAGTTCACGACAGTAGAAATAATGGAGGTACCAAATGCCAAACGAAGCATTCCTTACTTTCGTTAAACTTATACTTTTAAAAGGTAACATCTCAACTGAACCTTGAAAAAATAAATAGGAATTTATCAGGCAGAGGCGGTAATACCATTCCTAGCAGAGGGAACAGAATAAACAAAGACACAGCCTTCACAGAAATTCATGGACGCTCACAGGATGTTAGACAGTCTTTTGGGCACAAAAGTACAGGATATCTGGAGAGAAGTGGCGAGAAGGGACATTAGGAAGACAGACTGGAGTCACACTAAAGAGTGAGCTTTGTCCTGGGACAGCGGAACCATCAACTCTCCAAAGCAAGAAAGAATTACATAATTAAGAAAGAACTTTTAGATGTTTGGGAAGAACAGCAGTGTGTTTTAAACAATGAACAGAACAAAATCCTGGGACGCCAACGGCAAATGGACAAGCATGAAGAATAACTAGAGGCCAAAGCAGATGCCAAGGAGAGAGCCCCACGTGGGGGCGAGCACGTGTGAAGCCTGGGAGGGTTACAAGCAAATGAACTCAGAACCTACATCTTTTGATAGTCTAGCATGCCAGGTGGTCTTGGGGTACAGATAGCAGGAGAAAGGGTAGAAAGGCATGTAAGAACTATTTTCATGCATCATACCAGGAATTAAAGCTTTTAGGATTTTAAGCATACGAGAGAGAAACTAAACTTGGATTTTAGAAGGATCATTCCAGCAACCACACACAGAAAGCAGACAGGAGGAAGAGTTCCAATGCCAAACTGCAAATAATGACAGAGAATCCTCCCTATGTTGCTGAAAATGATGACTGTGACAAAAAAGAATAGTATAAAATACGTATAAGGGACCCACCTATGAGACATATATCTATATAAAACACATTAATATGCACAAATAGAAGACAGCCCAAAGCAGCCTCCGGAGATCGTATGAAAACACTTGTGATTCAGACACAGTGAGCAAGTTTAACATGGACTGAAGCAGGCACTCTGCTGACCTACCTTATCAGAGCAGTTGACTTTTGCACCATTTTGCAGCAAAAGGTGCACTATATCCGCGTGGCCTCTGCCTGCCGCCCAGATGATGGGGTAAACACTGTACTGCTGGCAGGGAGGGAGGGCGGAGGTGGGAAAGAAGACAAAGGGGAAGGAAGACAGGGAGGAAGATAATGAGGGAGGGCAGGAAGGAGGGAAAAAAGAAAAAACTCTTTTAGGTGGATATTTACATCAGACCTTGGCTCAGATAAGCACATAATGAAGTAATGCAAAGTTTTAAAAACATATATAAATATTTTTACAAGTTTCACACCATTCTCCACCCTAAAAACACATATAATACTGATAAAAGATGATAACATGGTAACTAAAGTACACTCAACCTTAAATAAATATACAATATGAACCCATTTATTTTTACAGATTCAGCACATTTCCTGTGATTAGCCAACAGGTAAGACTATTAAGAGGAAAGTAAAGCCTTCCATTGATCTGAACTTTTTTTTTTTGTTTAATTGAGGTATAACTGACAAATAAGACTGCAAGATATTTAATTGTACAATGTAAATATTTGATATAAATAAATATTGTGAAAGGAGCACCCCGCCCCCGCCCCCACACCACTAAACCAAAGCCACTTAATCTACAGACGGAGACTGTGCAGTAAGGTCTGTATCACCAGCTACAAGAGTGGGCAGGAAAGGGCACAGATCACAGGTAAGCCTCTTCTTAAAGAGGTTTAGATTAAGAACTTATGTCCACAAAACACAAAGATGACTCACGGATTTCAAAATGAACGCTGGACGTGCTGTACGTCTACAATTAACACTGAAGGGCTACGCGCTACCTTTTTATTAATAAAAATTAAGAAATACATGAGCTTGAGAAGAAAATCCTCATTGTTTTGAAATCACATTCTGCATTAGTATTTTTAATAGATCGTTTCTAGCCACCGTGAAGTCTAAAGTCTATTCTGCTCACGGGCTCGTGCAGAGAGCTGACCACTTACGCTCCACACGGGTGGCTGCACTTACCAGACCAGTGACGCTTGGATTGGCACCATGAGAAAGCAGCAATTCCACGACGTCAGTTCGGCCTTTGTAACATGCCCACATTAGAGCTGTCCATCCTCCCTGGAAGAAAAAAAGGGGAGGGAGATAAAAGTCTGGATCATATCCAACACAAAAAAGGCCACTAAGTGAAGCCCCTTTTATGGATATTCTTTATGAAACCACTGCTTGATGGAGGTACCACTCTGTAGTGTTAAATTCCCGCATTTCCCAGAGAAATACAGACCAGTATCCAAAGCAAGTTACAGCTGAGAAGCCCACAAACGATTACTTCAAAGCTTGTGCTCTGTCCTGGGAGCTGAACAGAAACACTTGGCCTCTTCCAAACTTCCAGGACCTACTCTGGCTGTTCAAATATTTTTGTTCAGAAAACTTTCTATTCCCTGGATAGGCTCCTCCTTGTAAAAGTCTAGACTTCTTTCCAGAAAGAGAATCCAGCCATCATAATCAGTTCCTGCACTTAAACACATCATATACATTTCAGACCATTAAGGCACCTCACGCTTAATGAGAACTGCTAAGGCCACGCTCCGCGGGTCACAGTTCCCAGGGACAAACTAACAGCGCCATCGCTTGCTATTTTCTAAGCTTCCGAAGTAATTGTCTCTTTAGCTATAATGCAATTCAGTGAAAGAGACCATGTAATCCAAATACTAAAGAATGACTGTATTCTTTGTCTTATAAAATCGTTATTTGGGGGGAATCCAATTTTTTTTTAAAGATTTATTTATTTATTTTGTTTGTTTATTTATTTATACAAGCACTGGGTGCAGTCAGAAGCGCAGGAGGGTGAGAGAATCCACCAGAGCCAGAGCGGGGAGCAGAGCAGGCAGAAGGACCGAAGCACACTGCTGAGGGGAGCAGCGGGCGGCAGGAGAGGTCTGCGCGCCATGTGGGACCCTCCTCCGGTGGCCGGGGAGCAGCCGGGGATCGAACCGGCGCTGCAGAGGCTGCGGGCAGCTTCACAACCCAGCGCTCAACCACTGCGCCACCGGGGAGGCCCGGGAATCCGCATTTGTGTCTCAGAATCTGCATGATTCTGTTTCCTCATCACTAAAAAAAGAGATTAAAAAAATACTCTGCACTAATCTGAAAAAGGCAAAACTTTAGGGAGAAGACCGGGGGGCCAGGACGAGGGTGGAAGCGTGCAGGGGGGTGCAGAGCATACGCACGGTGTGGCACGGCGGGGGCCCCACCCCTGCACGTCCAAACCCACAGAGCCTGACTCACAGCGCGGATCTTACTGGATGTGGAGTTTTTAAAAATCAAGCAGAGTAAGGAAAGACAGAATACAAACTGGGATAAGCAAATCTGACTGGATTATAAGTGAACCACAGTCATCTAATTACTTAGAAGCAGTATTTTGACTTAAGACTGGAAGACTGAAGACAAAAAGAACTGTACACGAACACTGTGCTTAGTAAATCTGTTTCTCTCGGGATATGTAGGCTAGAAAGTCTTATACTACCTTATGCGCATACTAGAGTTGAACCTATAACTAATTCAGAGTAGATAATAAGAGTCAGATTTCTCCGTCAGAGAAGAGTTACAAATGGAGGAAAGGGTAAGACCGGCTGGGTGGTATCAACAGGGCCTCCCTAGAGCAAGAACAGCAGCAGACACACACAGACACAGGGCAGATGGACGTGTGCAAGCGTCGCAGACGTGCACCTCCTACCTCTCGCTCCGAGCAGCACTGTAAGCAGCGCGCCCGGGAGCAAGAAGCAAATCCCACCAGCGTCTAATGCCATTTCCCGATAAAAGGAAGGAGCCAGGGTACCTCGGAAAAGTAACCAGTCCCAGGGCTCGTCAAGGAAATACGCCAGGGAAAATATGGGCTGAGCCTATGCCTGAAGCACCTGGTGTACCAAAAAAGTTAGAAAGTGCTTTAAAAAAAAAAGGACAGGGTGGGCCTCCCCGGTGGCGCAGCGGTTGAGCGCTGGGTTGCGAAGCTGCCCGCAGCCTCTGCAACGCCGGTTCGATTCCCGGCTGCTCCCCGGCCACTGGAGGAGGGTCCCACATGGCACGCAGACCTCTCCTGCCGCCCGCTGCTCCCCTCAGCAGTGTACTTCGGTCCTTCTGCCTGCTCTGCTCCCCACTCTGGCTCTGGTGAATTCTCTCACCCTCCCGCGCTTCTGACTGTACGCAGTGCATGTATAAACAAAAACAAATGAACAAACAAATAAATAAATAAATAAAACATATCTCTATAAAAGAAAAAAAAAAAAAGGGACAGGGCATCTTGAAACATCTTGAAAGGGCACAGAAGCCAGCCTGAAAAAGCTCCCAATAGACAAAATTGGAACATCTTGACCAAAAAATAGGTAGAGAACTGGATTATAATGCAAAGAACAAAATAAATATTCATGAGCTCATATATAGAGATTAGGATGTAAAAGAGAGAGAAAAGCAGACCCGGAGACAAAAAACTCTTGCTTACAGAAAAAAAAATGTATGGATGCTCAAATAAACAAAAGTTTTACCAAGACAGTACCTTTGTAAAGGCTCAAAGTACAATATCATCTCCAAAACAGTAGTCACAAAGGCAGAAATAGCCATTTCACAGTGGAGAAATCGGACAATGTCCAACCAAAAGACCACGGTTGACATCGTGTGACACGTTCTGACGTTGTGTACCCAGGAGTGCTGCCTTCCCAATAAGGCCCAACCTCAGCAGAACATGAAAAACAACAGACAGATTCACACTGAGAGACTGCCAAGGGGTAGCCTTCCAAGGCGTCAAGGCAAGAAAAGGCAGATGTGACCTCAGGTCAAATGACAAGCTGGGCATTTGATCCAGCCAGGGCCTCCACACAGCAATGCTCCTGGCTTCAGATGCCCACAGTTGCCTTCATATCAAGCTCTTGCTTGGACATGTATCGTGTCATCCTCTGCAACAATTATGAGATACAAATGTGATCCTAGGTCCCAACTTGCCAAATGAAAAGATTGTCACTGGCTGCAGCTTGTGCCCCTTAAAGGCCCTCTCAAGGACCCCTCATTGGACTTCTGACTGCTCACTCTACCCTGGAGTTTTTCTGAAGCCCCATGACCCCTGATGGCGACCTCTCCTTACTAGGCCTCGGGGACTCTTCCCTCACAGCTCAGCTATGACCGCCACCCACCCCACCCTTTGAGGTAAGGGCCCCTCAATACTAACTACTAAGGAAGACATAGTCCTCAGAGTCCCCAATTTTTTATGTATTCCTTATTAATTTTTGGTGTCGTAAAGTCAAACACAAAGATCCTTTATATGCTAAAAGGTGTTGTGATTACTTTGGGGAAATACGGAGAACAAAAACGTGTAAGAAACAATTTTTGACACATCTTACTAAATTTTTACACATTCGTAATGCATATTTTATAGTTTCTCACTCATGTATATGAGTGATAGAGGAAAAAGCCCTTTGGAGTAAGGCAGATCTGGGTTCAGGCTGACTGATGGGCGGCTGAGAGGCTTTGGGCAAAGGGGACTCCTTCAAGTCTCAATTTCCTGAGCTACACGCATTGGGAAAAACTAACATAGAGTGGAGAAGCCAACCAATGAGAGAAAGTCTGTAAGGCAGATGACAAGGTCAAGCACAGTGCAGGAACCTAGTATTATTAATTCACCAGATAAACCTCTATGGGTGTCCTTAATAAAACAATGGGAACTAGGTTCTTCTAAGCAGCACCCTTCGACCTCATGCAGCAATACAATCTGGACCCCACACTTCACCCCCGCTGCAGGCCCCCCCTTTCTGAGGCCACTGGCATCCCTGTCTGCTCAGCCTCAGCTTTCATGGCAATAGACTTCAATTTCTTTTCAAAAATAGGTAAGATGTAAATGGCTCTGTATCTTCCTATAAAAGCAAGTATACAACACTCTTCACTTAAGTTTTGAGGATAAATATAAAATTATGGAGGCAAAATGCTGTGTAAATTACAGCGCACAACATGATATTAAGCACAAGATGGTGGAAAGCTACAGCTTCTTACAAACTCAGACCACCTGCACTTAACCAGGCCTCTGCAGCAAAGAGGCACATTTTATATATCAAAGCAGATCAATTCCTTCCTTTCTTCCACTGTTGAAATTAGCTTTTGAAAAGGATAAATAATATACCAGATATATAATACACCCGCATAATAAACCAGAACTACTCCTTATTTTCTTCTTTATGCTTTAAGCAGCTGCCAAGATGAAATAAGCGCGAAGATAATTAGGATCATACCTGTTAACCTTGCACGAGTGAAGCTGGCCTGAACAAAATTATGTTTTAAAAATAAATTTATAAACACTATTTTAAAAATTGTAGCTTTAAACAACTGAAAGTATTTTTAAAACTATGTCCCTCTTAAACTTTCTCTTAAAGGAAACAAGTCTCACACAAGTTCTAAAACATGGACACATTAAAGGATAATGAGTTGTTTTTAAAACTATGTCAGAATTTTAAACCCTGAAATAAACTGACAATGATGAGCATGAAAGAGGTACACTATATTACGTGAGTTTTAAAACATTCTTGAGGGTCATGTTAATGCCCAACCCCAAGTCCTAAAATCATCATTACAGTATCACCTCACACATGAAAACACAAGCATCCCCACATCTCTGTTGCTGTAACAAGGCCCCACAGTAGCGCACATACCATGTCACGGTGCTCCAAGTCGGCCCCGCACCTCAGCAGCTCTTCCACGACATGCACGTGGCCTTCTTTTGAAGCAGATATAAGCGCTGTCCAGTTATCCTGGAACACAGAGACACAAATTTTACCCTTTCAAAACCTACAATTCATTCTAAAGTGAGAAAGAATAGAGTCAAATTTACATACCAAAGGATCGTACCAGACAGACATGGTCCAACCCGCCCCGCCCCCTGCGCATCTGAAGCCATCGGGAGGCAGCGATCAGCTAATAACGTCTCAGAGTGTCACTGTGCGGCACAGGGGCAGCTCAGCCAGTGCTAATTCAGAGTTTTCACCACACTTCTAATCACATGTTAGGATTTTTTAAAAGGAGAGAAGATGACTATCAAACCCTCAAAGCTAATCCTCCTGGCTGGCAACCGTAACTGTAAACTGAAATTAAAGGCCTGTATCAGATTTCAAAGCACACTCACTGGCTATTACACCAAAGTGATCCCATATGATGCGTTTAGAAACTATATGACAAAGGACAAACTAGTCTCCTTTATGAGACTACAAGTATCCTACCCTAACTTTTATTCATGAGTATAATTAGATTCAAAAGGCCAATTAAAATCATCAGTTTGAATCAGTCATTAACAGAAAAACAGATGTAGCTGTACGACCCTAAAAAGTAATTTCTGGGCAACAGAAAATACAAGCCTCTTGGAATAGTGACATCCATCAGGACTGCGATCAGCAGGGACCACGTCTCTCTGGCTATCACCTTAGGTAGTGACGATTATAAGACGACACCATCTGGGGGTGACCCAACAATCTGACTCCTCCATGCATGTTCCCTAGGCAGCCATTTAATTGTTTGCGTCTGTGCTTCCTATTCAGCAGTGCCGCCTGCATATTAAAAACATGAAGAGCTGAGCCCCTTCATTGAAAGTAAAAATATCTGTCCTGTATAAACCCTCTAAGAAATACCTGAATTAGCACATCCTTATGCAAATTTAATATATGAATATATCTGAAAGTACAATTGGTTTTTGAATTGAGTATTAAAAACCAGCAAAAAACAAAGTTGAAGGACAGAAAAAGACAAATGAGTAAATTATTTCAATACATACCAAATCTTCAAGATTGCAGTTGGCTCCATTCTTAATCAATTCCTTCACTATCTCCAGGTTGCCCTGCTCGGCCGCTATCATCAGTGGAGTCTGGCCACACTAGGGAACAGCAGAGACACAGGAGCCTGTCACCATGCTGTACTTCCACCACGATGCCACAGTTAAATACCCCACATTCACCTTTCCAGGTGAGTACGGTAAGCACTAGTTACAGTGTTTCTTTCACTTAGAACCCCCTCCGAAATTCTAAGTTTTCAGAGTTAAAGAGAAAGTGAAATGTGTTAACCACAGCACTAGTTATTTTTTTTGAAGCTGACATTTCTTTGAAAATAAGTAAATTTGAAGTAAACATGAATAATACTAGGTTCTGAAAAAGTAATTACCACGCACCACGCTGTATAAAAAATCTCAGGATACCCTTAGTAACCAAATTCTCTAACAGTGCAGTAGAATATGACATAGAATGCGGTTTCAGTTGTGTACATTATCAGGACAATAGAAGATAAACAAAAACGATACGAGTGCTGTATATATCTGTGTGGTTTTTTAAAGCTTTCCCTGGTAACCTTCTTTACTGAACAAAAGCCTCTTCTAGTGACACCCAAGTTGCTGGGGCCGTGTGCCCAGAATGAGTCCCAGAGGTAGCAGGGCTCGCTCAGCCCTGAGGCAGCAGGCAGGGCCCAGGCAGCCTGCCCAGGACAGGCACCCTTGGGCAGCAAGCTTCATCCAGTGCAAGTGCAGCTCACACATTGTCCTCCCCCGTGTCACTGTGACATGAAACAGCCTAAAGAACTTGCTTAAACAAACATTAACAGTGTTAAAGTCAACAAATGTACTGAAGTATGGGAGAAAAAAATTTGTATATAAAATTAATTTCAATTAGACAAATATGTAAACACCTACTCGCTATGTGTCTATCCATGTGGGGGGAAACAGCCAGGGTTTTTTCAATGCTAATTTGACACCATTCCTCTGCTTAAAACTCTCAATGGTTTCCCAGATAAGACCCAACATCCTCAGGGGCCAACACAAGCCAGGAATGACTGCTCGACCCCAGCAAGCCTCCCTTGAAACCTGCCTGTGCCACTCCCTCCCCACCAACCCAGCTCAAGCCCTGCCCCACCGCTGAAGCTTCAGACCCGGGGTTCCCGGTGCCCCCCAGTTAACTACCTCCCACCCATGGGCTCTTGCGTCAAACATCAACTCCCTTGGGAAGACCTTATGAACCCCCCTAATTTTCCTTTAGGGTACTAACCCAGTTTGTAATTACACTCTCACTTATGTGATTAGCAACTGATTATTGTCTGTTTCCCGTAAAGACTCTTGGCCCCAGGAGCGTGGGGTGCATGTCTGGTTTGTTTAATTGCACCCCAGTGTGACAGACGCTGACTGCCAGGCAGGTACTCAGATACCTGTTGAGTAAATGAGCAGTCTGAGAAATCTACTAATGACAAATTACAAGCAAGCAAATAATTATAATAACTAGCAAACTACAACTGATGCTATTATAAGAACAATACAAATAGAGTTAAACACAAATACTGGTTTAAATGAAGAACAAAAGAACATCACCTTAAACACAGACATTCTTGCATAATGACCGGCACCAAGCTATGGTGGGAGCTGCACCTCCTCACCCAGGGTCATTAGGGAGAGAGGTAGACCGAGCAGATTCTCCAGGTGAAAAGGCTTAGCCTGTAAGCATTAAATTTGATGATAATGCTCATGATAATAATTATTCTAAAAGGCAATGCACACATTGCTACTTGTTAAACAGATTACCTTAAACATTATGCTTGTGATTCTGAGTCATAACTACCAGCATCAATTACTACACCAGGCTCACCCTTGTCAGCTCTAACTTCTTGGCTACACAGCATTCTTCTCCCTACTAATCAACTGGGACAAAACAGTGAAATATCAAAGGCCCTGGTATTATACATAAGTTAAAGCGAATTAACTCTGAATCCATGGCCCTAAGGAAACATGAACTTAAATCAGAGTTTCAAAACATTAATTTCAAAGATTCAGAAGTTTCCTGTTTATTTTCTGGGCCACAGTTATAGTTCAGATAATTCACAAAAATAGGTGCTTCTAGAATATGAGAGAAAAAATAATACAGATGTACATAAATAACTATCACACAAAACTAAACTTCACTAACCGGAAACAAACCTAATGAAAGACCTGAACAGTCATAATTTCTCTTAGGGAAACTATTCCTTATCAACCCAAAATCCTGAGCAACAGGGTTTTGTTGAGGGTGGCACTGGGTCAGCTAAAGAGAGAAAAAACATTTTGTGCAACTCACCTGCAGCTGGAAATAACCCGGCAGGAGGCTCAGCCAGGTGCCCCAGGAAGCTCAATGATTAGACTGAGCAGGGGACCAGCGCCCCTGGCCCCCTCTCGCCAATGCGCAGGCACAAACCTGCCAGCTGTCTGAAGGAGGCTGGTGTGCAATGGGGGGCAGGGGCGGGGGGAAAGGGAAGAGGCAGGACTGGGAGGACATCCTGCAGCCATCGCATCACCCTTGGAATAACCCCTGCAGCTTGTTAGGTGATAAAAATAAAACCTTCATTTGCAAAGCCACTGTGTGGAGAGCTGTGACACGCATGCCAAAGTGATTCTTAATCGATACACCTTTTGGAATCTACACTTTTTGGAGTCCAAAAAGACAGTGGACTTTCAGGAAAGGTTGCCATGAAGTTCTACCATCGCCTCAAAGACAGAGGATAGTTACCTCATAAATTAAGCCTCATAACAAAACTTATTTATTCTACTAGTCCTTGCTGAACCAACCTAGTAACTACAATGGTGCAAACAGTAATTTAAAAATGGTCAGGACTTTATGCTTTCACTTCAAAATGAATCACTAAGGACGCCCTCCTAAGCCTACTTCCCCTCAAATTCCAAGTCCAAGAAACGCAGGATCACTTAAGTTGCATAAACCTCAACTCAAGCCAAACACAACAAATGAGAGCACTGTGCCAGCTGTTGTGCCCGCGGGTACCAGGTTTCCCTGCGCCACAAGGCAAAACCAGGCACTATCCAGCATCTCTTTGCTCCTCCCACTTCCCGGTACCCCACTTCTGTTTATTTAACCTAAGTCACCATTGCCCCTTCAAGCAGTCACCTTTGGAAGATACGCACGTCTTCCAATAATTGTAGTGAAACTAAACATTTTGAAATGACCACCAGAGCCTCTTTCTAAGCACATCACAAATCCCTCTGTTGACGTTAGAGTCCCGTTTTGTTTTCTTAAACACTCTCCCCTCGACTAACTCTATCCCCTTGTAACAAGGAGAGCTGAGTGACTTTTTGTTACTTTCTAAATTAAAGTAAAAGCCCTTCACTAACTCTCTAATAGGTAAACATTTGCTATCATTGAGAATAGTCACAGGTCAACCTCTAGTTCATAAATAAAGCAGGAAAAGAAGAAGGAAATTAGCATTTATTGATCACAGCTGATCATATGCTAAACACAGCATTATTTTATTGTTGTAATATCTACGAGACCTTTTCAAAACTGGTGATCAAAACACTTTAACACAACGTAATTCAATACTATACTTTTAGGTAAGGGCAAAAAAGTGAAGAAAATCCAAACAACTTTTTCAAATTCTATAAAGACAAAATTATATCAGAAGTTGTACAGGTAAAAAGCCAAACAAGGCCTGAGGAAGCTACTTTATCCCCAACCTTCACATTAACTCATAAGGGAACAATCTCTGGTTATTTTGAATTACTATATTAAAATTCCAATTTAAATTACTACACTAAGAAACTAAGTATAAACAACATTAATATCAACTAAATGCTACCTTGTGAACAAAGTCAAGCTCTCTACCAAATATGTTTCTTTATGGGAATAAGATTGACTTTTTTTTTAAAGATTTATTTATTTATACAAGAACCGCGGTACAGTCCAGATGTGCGAGAGGGTGAGAGGATTCACCAGAGACAGAGTGGGGAGCAGAACAGGTGGATCAACTGAAACCCACTGCTGAGGGGAGCAGCGGGGAGACAGGAGAGGTCTGCGCGCCGTGTGGGTAGCTCCCTGGCCGGCCAGGATAGAACCGGTGCTGCAGAGGCTGCGGACAGCTTCACAGCACTGCACTCAAACTGCTGTGCCACCCGGGAGGCCCAAGATTGACATAATTTTATACTTATCAATGTGATAAGCTATTTTCCTAATTATTCCCAAAGAACTCTTCATGAAGTAAAATTTACCCTTCTAAACTATCATTTTATTATTCTAAATATGCTAATATATGCTAATTTAGAGGAGCCCGTGAAACTAGCATGGGATTGAAAATGAGCCAATTTGACTGGCGCTCCCTCAGGTGCCAATCAGGTAAAATGGACCAATCAGGTCTATAAGGCAGGCATCAAAGGTCAGCTTCTTCCCACCTCTCTCCTGGAAAGACCTTTGTGGTGCTGCAGCACTGGTCCAGTTCTCTGGCAAGCTTCTTCGCAGACCTGACCTCCCGCCCTGCCTCTGACATCGCCTGCTGGGCCACACGGTAAGTCCTGTGCTGGGCGTCTCTAAAAAGAGCTGTTTGCTTATGCCCGGCACCCCAAAGAGCTGAAACACTGGTCCTAGCCTCTCACATGTCTGGCACTAACCCCACACACACCTCCACCGCTGATGAGGTCAGTCAGCATCCATAATATTCTTTATCAAGTTGCTATGCTAAGATATGCAAAAAATTTTTACACAGATATGCAATAAAAAACATTAGATATGTTATTGCACTAATAAAATTGTAGTATCAAGATTTCCTTTATGACAGGAACATTTACAGAAATTAGGTACCATGTCAAAATAACAATAATAAAGTAACAATTGTTGACTCAGCAACTTTTAAAACTTTTTATTTGTAAACACAGTGTTCACAGCAACACTATTTACAAAAGCCACAAGAGGAAACATCCCAAATGTCATTGATGGATAAATGGATAAGCAAAATGTGGAGGATACACAGGCATAGACAGGTGTATAAAGGAATAGCACTAAGCTTTAAAAAAGGAAGGCAGCCTTGTCGCAGGCTACAAAACAGACGAACCTTGACGCTACTGTACCAAGTGAGATAAGGCAGTCACAGACAAACACTAGCGACGCCATTCACTGGAGGACCCAGGGCAGTCAAGGTCTTAGAGACAAAAGGGCGGCTGCAGGGGCTGGGGGCCGAGAGAGGGAAGTGGTAATGAGTATGGACCGTGAGACTTAAGTTTTGGAGATGTTGCACAGTGATGGGAATTACTTAATACCACTGAACTGTACACTTTAAAGTGGCTAATATCATAAATTTTATGTTAGGTACTTCTTCTCCACAATAAAAAAATTATAAATAACACTCTTCACATCTGTACACACAGATACATGTATTTGTACACATATATACATATGCAGAAAACTAAAATCACTCCCCATTCATCTTATCCACTAATAATTTACACTATATTGAAAAAACAGGAAACAAGATTATTTTTCTTAGGTTTTATCAAACAGATACATACTTTGTCACTTAAATTTTCAAATAAAAAGATTACTATTACCTAAAATGTTGTGGTTTGGCTATTCATGCTAAAATAGCACCAAAATTTCATTTATTTGTATTGTTGAATAGAAATATCTACGTAAGCTAATGAAAATTATAAATCTGTATTTATCTTTCCTATCTTTCCTATCGTATTAAACAGAACATATGACCTACTTAACTGTTTCATTAAAACGCAGTCTTTAAAATCCTAGCGTGTATACAATGAACAACTCAGAAAGAGATCAGGGGCTCCATGAAGGGAAATATTTCAGAAAGTCCTGCTTTTGTCCCATCTATTCTAGGGAGACTGGATCTAGCAGCTTTCCAAAGCTTCCTAGAAATACTTCAGATTTTAACAATCAAACTTCCTCAATACTAATTATTCCATCTGGGAAAAAAAATCATAAATCTAAAGTCAGTAGTCAATCTTTTATATAAGTTCAAATGTATTCCCCAATATATATGAAATGTCAAGTACTTTTAACTCTACGAATCACGACAGTTCCTCGTGAACAGTGTTACCGCGGGTGAGAACTACACACTCCTTACCCTTACAAGCGCCTTGTACACAGCCGGCTGGGAGGCTCACAGTCGGTTGTAGGTGCAATATGTGTAAAGAGAACTCAATTTTAGAAACCTGCTCTTACCTCATTTCTCTCATCCACGTCTTTGCACTTTTCAAGAAGAGCTTTCAGAGCCGGGATGTTCTCTTCTTCCACATAGTTTATCACGCTCTGTGATATCAGAACCGACATCTTCACAGAAAGCTGTAATTCTCCAACACCTGTTAAAGATAATTTAGATAAACTACACGTAATTTGTGATCAGGAAAGAAAAACTAAATTCCCGCTGACTGCATGACCGGCACTGCCCACGTCGGCACAGTTGGCCAAACCGGGGTTCCTTCAGCCGTAGCAGGCACCACCTCAACCTGGTATTTCACTGCAGGGTGCGCACAAGGTCGTATCGCTCAGTTTCCTCAATGCCTACCTCTCTTTTCCCAACATTCACACTCAACTCTTCTGAACCCCAAACTCCACATTCTGCTCCGGTCTACCTCCTTATCACACCCCCAAATGAAAGAAGGTGCTCGGCTGCTGCCCCCGCTGTGCTCTCCGCCTCCATTCTTCCAAGGTCAACACCTTGGAATTATCCAGGATTGATCTCACTGTCTTCCAGTCACTAGCAAATTCTTTTGGCTCCACCTATAAAATACACACCCATCTGCCTGTTGCCCACCACCGGGCCCAAGCCTCCGGGACCCCTCCTCTAGACCCTAGCGCTCCCCTACTTCCTTTGGCTTTCCCCAGTCTCACCACCCACAGGCCACCACAGCCATCCTGCGAGCGCAGTGAGTTAAGTCAGAGCTGGCAAACTGTAACGGGCAACAGACCCACCCAGAGGTAGCGGAGCAGATGCCCGACCCCACCGCCCTCAGAGATTCCGAAAGCTGGGGGGAATCTGGTCTCTCCCGCCCGGCTGAGGGCAGAGCAGCCTCACTTCTTCCAGGCACCTTGTCGGGAAAACCTAGCCTGGCCCCATGAGGACCCCTCCCAGCCCCTGCCCTGCCTTGGGTTCTTCACGCCACTCATTACCCTCAGAGAGACAGACACACATTGTCTCCATGCCTCTACCACCACTGGAACATAAGCTCTGAGAGAGCAGGACCTTTGTTTTAGCAATTAGACATACAAATGCAAATAAATAAGCCTTAACTCATACCTGGCACTAAATACTGATACTAAACCAAAACCAACCTAAATGTAATAAGTGAAAGCCCAAAACTTCTAAAAGAAAATAGACTATTTCGCATTAGGCAACGGTTTCTTTGCTCTGATACTAAACACATGGTCCTTAAAAAAAGAAATTGATAAATCAAGAGTTCATCAAAATGTAAAATTCTGCTCTGCTAAAAGAAAACTGCTTGTGACTAGTGGCTTCTTTTTCTTCCATCCGCACCTCCCACCCCCACCAGGACAGCAGGTAATTGCACCCTGTGTCTGTCCCCACGTCTATTTATAGCACATGACTTGTTTGTTGAGTCTCACAGGTTCATGGAAGGCCGGGACTGAGCCACTTGCAGGATGGGCTCTACCCAGCTTCCCTACACCCGCCTCCAGAGGTGAGACTCGGGCCTTTTAAGCTGACAAGAATCAAACGAGATTTTGGAGTCTTAGTTGATGCTATAACGAGTTGAGGCTTTGGGGGACTTAGTGACAGAGACTATGCTTTGTATGTGCAGTGGAAGTCTATCTTTGGGGGCCAGAAGACAGAACGATTGCATGATATAACTCCATTTACATGACATTCTGGAAAAGGAAGATTTTATAAACAAAAAATAGAACAGAAGTCTAGGCGGGGGGCCAGGACTACAACAGGAGCAAGAAAATATGGGAAGTTCCTGGACTGCTCTAGCCTGACCGTGGTACTGTTAGGGGGAAAGGATGTTCTGTGCTAATCCCATGCAGGCTTTGTGGACCCCACCCCCACTCCAGACCAAAGCCATCAGGACACTGGGAAAGACAAATCCCATCACCACCAAAGGGAAGGTGGCTGGGACCTGAGGGTGGGGTTAAGCAGACAGGTTGGGTATAAAAACCAAACACGTGGGCCTTGGGGGCCTCTGGCTCTCTCACTAGCCTCCTGGCTTCACAGCTCCTGGCTCCCGGCCAGCTCTCAGGGCGCCATTTGGGATTCCAGGTCAGAGGATCGGGTAGGATGCATTTAAAACTTTGTCTCCCACTTTTCTCCCTGAGCAGTACATTTCCTCACTTGCCCTTCCCTTGTCAATAAACCTTTTATTAACCTTTCGCGTGTGCCTGCAGTGGAGCATTGGTAAGTCCTTTTGAGCGCGTGGGTGAGGACCCACAGTCAGGCACCCCGTTTTGTATCGGGCTGCCCTGTAACAGTGCTAGACACCCGACTACATGCAGACAGAGCCAGCGGGCAAGGTCGGGGGAGCAAACCTGTGGTGCAGGAAGCTCAGCTGTAGAACCTGCCAACAGAGTTAATAGGCCAAAGCTTCGGTGTAGTCACAACGCCTGCCCCGAAAAGGCCAGCGGTGGCCGCCCTCAGAGGCCTTCCTTTTGCTCAGCCTGCTTTCCCTCTTGGATGAACCCTTCAACAGGCTCCAGTCTCGGCTGTCCTAGAACAAACACCCTCAGCCCCAACCCCATCCTGCTCTCTCCTTCCTAAAAAGCCCTGGTCAGCTTCAGGCCATTCTCCCGGTCACCTTCCCAAAGACCAGGATCCCCCCCCCACCCCCACTGTTACCAGAACAAACTCCAAATCGTAATGTAAATGTCAGTCCCGAGGAGGCTTCCTGCGACCGGCAGGGCCTCCCGCGCGAGGGCCCTGAGGCTCCCGGCCACCACCGCAGCGGGCGCGTTCCCGGGGGAGGCCCTCCGCGCGGCAGCCGGCGGTCCCGGGCCCGACACTCGCGGGGGACAGAGGGCGCGCGCAGGAGGCGCGAGGGGCGAGAGGCCCGTGTGCCCCCGCGCAGGACACGCCCGGGTTGCGCCGTGCCAGCCTCACCAGCCAGGAGCTCCGCGCGGGGGAGCCGGAGGGGCTGGGGCAGGGCGGGATCGCGGCTCTGGCGCTGCCGCCGAGGGAGAAGGACCTTCCCTGCGTTCTCATCACCCTCCCCCACCCGGCTGGGCGAGAGTCTGGGCGAATGTGGGGCGCTGCGGAGAGTGAGGTGCCGCGAAGAGCAGGTCCAGGTCCGGGGAACCCGGGCGGCGTGTGGGGCACGCGGCGTGGAAACCGCGCACACAAAGAGCGGGCGCGGGGCCTCCCACGCATCGGGGTTCCGTGGGGAGCCTGCCCCACAGCGACCGCCCGGGGCCGCACGTGCACTGCGGGGCCCGACGCCGCCGCCTCGCCGCGCCCGGGGGGCTCCTGCCCGCGCCGGCCGCGCCGGAGAACAAAGGACGCCGCCCGCGCGGGGCCGGCCGCCCGGCCTCGCGAGGCTCTAAATCAATGGGCGCCCGGGGCCCGCGCGGCCAGCTGCGGGCCGGTGCAAAACGCGAGAAGCCCCAGCCGCGCCCCAGGCCGGGCGGGGCCGCTGCGGCGGCCCGAGCAGCGCCCCCGCGGCGAGCCCAGGCGGCGCCGCGCGGCCCCAGACCCGCCCGGTCCGCCCGCCGGGCCCGGACACCGCAGCTTGAGGGCGACCCGCCGGAGGCGCCGCGCGACGCGCGTGTGGACACGCACCGGGCCAACTCCCAGCAGGCCAGCGAGCCCGGCGCCCCAGCAGGAAGCGGGGCGCCCTCTCGCTGGCCGCCGGCTCGGGAGCCCCGGGGCGCGCGGCCGTGCCGCGTCCGCGCCTCTGGGGGGCCGCTGGGCCGGGGCGCTCGGCCTGGGTTCACCCGCCTTCCCGCGGCCCCAGCCCGCGCCGCTCGGCCGAGGTCCAGCCGCGGGTCGGGGGTCCCGGACACGCCGCGCGCCCCCAGAAGGCAAACTGGCCCCGCGGGTCTCCCGGGCCTCCCGACGCGGACCCGCACCGGGGTCGGCCCCTCTGGCACCTGATCGCGGCCCGTCCGATCCCGTCCCCCTCGCCTGACCGCCGCCCCCACCGGCCGCGCCCCCCAACCTGACCGCCGTCCCCCTCCCCGGGCCTCACCCCCCCCGCCTACCGCCGCGCCCGCCGGACCTCACCCCTCCCGCCTGACCGCCGCCCCCCCGGCCGCGCCCCCAACCTGACGCCGTCCCCCTCCCCGGGCCTCACCCTCCGCCTAACCGCCGCCCCCCCCGCCCGGGCCTCACCCCCTCCGCCTGACCGCCGCCCCCCCCGGCCGCGCCCCAACCTGAACCGCCGCCCCCTCCTGGGCCTCACCCCTCAGCTGACCGCGCCCCCACCGGCGGCCCCCAAACCTGACCGCCGGGCCTCAGCCCTCCGCCTGACCGCCGCCCCCCGCCGCGCCCCCAAACCTGACCGCCGCCCCTCCCGGCCTCACCCTCCCGCCTGACCGCCCCCGGCCGCGCCCCCCAACCGACCGCCGCGCCGCCCGGGCCTCACCCTCCCGCTGACCGCCGACCCGGCCGCGCCCCCCCACTGACCGCCGCCCCTCCCTGGACCTCACCCTCCCGCCTGACGCCGACCCCCAACCTGACCGCCGGGCCTCACCCTCCCGTCTGACCGCCGCCCCGCACCCCGGGCCTCACCTCCCGCCAGACGCCGCACCCCCCCAGGCCGCGCCCTACCCGCAGACACCCCACCGGTCTCGCCCCCCCACTGCGGGGCTCCACTCGGGTCCGCCCCACCTGATCGCGGCCCCCACCTCCCAACTCGCCCCCCACCTGATCGCGGCCCCGCCCCGGGCCTCGCCCCACCCGCCCGCCGGCCCCCATCACTGCTCGCGCCCCCTCACCTGAGGCGGGCCTCGCCCGCCCCTCACCCGGCCTCGCCCTGCCCGCCGCCCCGCGGAGCCCCGCAGGCCGACCTGCTCACCGCGCGTTCCCCACGTCCAGGGACCGCACCGCCGCTCCGCCGACAGAGCCCGCTGCGCCGCCGGCGCGGTCAGAAGGACGTCAGAGAGGCCGCGGCTCTCGGCGCGTCGCCCTCGCCACACCCGGCGGCCATTTTCCCTCCGTCTCCACGAACTGACAGGTCGTTGTGCGAGCCTGAGGGCGGGGGCCTTGTGGCACGCCGAGTGGGCGGGGAGGCCCGCGGAGGCGGGTAAGGGAGGACCGGCGCGGGCGGGGCGGGCCTCGACTGACACGCCCGAGTGGGCGGGGAGGCCCGCGGAGGCGGGGCTAAGGGAGGACCGGCGCGGGCGGGGCGGGGCCTCGAGTGGGCGGGAGGGCGGGGGCGGGCTGGAGGAACCGCGGCGGCGGGCCGGGCCGGGCCGGCCGGCCGGGTGGGCGCGGTGGGGAAGCCCTCTGCACCCTTCCGCTAGCCTCCAAGTAGCGCCCCCAGACAATATTCTCTCCATTGGCAATGCCACTCTTCTCATTATAGTCAATTTATAATCCCTACTCACTGTTATAATCTAAACTTCTGCAGAGGAATAAGCCACAATTGGAACTTCAGAAGACACTGCAAGTACCTTGCAAATGTACCAGCTCTGCATCCTTCCTCCGGAGCCCAGGGGCCAGGTTCCTGCCCTCCTTGAATACTGGAGGATTTATCATCTTGGTCACCTTCACTCCCCCTGCACGGCCTGGGCCTGCACCTCTGACTTGCCCGGGCTGGCAACAGCCATCATCCCTGCTCACGACTCCCTGCTGGAAACATTCCCCTCCCTGCATGCCTGTGACACTGTTTCTCCTAGATTTCCTCCCATATCCCCGACTGGTCCTCTCAGATTCCACCTTACATAAACTGGCCGATGTTTCCAAAGTCAAAGCCGGACTGGCCAGTCTCCCCACCCAACGTGTCCACCTCCTCGTGGCTTCTGTCAGGGCACCAGGTTCCTACCAGGAGCTGGGACGTCAGCCTCCTCCTCCCCAGGGCCACCCAGGCCTCCCACCACCTACCTGACTTTAACCAGGTTCATCAAGCTGATGGGTTTGAAGGCTTCTGAAGTTCCAGACCAGGAGTACCCCAAGTCCCCAACTACTCTCCCTGCCCCTGCGGCCCCGTCTCTCAAGGAGATTGCTAATGCCTGCTTCTTTAAAGTCCTCGGCATCCCTCCATTGACATGGGGTCATCCCCCCAGACGCACCTCAGTGTGCACGGCAGGCAGGGGTCCTCGTTGGCCGCTGTTCACCTTCTTGCCATTGCTCTCATCGCTCTATCCACGACTCCCCCACCCACTCTGCCCTGCCCACTCGCGGACACATGACCTCTCCGTTCATGGAGACGGAGGAAAACGGCCGCCGGGTGTGCTGAGATACTGTCCACACTGCCTCCGTGTCCTCCCTTCTGCCCCCCGCCACTCCCCCAGTGAAAACCCCTGAAGATGCTCCATGTACAAGCTGTGCTGCTCTTTAAAGCTGTGCAGATAACAGCCTGGAAAGAAGGTACTAGAAATAGGCCTTACTTTAGCCCACATTTAATGGAGGATGGGAGGAGGGTCAGAGTGCCGGAGACAGGGCGGGAGAAGAGGAGGAAAGCTTGGAAGGGGGGTGGTGGTGTCAGAGAGCAGCCCCCTCCCCTGCGCTCCCCCAGCGAGTCTGCGCCAGAGAAAGAGGGACCTTCAGTTCGGGTCTTTGTTGTTAGACTAGACCAGGCATTGAAGGACTGAGATGAGAACTTGTCGTGACCGAAAGGGACTAGCTAAGATTTAGGATCTGAATATGGGGAAATTATGACCCCTAGTCAGAACGCCAGCCAGGGCTGGACAGAAGTGGAAGTAAGGCATGTACAGGGCAGACCCCAGCGCAAAGAATGGATTCATTCTCCTCTGTCAAATGATAGTTAGCTAGAAAATTACATCTATTCTGATACCAAATGTTTCCTAACTCATACCAAAGGCTGTTTATTCTTTTCCTACTATGGACTCCAGCCACCATATGGTGCAGCGATAGAACTGTTGCAAAATACAACTGAAATGCTTTCTCCTCAGTTTTGTTTCATCTTTCACTCTCTGCACATTCTTGATCTTTTCCTGGCTGGCACAATTTGCCTAAATCTCTCTAGCAAATGGTTCCCACGGGCCTCTTGCTTCAGCAGAATCACTCATCACTTCAAGAACCTGGCTTTTCTGCTGTCGTGGGCCATCGTGTAGAAGGGAAAAGATGGGCTGGCTCCACTCCTCAGCGCACCCCCCTCAGAATTCTATGTGATGGCCCTCCCATCTCCTCAGCAGTCCCTGCAGGCAGGAATGGTGATGTCAAGAGTCCAGTCTTGGCATTTGCCTCCAGGTACTCCATGTATGAAATTCTCCAAAGACACCTTAGGATGTTTTTACATACTATCTTGCTTTGAAATTTGTTTTCCTCCGTTTCTATGTTCATGATCAAGAATTTGGAAAATACAGAAATATTCCAAGAATAGATCTGGCCCCTAATCTCACCACTCAGGCTTCCCCGTCTTCTGAAACAGTGAGTTGAGCCCAAACTTTACTGACCAAAGTCATCCTTTTAAACATTCATTATTGACAGCATTGCTCCTAGATGTCATTTTTTGGCCTTAATTAGTGACGACTGTCCGTATCATTTCTCCTGATAACTTTACCTCTCTCTCCCTGACCCATTTCATCTGTGTTAACCCCTTTAACACAGATGGCTGTGTCCTTAACTGGGATAGAGCCAGAAAGAACGAAGACAGTAGAGCACACAGACACGGACAGACGGGCGAGGGTAAGTGCAAAGCTCTGCTGAGGCGGGGCAGAGAGGGAGGGGGAGCCAGGAAGACAGCCCATACCCAGTGTTTGGGAGAGAGTTTTAACTGAGTTCACATCAAGTCATAAGAAAGAGATTCAGGTTTCAGCTGATTGCAAGCTCAACATACAGCCAACGGGGCTGCCCACGGGGTGACACTGTCGCTAACCCACCACCACCGGTGTTGTTAGACTCTAAGGCTTTTTTCTTCTTCAAATTCTTACTCACCTGCAGAGAATCTGAGCATCTGGAGCCCCCTCTGTGAGAGCACAATCTAACTAGGGAGGTGGGCAGTGTACTAACAGGAAATATAACCAGCTCAAGATAGCAGAGACTCAGAACCAAGGATGTAGCTCAGAGCAGGCCGTGGTCTCTAGGGACGGCTGGGCGCCGAGCAATGCCCTGGACAAGAGGAGGAGGGTTAGCAGGGCTCGGGGAAATGCGGTCAGAGAAGAAGTGGGAACCAGCATTGCACGAACACGAGAGGCCACTCAAAGTTGCCATCCCACAGCACTGGTTTAGAGGGATCCATGGAAGGAGCAGGGCAACATGAAGTTAGTTGGCCATTCCATTTTTCTTCCCCTTCTTAAGAATTTGCAAGTCTCTCCAATTCTACGGTCTTGGCATCTTGGAACACCTATGTTGGCACCCTGAGCCTCTCTGTTAGCCTCCCCAGCTAAGTTCACTCATCAGCGCAGATTCCCATCAGAGGGAAGAGCAGGAATTGAGAGAGAGAGTTCATATTGCACTGCGTCCACTGTGGGTCCCTTTTTACACTTTCAATTCTATGAGACTATGAATTAATGTTTCATTTTATTGTGCCATAAATATATGCAACTTGGATCTGTTAGTATGTTTTGAAATTTCACCTGTCTCCTATCTTAATCATATTTAGTTTCATTTTATCTTATTTTAAATTATCAAGCAGTTTTCGCTTGCTAACGATACATAAAGGCTAGCCATCATTTAACTTTAGATTCAACTGATTTTATTAACGATTCCACTTTATTGCTATATTTCCTTCTCTAAAACCAAAGGCTAATCTAAAGACAGCTGCTTTTCCATTAGTTCTTACGAAGTGTTAAATCTTCTCTTACCCACTTCTGAGTTGCCTACCAAGTGGTTCTTTACTGAAGTGAATTGACTTCAACTTGATTTATTTAAACATTGGGTATTTATGTGCCAATACAACACTATTTAAATTGCTGTTCCTTTATAATTAGTTGTAATATTTTCTAGGGTGCAGGGGAGGTCAGAAAGCCTGGGGTGGGGGGGGGGGCTAGGTTCCACTAGAGCAAAGGGTGAAGAAGGAAGAAGTAGGGGAGAGGGGCTTTTTACCAACCATGTGGATGTGCCAGGCCTGGAGGGTTTGGGGAGCCGGGGAGGGCGTAGGAGATGGACTGGGCTGAGCGGCATGAGGACAGTGAGGTTTCCATTTGAATACAGCTAAAATGTGTCAAACAAATACATTGGAATGGTATGACCACATACACTTCCATGCAATCTCTGTAGCTGCATGAAGTCTGATCGTTCCAGCAAAGCTTGTTCTGGAAGTTTCACCAAAGACACTACCATCATAGACTAAAAATACTTACTCACAGTGTGGTTTATGGGTCCAGATTCCTAACGGAATAACATGTCAGGAGCACATGACTGGTGCTGTGAAATCCCTCTGCTCATTATTAGTCAGGGTCTCCCTAAGCAAACTGATTCAGAAAGTCAGGTGACAGTCATCTGCACTGTTTCCTTAAGCTGACTGTATCTTGAATTATTCCATTGTCTAATTTTCTCTCATTCTTGATGTTAATAAACATTTTGATCAGTTTTATCTGTTTATGGCTTAACTGTGCTCCTGAAAGAAAATTATTGCCAGGAAAATACTGTATACAAAAGAAGTACACATGGCTTATTCTCTTACCTTCTGAGTCCAAATGTAACTCGACAATATATTTTCTGTTTTTATGGGTTGGAGTGAGGTTCAGTGACCATGACTTATTTAATCTGTATATTAACCACATCCTTAATGACTATATTTTCTTTTGCTCTTGCTCTTTTAGCCTTTGCTAGGTGAATAGGTAAAGAGAGGAATAAAATACAATGAAGGCGCCAAAATTATCTTGTAAAATATATATCTATCTCACAAGAGAAAAAAGATTAGAATGGCACCAACATAATGAAATTGGTTACCAGTGATAGGGTCATGGGTGTTTGGTTTGCTTATTTTGCTTAATCGAATGCATTTTATTAGCTATGCCATGCCTAATACAAAGACGCAATCCATATGGGTGTGGAAGAGACGATGAAATAATTCCTAAGCTGAAGGTCTGGATAGAACATACTTCATCTTATCTACTATACACCTTTTAAGGTTTCTTTTCATAATGCTGCAGATTTTCTAAAAATCATCAAATTCCCAAAACCTTGTTGCTTTGGGTGAATAAGGCCCCTTTGTATCAAAAAGTATGGGTTCTTTCAGATTAGTTTAGTAAACAAGAATCCGCAATCCATCTTCTGAATGATTCTGTTTATACCTGATTCCGAAAGGCAGGTGATGGAAGTGATCCACCTGCGTTAACATGTCTTCGGACTTAAAACTTTTCTCAGTCTGGCTTTCTACAGTGAAGAGTGGAGACTTTGGGAATCATATTCAACATCCACTGGGCATGCGGCCTTTGGAAATAAAGCTCCCCATGCTAATGAATTAGTTGGTTTGTCTGAAGTAAATTCACCTCATGAATTCATACACTGTGCTGTATTCACTACACCACATCCTTTTCTCATTGTGATATATTTTTATATATAACATTATATATCAATATATTATATATAACATCAATATTCAATAATAGCATGTACAGTATATATTCCATGAGTACATATTCTACATTAACAATTATACCGCCTGCAGATGATGACATGAAAGATGAGTAGAAAACCCAAGCCCGCGTCTGGAAGGTTCAGGAAATGCTGCCTGGAGCGAAGCTCCTTCTGTCTGAGGGCTGAGCAGCCATGTCCTGCCTGGGGCACCGTGCCAGCTCCTGGGCACTGGAGATCAGGAGGCTACAGCCTGTGAATAAGGCAGGAGGTGGGAGGATGCGGCAAGGAGGGGAAGTTTGGGTGAAGGGTAGAAAGGCCAGGAGGCAAGACGGCCATGGGCAGACGGGCACTTCTTCACCGTGGCTGGAGCTTTGGGGCGCGTCTGCGTGGGTGAGGGCTGCTAGGGCTGAACCACAAACGGGCTGCTGAGCACAGTCATCCTTGCGGTTCTCAGCTCAGGGAGACAGCAGGCCGGGCTTGCAGGCGGCTGCTCTGCTCTCATGTGGCTTCTCCCCCTCCCCACAGGTCAAGGTCTGCTGTGCTGCGTTGGCGGCAGCTTGCTGTTCTCAGGGGAGCTCTCGGGGCTCCCTTCTAAGGGCTCTAAGCTCACTTGTGAGGGCACCACCACCTCAAGGTTAGGATTTCAGCATGACTCTCGGGCACATTCTATGGCTGTGTGAGCTGGGAGCAGGTCGGGAGAGGAGCGCTGAAAGGAAGGACAGCTGGTCCTGAGCACGTGCTTAGGCCATACTTACCTGGCATCCAGATTTTAGGGCACATTCATTTTTGAAGCGGGAAAATCAAAGTTCAGTTGGTGACTTGGAAACATCTCTCGAGGCTGTGCTGCAGAGAAGGGACTGGCGGGAGACACAGGTGGGGCCCGGGAGCCGCAGCCCGGAGTAGGGCACCAGGCCAGACGTGAGAGGGGTAAGAAGCGATGCCCGCGGTGCCCAGGCTCCGCCCTGGGTGCCAGGGAAACTCGGTGTTTATGAGGCGGAGGACAGGAGGAAGCACCAGTCTGGAGGGGATGGAACAGGTGGAAGGGGTTTGAGGGGCTTTTAAGGTGAACTTCAGGTGGAGCCATTTAGCACGAGTTACAGGTGGGGTGCTGGCTATGAGGGGGGAGGAGAAGTTGGGGGCCCGCCCTGGAGGCAGGACCCACACAGAAAGAGGGCGGGAGTACACGACCTGGGAGCGGGGGCCGTCTCAGCCCACTGAGTGGTTACCCAGGGGGGCCAGGGAGTGTCACAGACACCCAGAAAAGACCCTCCTGAGAAGAGTGGTCACCTGGCGGATGCTGCACATGCAGGACACAAAGGTGGGAAACCAGCACTGCCCTGGGCAGCTGAGCCCCGGGGGCCCCGAGGCAGAGCCCAAGCCCCACCCGCCCTCCGGGCCGCGGCCCCCTCCGGCTCCCGCCGGGCGCTGAGGCCTGCCCTGGCCGCGGCCGTCCAGGGGGGCCGTCCAGGGGGGCCGTCCAGGGGCCGTCCAGGGGGGCCGTCCAGGGGCCGTCCAGGGGGGCCGTCCAGGGGGCCGTCCAGGGGGCCGTCCAGGGGGGCCGTCCAGGGGGCCGTCGCGTCGCCAGGCTCGGGGTGTCCGCGCCCGGCCTGCATCTCCCCGCAACAGGCGCGTGAAGCGAGCCGGTGGGGTCCCCGGCGCTGGCGAGGGCAGACGCCCACCTGCGCGGGCCCGGCCGGGTCCCCCCAGCTCCCTCCCACGCGCGAGGGCCGCGCCCGAGACCCCCGGGGCCCCCCGGCCGCAGGCGCGGAGGAGAAGGAGCGGCCGCACACCGGTTTTGAAACTGCTGTTTAATCAGTTCTGCAGACACAAAGGAGGGGGAGTCACGTATACGTCGGTTCAAAAGCCTTTTAAGCCCAGCCAGGGCCGCCAGCGCGCCCTGACGACACGGCCCGGAACCCCCGGCCCACGCGCGACCGCGTCACAGCGACCGACACGGCGGGGCTTCCGCTTGCGAAACAAGGACGCGCTGATGGGTCTGCTGAAAAACAACGCTTCTTTAAAAAAATATTTTGGAGTGAAAAACAAAAATCACAGAACACGCACGTTCTAGTCTCACCGGGGCGGCGAATGCGTAGGGCCAGCCCTGGGCGGGGCCGCCACACCTGCGCACACCTGCGCACACCTGGGCACACCTGGGCACCCACGACTTGTGACGCTGGAGGTGGCGGGCTGCGGGGGCTCCTCTGTCCACCCCACAGCCGTGCGCCGGCGCGAGGCCGGGCCCAGGCTGTTTGCTGCGTTTCTCGGGAGGGTCTGCAGCAGGTGGACTCGTCACAAACAGAACCGAAAATGCTTAAAAGGTGGGAAAGAGGCCTATTTTAAAAATATTAACCTCACTACGTAATTTTGTCCTTTACAAAGAAAGGACAGAAAGGAGCATTAAAGCAATTTCTCAACAAAAATAAAAACCCCAAATAGACCTAAGGGGATAGTCACAACTTGGGTAAGCCAGTGTCCAGCTCAAACGTTTTTAAGAAAATGGTTAGTCATTTACTGATGCTGCTTGTCCTTTCTGTTTTTTCATCCTATTTCTATTTCTTTTTCTAGTAGCAGAGTCTTGCAAAGCAGGACTGGAGGTGGTGAAGGCTAGCATGGTTGAGTAAGCTTTAAACAATGGCTCTGCAGCACTGTCCTGCTATTGTTTATAGAGCAGTGACTGGGGGCTGGTTTTTGCTTGTCTGCTGTTATAAAGGATGTGCTAAGACAGTGATCATCATTTGAAGACGAGACACATTGGGGTGGAGGTGTCCTCGGCTGTTTCAGGAGGTCCTCCCAACCCAGAACCTACAGAGCTTGTCAGTTCTTTACTGGGGTTTCGATCATGTTAAAAACCTATTAAAATAAGTATTACTTTAAAACATATAAAAACATTATTAGGCAGCCCACCAATAAAAATGTAATTGGCTGCATCCTTTGTACAAGAGCCTCAAAAAAGCAGCTTAGTCACTGGTTATAAGAGCACTGTTACAAAACACCAACGTGGAAAATTTCATTTAAAATTTTTCTGGATCTACCTGGAATTACTATAAATAGATTTGAAGCTGTGGTGCTGCAGAAAACACTGTGGAGACCCTCTACCTTCTAACCTGGAGTCCAAATTTAAGCGTGGAATTTCTCTTTATAAGCACACCTTTTTCCTTCCACATCAGGAGCATGCAGGGTACAGACTCACTCTCAGCATCTAAGGTTAAGTGTAGAAACGATCAGCCATTCGCTACAGGTGCCCCGGGCTAAGTGTAAGTTCCATAAGGTACTTGAGATTATATTTCAGTGTTACTGAGAATTCTGCACCTACGTTAAATCTCATATATTCAATTTCAGCTAGGACAGGCTATGGGTGGCTAAATAAAATGCCACAAAATGCTGGTTTAGATATAAAACTCTGGACAAATGCTTTGCCGACACACTAGACACCATTCTGAGACAATTGTTCTCTCAAGTAATTTTTTTCCCTTTAACTCTGTGGAACTCTTAAAACCAGCTAATAATTTTGAAGTTTGTTATAAGGAAACAAAAAAGCGTAACTGTCCAGAGTGACTCATGAATATACAGATTAAATATTTACAAGGCATGAATTTAAGTAAGATTTTTGTCCTAAGTGTATCTACTCCTCAAATGAAAGTTTACATTTCATAATTTTAATGGCAAAATTTTAATTCTTTCTGTAATTTAAAATAAGGTATGACTAAATTAAATATGCCTTAAGAATCTTCGGAAGAAATAATATTTGCAAAGTCACATGGTGGTAAACCCTGTCCAGTGTAGTGGTCACTGCAGTCCATACGTTCTTCAGTTTCACACAGCACATACAGAAACCAAAGAGCAGAGAAAGCAAAAGATGATATGCTTTCTTGGTAGAACTACTGCATTCTGATAGATTCTTTTTCAAGGACATATTCAGCAGAAATGGCTAGCTGCCTGCTTCTGATTTAATGGACCCAAAGGTCTGCTCTGTTGCCAGGATAAGGGCTTTGGACAAGGGCTCTGAGCCCCGTAATGCAAGTCGAGGACCGGGACTAGCAGATCTCCGGTGAACATGCCCGTGTCCCTGACCTTCACAGCGCCTGGACCGGCTCCCTTCATTACAGACACAAGTGGTCATCACCTTCTGGAAGTGCCCTCTAGGCTTACACAGGTCCTTCAGCCCAGAGGACATGGGTTGGTCCCAGCTGACAGGCTCAGGACCAGGTGAGCTGGCGGGTGGCCCAGGGCTCCTCCCAAGGTCATCACTGCTTTGATGTCAGCGACCTTTAGTTTATAGAACCACTCTTTTTACTGCGGATTTTTCTGGCTATCGTTGGAAATCCTGTTTGTGAGTGTCACACATGGCGGGGATCACTTTCTAACCAGAGGCACGTTGGCGACGTAAGTGCAGGCTGGACCCTTCTGGTTTAGATATAAAACTCTGGACAAATGCTTTGCCAACACAGGAGACCTTCTCTATTTTAGAAGCTAAGTAAATTCCCCTGAGTTCCAATAAAAATGCTCTTTTAAAAACTGAAAATAAGCCGCCTGTCAAATGGTGACAACTGAGACAGATCAGATTAACTATGACTCTTTCAAGAACATGAAGTGGGGGGAAGAATAACGAATTTTGCTCATTTTTTCCCTGAGTAGCATATAATGAACCTAAAGTATAAACACGAGGCTGACTGATTGTCTCTGGAGTGGTTTCGTGACAACTGAAATGTGGAGAAACAGTATCAATATGCACTGAATCCTGCTCTGTCGATTAAAACAGCAGCAAACACGAAGTGAAACCCTCACACTCAGCAGCAGCGGAGACGCGCCAGCCGGCCATTCTAGGAGGAGAATAGAGCGCAAAGATTCTTCTCAAGGAGAGACGCCCAGTTAAGAGTGAGAATGTCCTGTCTGGCCCACTGCTCCCCTCGGCAGTGTATTTCAATTTGCCTGCCTGTTCTGTTCCCTGCTCTATCTCTGGTGAATCCTCTCACCCCTCACACCTCTGGCCTGTACGCCAGCTCTTGTATGCATAAATAATTTTTTTTTAAGATTTGTTTATTTATACAAGCACAGGGAATGGTGAGAGAATCCACCAGAGCCAGAGTGGGGAACAGAACAGGCAGACAGACTGAAATCCACTGCTGAGGGGAGCAGCGGGCAAGGCAGGAGAGGTCTGCCGCGCCATGTGGGACCCTCGCCGGTGGCCGGGGATGGAACCGGCGCTGCAGAGGCTGTGGGCAGCTTCGCAGCCCAGCGCTCAACCGCTGCACCACCAGGGGAGGCCCATAAATAATAAATCTTAAAAAAAAAAATTTTTCCTCTAGCTCAGTTGTATACCTGTGATGACAATTTCTCCAAAACTTGAGGAAAGCTATGCCAAAGCCATTTCAATAAAAACTAGTTGACCCAGAGGGATGCAAATCAGGTTTTGGAATGTGTCACCTCCAGAGTAGCTAGTAAGCTCTTATCTTGCTTTCGGGAAGACAGGACCCCAGTGCTTAGCGCTACAGGCCTAGGAGTAAAATAGTTGATAACAGAAATAAAGGGTGACTGGCCTCGGGGGCCAGGTACACGGAACAAAAGGAAGTTTCTAGGGAGCATTCTCGTTCTCACTTCTGACATGCCTAGGCTTGTCTTTTAATTTCTACATTTCTTTACTTCTCTTAATCCTGACCAGAGTCTCTGCAGCATCAACTAGATGCTGCGGAGACGTGGAGTGGCAGATGCTTTCCACAATATTCTTAATTTCAATGCCTCGAAAAAAGAGAGAAATTGGGCCTCCCCAGTGGTACAGTGGTTGAGCGCTGGGTTGCAAAGCTGCCCGCAGCCTCTGCAGCGCCGGTTCAATCCCCGGCCACCGGCGAGGGTCCCCCATGGCATGCAGACCTCTCCTGCCACGCCCGCTGCTCCCCTCAGCAGTGTACTTCGTCAATCTGCCTTCTGTTCTCCCCTCTGGCTCTGGTGAATTCGCTCACCCTCCCGCGCTTCTGACTGTACCCAGTACTGTATAAATAAATAAATAAATCTTTAAAAAAAAAGAAAGAGAGAAATTGATTTAGCTACCTGTCCTTTCTTTCCTTTCTTGGGGGAATAGAAACAATTTACCTTGAGAAAAAGAAAAACATTACATATCAACAAAGACTAGGATATTTCTGAAGTTCTATAAATTTCTGCTGAGTGCTCAGACGTTCCAAGCAAGTATGCTTTTCCTTGCTTCTTTAAATGAAATGCTACATAGATAATGCCAGGTAATAGTCCGGCCCTTAACTTCATCGCAAATTTATTAATGACAGAAATCCCAAAACAGACTGAGCATAGGTAGACAATTTAGCACTTCATTTAAAAATTTAAGGCAAAAGAAAGTAAGTTCTACAAAAGATTGGTCAAATGAAGAGGAACACCCAGGGCCCCAGCTCCTCTCTCTGATCAGATCTGCACCCAGGCCTGTCTACACCAGGCTCACAAGCCACTCTCCTGCCTCAGCCACTCTAGCCCTCATGCCTCTGGGCTCTCCCGAGAGTTCAACAGGGGCAAAATGGCCCATAAAATTAAAAAGCTCATTTTTCTACTTAAGACTCTAAAACCCATTAACAAGCATTAACAGCGAATTTAATGTGAGAAGCTACGAGTCTAGAAGCTAATGTTCAGCTTTCTCTAAAAGTGTGGTTCGCCAGTGACTTAGCGCTTTCATTTCCCGCAAACTTTCCCAAACACGAATCCAACTGTCAAGGGGCAGAGAGTGGCCGGAGCGCAGTGGCCTGCCCAGGGCGTCTCTCGAGACTGGCAAGCCGTCTGGCAGCTTCTCCATCCCCTTCCAGTTCTAGGTGGTTTTGGTTTCATAAATTTCACTTAAAGGTCCAAAGTGTTAACAAGGGGTTGAACCTCAGGCCCACAGGGAGGGCCTGCCCCGGGGGCCTGGGTGCCCCCCTCCAGCTGCCCGCAGGCCTCCCTCCCCCGGTGGCCTTCGTTCATGCCTTCCTGCCTTCCTTCCTTCCTTCCTCGTCTTCGCTCTTGTTTTGAAGGAAATAAGCTTAAAATACCACATTTCCACGGTGGCCAGGAAACCCTCCCTGCCGGCTCTCTGGCGGACACACGATCACACTCTCAGGAAAACCAGGTCCCTGTGATTTGGCATCTGCTTCTCTTTACGGCTCCCCATGAGCTGCGGTCACTGGAGATACTTTAAGAAAACCCTTCAATACTGAGATGTTTATTGCAATTTCGGAGTCTCCACAATCTTAGCCTGTTTTGGGCCCCCCAGTTCCTTCACAGCACACTGCGGAGACATGAAGGCGCATCCTCACAAGCTCACACTTGCAAAGACCCCTGGGAACAACAGTTTAGGAAAGAGAGGGTTTAAGGCAAGACATTCATTTGAAAAGTTGATCATCTCTCTCAATCATCCAGATGGACACCGTCAGCCTCCCACCTCCCGGGCCTCGGGACTGGACACACAGGCAGGAGCAGAGCAGCAGCGCCCCCGTGGACACGCGCTGGCCCTGAGCGCCCCGGTCGTTCATGGGAGCACTTTCTATAAGGCGTGGCCCGCGAGGTCCCCCTCCATTCTGACCTGGCGTACAGGGGACTCCCCGCCTACAAATGCCTGGTCTCCCCGACTGCGTCTCTGCAAACACGCACAACCCCCTGGAAAGGTGCTAAGAAAGGTTTCCGTTAATGTGGAGAAACTGCCGGCCCAGGCGTTCTCATCATTGCCTCAACGAGGAATGTCTCGAGGCTCTTTCTCGGTTCTGATTGCAAACATTGTTTGTGGTGGAAAAGCTGTTCTGCCCCAAAGAATCGTCTCTGTCATCGAACTTTTTGGGTTGTGGCAGCTGGGCATTCTCGTGCGTGTTCGTCCCCCTCTGAGGTTTCTTCCCCGGCAGCAACAGTAACACTAATACCCCGACAATGTGAAGGCAGTAATACCAGGAGCTGTGAGAGAAAGGGGAAAAAAGGGAAAAGTTCGTTTTACTACATTGTGGTAACAATGCTCTGGGACTGCACGTGGCACCCTTAAGGCGCACATTTACCCTGTGAGCCTCTCGCCCCCACCCCCCACCCGCTGGAAGATGCTCCGCAGAGCAGGCCAGCGGGCGTTTCTAAAGGGCAGTGACCAGCAGGACGCTTGCGCTCATGCTACAAGTCTGTGTGGGGATCCTAAGATCACAGCCAGAGAGCACCGAAGCGAAGCGTCCTGGTTAGCAGCTGCTGCGAGCTGAACGTAATCTCCTAAGTCCACAGACTCAAATGTAGAGCAAACAGTGAAAACGCAGGGACAGAAAAGCCTTCAATTCTGATCACCTGCTAGTCACTGTCCCCGATTCAGTTACAAGCTACTACTAAAGTGACTGACAGGTAAGTCCTGTCGCTTCTTGACGTTACTGTCATAGAATAAAGGAAGGCCACAAGATTTAAAACATCATTAGACATATCAACCCCAAATTAAATAGAAACCAAGTCACCCTCTGCTCCTACAGCTAAGTTCAAGCAATCAAATGTAAGAGCCTGGGAGAGACCTGGCCAGCAGCCGAGTCACACGTGCAACTACGAGTCACACGTGCAACTACGGGAGAATTTTGTTCAAATGGAAATGTCAGCAGGAATGACTTGATTGGATGAGCCCCGGCACAGTCAACTCAAAATGTCGCCCCCATGTGTTATTTAATGCCAGGATGATGAAGAATCCACTCTCCCAGGGACCTCCAAGACAGCGCCACCTAAAGTGGGCTGGAGGAGCTGATGGGGGAGGGAGAGGAGACAAACAGATAAACAAAATACACGCGTTTCAGACAGCAATGTCTGCGCCACAGAGAACAAGTGGACCATCGCAGACTGTGAAAAGGAAACATGAACTAGAAGTTACTCATTTTCTTCCGACTGGAGAAACTGAAAGACTCGGCAATTCCCTGTTCCCTTCTTTTCCACTGCATCGTCACCTTTACTGTTCTCAGTTCAACCCGTCCCTCCCCGCCCCTCCGGGGTGAGCGGCCCCCCCAGCTCCACACCTGGGGTCGGCTGGAGGCGTCTTCCCGCCGCCCTCCCAGAAACCCCCCGGACATGTGACTCGGCTGGAACTCAGCAGTCCACGCCCACCGGCACAATTTCACACCGTCTCACCTACCTGTAAAACATGAATGATGGTTTTACAGAAAGAAGTACAAAGGGCACGACCGTGTAACTTATTGCTACTTGAGTGACTATCCACGTCACAACATCGTACAGCAACTTAAGCTGGGGAGGCTCGATGAAATAATGTCTAAAGTTATTTCTCATCTGAAATAAAGAAACAAAATATTTAGTTTATTATCGTCACTGCTTCTAAAACGACACCGAATACATCTACTGCTTCGGGAGGGCACAACCGAGGCGCTGCTTGGCAGGAGTTGAAAATGTTTCTGCTGCTGTGGGAAAGTTCGTTCAGAGAAACCCAGTATGTGTCTGCATGAAAGTACAGAGACAGGACGGCGAAAGAGAAGCAGAATGGGTGACTCTGGGGACAGGGCAAGCAGGAGTTCTTTGCAACTTCTGGAGATCTGAACTTGTGCTGACGTTAAAACTTTGCCCAAGAAGTTAAAAATGAGCCCGTCGGGAGCTCCCTAAGTCCGAGCTGGTAAACAACAGTCTGTAAAGAGAGTTCTAGCGACTTTCCCTTCTTCCATCACTGCCGGGAGACACGCTCACCTCCTGGGAAAGCTCTGCACTGGTGGAAGAACCACTTCCCGCACTCAGCGCGCTCATCACATGGAATTACACACTCGCTAACAGCAGCTGGGAAGGACGTCTCAGGAAAAAAATGTTTTCTAATAACCACTATTTTCACTTTTAGCTTCCAAAACAGTCAAATATTTCAGGCTTGAAGGGCACAGACTTCCGAGCATTCTCGTCTTTCTCCTGCCGTGCCCCCCTGACGTCCTGGCCCAGAGCGCCCAGGTGAAGCGGGCCAGCCCCGCCATGGGGACACCACGGGGGCTCTCCAGGCCTTGTGGGGCAGCAATGGGCCTCCCACATGGGGCCAGAGTGCATCCAGAACCCCACATCTCGCCCAGCTCCCCGCTGCTCTGCTGCCAACGCCCTCCCTGCCAACGCCTGTCCCCCAATAGCGTAGCGGTCCCCAGGCCAGGCTCTCGCGTCCCCCCCCACCCCCAGCTCAGAAGCCCCGGGCGCTGATGTGCAGACACCAAGCAGGCGCCCTCCCAGCTCTGGGCCAAGCTCTCCCCAGCCCTTTCCGGAGGCGCATGAGGTCTCCGCTCGTCACCCTCCCCCGCCACTCCCACACACAGCCTGCGCTTTCCCTCTGGGTTTTGCTAACATCCTCTCCATGCCGGGACTCATTTCTCCCTGACACACTTCACCCACCGCTGAGGTAACTGTCGTCTCTCAAAGCCCAGATCCAGTCCCGGGGTCAGCCCAATCTAGGGGGTCCTTTCCCCTCCAAATACCCACGGCACCTGCTGTCTATGAAAGCGGCGGTCTCTACTGCGCATGCCTACTCACAGGTGCACGCACACACACACACACACACACTTCGCAGTCCTTGTGAGTCAGAACACTGCTACAGAAGGCACAGCCTCAGTTACTACTCCAGCGCCCTAATATGCCCCCAAAGACCATACAGTTAACACAGAGAGCACCTGCTCATTTGTGAACGCGGCCTCCTCACCCCAGGAGGGTGATGAGCGTGTTCAACGCAGCTTTGCCGTGTCATTCCCCTCCGACCAGCCCTCCAGGACAACATGCGCCTGTCCTTCACTGTCCACCCGCTGACGCCAATCCTTTCCCAGAACATCGCTCTCAAGGGCTGTGCCCACATCTAATGACGTGGGGAGGCCCGTCCACCCTGTCCGGCCTGCCCATGTCCTGCTCTCCAGCTGGACTCGGGGGTGGCCGCTTTCAGAAACACTTCTCCATTAGCCCGCCCGCTGTCGCCTGTGTCTGGCTCAGTTTTTACCTCTCCTCCAGAGACCTCTGCAAAGGCCATGAACGATCTGTGGGTGCCTCCGCAGGCAAACCCAGTGTGGCACCGCCGGGAGGGCCCAACACACATGCCTGACACACGCCCAGCTCCAGCCACGGGGTGGGCGGACTCTGGTACTCACAGTGCGCGCTGCCAGCGTCATCACCACGCCTGTCAGGAAGGTCAAGTAGTAGCCCGGGTACACCCCGTGCCAGATGGCCGAGAGGATGAAGGTCTGGATGGTCGGACTCAAGGAGGCTCGCTCGTAGCACACCCTGGAAACACAGAGCGCCAGGGTGGGGTGGGGGGTCACGACTATCACTCTTTCACTCCCAGACCAGGCTCGGGCGGGCCAGGGAAATGACCGCGGCCTATTTTAGCAAAAAACTATAGCAATGATCCCTGGAAGTATAGTCCTTGCAGCCTATTCTAGGTAATAACTTGATCTGTGATCTCAAGGGAGTCACAGCTATTAAGTGTCACATAAAGAAAAATGTCATTCCATCTTGTTACTGGTGTTAAGCTTTAGCTAAAATAATCTTGTCTTGTGTACGCGAGTCTATACTGTGTACAAAAATTTTTAAGTTAAATATCTTTATTTTACACTGTTTCATTATTTTCTTTGATAAGATTAAGAAGTTTCAACTGATCTAGTAATACTATTCTCTCTGGCAAGTAAGCCGTGCTTAGTCTAAAATTTTTCTGTCACAGGGCAGAGAACTCAGATGAAAATAATATACTCCTAGGTATCAAGTTTATGCTATAACCACCACAACGGATGAGCTCAGCACGTCTGCAGCCAGTGGGGAGACCACAAGGCACCCTAAAATGATGCTCGTGCATTTCGGAAACCTCAAGGGGTAGATACTCAGCTTGTCTTAGAACAAAGGCTGTCCAGAGAGGGTGCCGCCCTAGGAAAGGACTGAGCCCTGCGGTCACAGGCGCGTATTACAGGAAGTTCGAGATGGGACGATGTGTTTCACCAGGAACAAGAAGACAGACTTCTGGGGAATTTCTGGCCAAGCCCTAACTTGGTCTTTTGCAAATGTCCCTCTGCCCAGCCAGCCTAGCCCTCTCCTAGCCCTCTCCTGAGACCCTCACCTGTCGGACTCCCAGGAACAGCTCCATGCATCAGCTTCCCCGCGCCCCCTCCCGCTCCCCAGCTTCCTGCACTGGCACAGCACGTGGCCCACAGGGCCCTTCTCCCCAGGACTGCCGACCCTCTGCCTGCAGGCCAGGCCCCTCTGTCCTGCTCATCCAAGCACACTTTGCTGGGCGTATCAAGATGTTGAACTGAAATATTTTAAAATCAGATTTGTCTGGAAAATCTAGGGCATATATAGTGCTTGTAAAATCACTTTTTTCTTGAAACCAAATCTCCAGTGGAGGAGAGGCAGAGGACTCAGCCATCTGAGAGTGGGGACACCCCTCGTCAGGCGAGCGGCCTGTTCTGGTTTAGTGCTCCTTGCACTGGAGGACGGTCACCTTTCTGGACTGACACCAAGGTCACAACATCACTCAGCACCCTGTTAATTTCCTCAAGAATCTGAACTTCAACTCAGAGGAACTTACCTTTTGAGCCAAAGAGCTGTCTGAATATTCCAGTTATCAAGAAACATCTTGAAACTTGTAGACATCTGCAAAACAAAAGAAGGTTTTCTTTGGCGAAACTCACCAAGCTTTAAAGAGATATGATGCCACTTTGCTGCAGGCAAGGCAGAGAAGCCATGTGCTGCCTCCTCCCGTGGCGGGTTCGCTCCCACAGGACACCTCGCCGGGAAAGGACTGTCTGTTGACGGCAAGGTGGGTCATTGCTTTTTCCTTCCACATAAACATTCACGGGGTGCTGTGGTGTTATCCCAAAAAACACCTGCTAAAGCAGCAGGTAGCCTTGCGGGGATCCCCACAGACTCGTGCACTGAGCACAGCATGGTCTCAGCGACGCCCGAGCCCCAATCCTGAGGTACCCCCCTGCATACCTTTCTAGCAACTTCCGTGCCCTCTCTGCCACCCTGGATGTGGGTCCCCTGGAACCACTAGTTGGGGAGGGCAGAGCCGCACAGAATCCTCACGCCTTCCCAGCCTCGGCACTCACGCCACCCCTACTGCAAGCTGCCCTTCTGGCCTTGGAGGGAGCCTTTGGTCTCCTGGTCTCTGCCCTCCAACGCCGCACCCCTCTGGTCTGCTCTCCCTTCTCACCACCTCAGAGTCCACGGCTTGCTGTTCACTGCTCTAGTCAAAATTCTCGAGATCTTTGTTTCTTTTTCCTTTTAATTTACCTGCCTACCAGAATCCTAACTCTAGATCAAGGCACCATTCACCTCTCCTACTTGCAACATCCACATGAGGGGTGCAGAACACCACACCCCCGTAGGCCTTTGTCCTAAGTCACACTCCTCGACTTCCACTGGGCCCTCAACAGTCCAGTGAGGAGCAAAATACTGGCAGGATGACAGAAAGTGCGCTAAGAACACTTCCACACCCCCGGGGCCTCACACCACACCCTGGAAAAGTGAATTTCGGTCCTTACAGCATCACAGCCAACTGCTCCGGCAGCTCACTAACCTCTATTTGCTGAATTCTCAAGTTGGAAATCAAGTCCCAACGAGCTGCTCCGTCTCTGTCATACCCTCGGAAGCCGAAGCCCGCGGCGTTGTTGATAGCGTCGGCTGCAGCGAACAAAGTGGGAAAGAAAAAGGCGTGAGGTTCTGCGAGCCACGTTCACAACCTCCCGCGTCCCCGAGGTCACGCGACCACAGCCGATGGCCCAGCCGCAGCCCAACGCGGCGTCCCCCAGAGGGAACACCGGCCTGGAAGGCCCCCGCGGTCGCTGCGCCACCAGGCGGCCCGCAGGAGTTTCCAAGTTGCTGAGAACCAGGGACCAACGCCGCAGGCTCCGCGCAGGCCAACGGGCAACCGGCTCCCACCTCCCGGAACGCTGCGGTGACGGAGCTCAGCGCCGGCGCTCGCTCCACCTCACAGATGCTGGAGGGGCCCGGCCAGGGCCGCCGGGGACCCAGCTCCTGCTCCCCAGTCCCCGATCTTCACCAGAGGCAAGAATGCAGACGTGAAGCCGGATCTCTCCCTGCAGTATTCCTGCCTTCTGGGTTCGCCAGAGCCACTCCGTCTGGCTCCAGGACTTGTTTTCTCATCCTTTTTGCTGCAACATTTGACTAGTCATTTCTGCTCCACACACCCATCTGGCTAAGCCGCAAGGGAAAGTTCTCCCTCAAGCGAGCCCTTTCCCAGCCCCCTGGAGGTTTCTCATGATCGACGCTACTCGTATCGCGGCCAAAGGATGGCCAAGCTGAAACCCAGCCGCACGCGACGCAGACCCACCCGTGAGCGGCCCGCCCGGGAGTGCTCCCGAGCGCATCGGATGGGCTTTTAAAAAAATTACATCTGGGAAAAAGGAGTGAACGAGCAAGATTTTATCCTTCTGTCAGGTTTAATGAGGTCAGCAGTCACTGGTCAAATAAATATGTACCTTTAAGGTAAGTCCATCAACAGAACAACATCATACACAACAGAAATAAACGCGCCAAGGAGCGACGACGTGGGCAGCACACCCGCCCCTGCAGCAGCCACACAGCCCCTCTCGTCCACTTCCTCCACCCGTGCTGGCCTCTGAGAGCAAGCCGGCTCCTTGGACCTGCCCGCCGCCTGGCAGGATGACCCAGGGCACGGTCAGCCAGGGAAACCACACCCCGGGTGTCACCCACCCACGTGCCCTAGTCAAGCCCCCACCACTGACCCAGCCTCGGCAACCCACATGGCCGAGGGAGGAAACACACGAGCTCAGAAACACTGGCCCTGACATCTCCCGGAGCGTCCATCTGTCCCTCCCGGGGCTAAGCCGCTGTGTTTCGAACTCGGGTAAAGGGGAAAACTGTAAGAAGCGACTTAGACGAGAGAGCAGGTCACCAGTTGGGGGAGACCTGGCAGCCACATTCCTCTTCTGAGAAAGCGAACTGACACATTTAACACTACTCTGAGCAGACACACCAGGGAAGCCCAAACCCAAAAACGCTTAAGGTGACACCGAGATCGCAAGTGTTCACCCACACGAGCCCAAACGGTCGTTCCTAAAATGACCGTCAAAATGCAAAAACTAAAGAATCACTTTGGAAATCTTGGATTCCCAGAAACCACATTCTTGACCCTCCAGAGAGACTTGCCTCTACTCTGAGAGCCAGACGATGAGTTGATTTTGACGAGAGGCAGCAGGCAGAGGGAGGGGGACCTGTATACAGGTCTCTCTGCATCCAGCGTGCCTTCAACTAGTATCTAATTCACCCCGATTTTAATCTGATAGTGTAAGAAAATGGGCCTTGATCCAGCTTGCAGGATTGCGTCCTCAAGCAGCCGCCCTCAGCCCTCCGGCAGGTCTCCAGCTGCACACGCTCAAGAGGGCGCTCACACGTCTGCCCAGAAGGTCAGCAAAGTCCTCGCGGCTTACTTACCTAATGTCCACGCAAAATAGTACTTGGGTCTGGCAGCCAAGAGAGAGATGTACAGATACACGACCCTGGCTGGCCACGAGGCGGTGGCCTGGAAGTGCCCGTCGATGTTGTACTCCACCGGCAGCGACGGGGCGATGGTCAGGTGCAGCAGCAGGGACAGCGCGCACACGAGGAGCTTCTGCACCACGGCGGCCTGGGAGCACGAGATGAGACGGCTCAGCTGCAGCCACGCGCCTCCCCCGTGTCACGAGAGCTGCCAGGTGAGCCTCCCCACGTAGAGCCTGACCCGGGCAGAGCCGCCTCGCCGCTCCCAGCCCCAGCTCTGAACACGGCTGGGTCATGCCAAAGCCACACCAGAAGCCTCAATCCTAGCTTCAGAACTTCCAGAAACTACAAAACAAAAAGATTCTAAAAGCAATCACAGGTGCTCACAAGCACGGCACGGATGGCGCGAGGCACGATGCCTCACGCGGACACACACTCAGAGCTGCTCGTTTCCTCAGTGGCGCTGGTTCTTTATTTGCAAATTCTAGGCCCTTCATGGATATTATGTTTACAATAAATGACTTATATGTTTCTTTGAATGCGAAAGTTCTTTAATGCAATTTTGTTCAAGAATGGCAAAACCAAAAGAGCCACATGCCTAAGACACCGAAAAGGTTTCCCCCAAAGCCTGGTGGAAAGAGAAGGCCGTTCTCACAACACCCCGACAGAAGCCAACGCGTGCTGCCTCTGTGCTGTAAGCAGGCCAGAATGTCTGATCTGATCCAACAGAAAGGAGACTGCACAGGTCATGAAGGGAAGAGGCCAGCGGAGAAGAGCAGGCAGGGCTGGGAGAAGGGGCGGGAAGTGCTGGGGCCTCGATCCCGTGCCATCCCCAGGCGGACTCAGCCGGCAGTGCAGGCCCGCAGGCCGGTGCCATGAGGACAGCTGGTGGGGGGGCGTCTGCAGATCCACTCACCCTCTGTCAGGCGGGCTGAAGCCCAGGGACTCCTTTCCTGTTTGTCTTTTAAAGCTTTCTCCAATAAAATAAGGCAACTATTTCCTTTACTCCTCCTCTGCCCAATATCCAGCCTATTTGACATCTTGAGTAGAAAGGAATTTAAATTAGGTAGTTACCTAATTTAGAGAAAAATCACAACTGTAAATGAACTGAGAGGAAACGAAAGGCCTCACGCATGGACCCAGAATCAGCCATGTGGCTTCAGTGATGCACGGAAACTGTGGGCCAGCTGCACAGGCGCCAGGTGCCAGGTAAAGAAAGGTATCAACAGGGCTCCCTGGTGGCACAGGGGTTAAGTCTCAGCACTATCGCCCCCGTGGCCTGAGTTTCGATCCCCGGCCAGGGAGCTGACCACAGGGTGCAGCAGACCTCTCCTGTCTCCCACCCCTCCCCTCAGCAGTAGGTTTCAGTGGATCTGCCTGTTCTGCTCCCCACTCTGTCGCTGGTGAATCCTCTCACCCCCTGGCCTAAATCTTTAAAAACAGAAAAGAAAAAATCAACATACACCCGGGGGACACACGCACGGGTGGCAGCGACTTCAGAGTGAAGCCACGGCAGGCCATGTGCGCAAGGGGCCCCACCTGTGAGCTGCTACTTGAGAGGAGAGTGGACTCCTACCTCGTTCCGGCCGCTACTCCGGTCCTTGCTCCCACAGCCAGGCCTGCGTCTCGCCTGGTGCAGGCAAGACAGCTGGGCGTGCCCAAAGGTGGCGCCCTCGTGGCCTCGGCTGCCCTACCTCGGGGCTGCGTCCACCTGCCCCACAGGTCACAAAGCACTTCCTGACACCCGGAGTGATCTGCAACTACCACTACCGAGCATGTGAGCAGCATCCTCATGGGACTGCAATGAAGTACACAGTAGTGAGGCAACAAGCAGGCGTTTTTGCCACCATTAGCAAACTCTGACTTATGATGTCTGAAGCCACAAGAAGCAAGTGACATTTTATGTGCGAATCCCATAAACATTCCAGTGAGTGACAGAACACATGGATCCGCGTTATTCCCTCGTGGGTTTGGTTCACTACCGCTCCTGTGCCTGTGCCCTTCGTTATTTTTCCAATATTGTACTAAATGATGTTGGTTCTGACACATGGCCTAAAGCAGGGAAGACACCGAGACGCCCCTCTGGCAGAAGGGGCCCCCAAGCTAAGCAACGGGCAAAGTCACAAAGCTGAGCTGGGGGGTGAGCCTCTGGTACCCTGATTGCTAGGCCTTCAATCTCCTCCCAATATCCCAGAATACCCTTCTGCAGAACAGAGTTGCCTCTAATTATCTCTCTTCTCTTCTGGCAGTGACCCCCCCCCCAAGGGTTAAATGGTCGCCTGGAGACACAAAGCGGTCCTGGAAGGGATCCGATGAGACCCAATTTCAAGTCTGGAATCCAACTCCCTTTGAGATGCTATTTCTCAATTTACGTTTAACCAGCAACTGAAAGTATAAGACAAAAGTCCCTTTTTGGAGTAGAGCACAATGAAACAGAGGGCAGAAAAGACAGGAGCTGTGGAAGGGCACACATTTCCACAGTCACTCTGCCTCTGTAGTGACCTGTGAGGAGGGTCAGGCCTCGCCCCTGCTCAGACCACCAGCCCCTCTGTCAGGGCCCCTCTGTGGCCCTCAGACCCTTTCTCTGTAAAGCAGCTGCTTGGGGCTGCAGCAGCCCAGCCGTTCGAGGGACGCATAGACTACCCTGTGAGACAATTTAGCACAGACCCCAGACACTCCCTGGCTTCAATTCCAGTCCTACTGCCAACCTGGGAAGTCTTGGTCAAATTTCTTAGCCCCCGAGTCTCAGCTGCCCACCTGTTAGCAGTGAGAGTAACGGCACCTGCCTCCTAAGAGCGAGGTGAGGCAGAGAGAGCAGCCCTGGGTACGCGGAGCCAAGCGGCACCAGCACAACCTCATCTACTGTGTGGGGGAACAGGCCGCAGGGACAGGGCAGTGCCTAAAGGGGGCCTCAAACGCCAGCGAGGACAGGGAGCGAGGGAGGGCAGGAGGGAGCACCCACGCCCTCAGCACGCTGGAGCTTAAGGCACAGGACAGGCCCAGGCCTGGCCGCGGGACAGTGCCCAGAGCCTGGCCTGCAGGAACGACTGGGCTACCGGGCACCGCGGCACCTGTGCAGGCAGCTACCTGGAGGCAGCCTGAAAGAAACAGATGGGTCAAGGCAAAGCTGGGAAGCAGTGTCTTTAAAGAAAGAAGGCTGAGGAGCAGCTCGGGTGCGGCGCTTACGTTTGGCGAGGGCTCCAGCCTCCCGTGCTGCGCTTCCTCCTTGTCGTTTTCACCTGAATGCAAGGTGCGGTATGCTCGGCCTTCGATGAAGGTGATGTAGTCCTTGTATGAGCACAGGGGGCCGGCCAGGATGCCCATGAAGTTGCAGGTGTAGCTGAGGTACTCCAGCAGGCTGGGCATGCGCCTGCAATGCAAGCACATGCTTGAGCCGCCCACGCCGCTCCCCGCATGGCAAGTTCCGGCCCCATCTGCAGTTGAGCAGCAAAGGCTGGGTGGGGCTCCCAGCAGCACTCTTGGATACAGAGCTTCTGTTGGGGTCTTTACTAGCAGCGGTGAGGGGTTGTGGCCTATTCCTCAGCATGAAGCCAGCCAAGGGGCGGGAGTGCACGGAGGGCCGATCCTCCCCACCCACCCTCCCAGCGCGGGTGCCACCCATGCATGGCAGATGGTGCAGGGACGGGGACACAGTGGTCAAATGTCTGTGCTCAAGGAGCCCCGCGGCAGTCAACACCCCCAGAGCGGTGTTGTCAAGAGGAGGGCTCAACGTGGACGAGGGGACAAGGCCTGGCTGCTAAGGTGATGTCTGTGCAGACTCCAGCAAGAGCGGGCCGAGTGGCACCCGGGACGGGGTTCCACACAGTGACTGCAAAGCCTCTGCAGGGGGCACATCGGCGGTGGCCAGGAGGCTGGAGTGGACTCAACCAGCAGACAGAGATGGGAGAGGGGTCAGAGGGAGCCCACCCAGGCCAGAGTAGCCACGGCAGGACCCAGGACTTCATTCTGTGTGCACCGGCAAGCACAATGGGGTTCTCAATGACCTGCGCCCCACAGGGGCCCACAGCCGTGTGTGGACGGGGAGGGGGGCTGAGGACGGATGCGAAGAGATGGGAAAACAAAGCAAAGCCCTTGGTACAAAGGAAGCAATGGACTGAGCCTGGAAGTGAAGAGCTGGCCTTGGGCTGGACACTGGACAGTGAGCACCTGGTACCGGAGAACGGCCTGCGTCAAGACTGTGTGGAGGGCCTGGTGGCTGCAGAGTGCAACAGTCACCTTTATTTCCTCCAAAACATGAGGGATCAGGGAGGCAATGCTGGGAGTCTGGGGCCCCAGGTGGTGGGTGGACTCGGCGAATGTGGTGCACCTGCTGGCAGTACCAGCACCCCAAATTTTAAATTTAGGGTCACAAATTCTAAATGAGCCCAGTCAGCAAGACCGAGTGCTCTGCCCCACAGCCCCTGTGGTGAAGACGGAACTGAAGGTCTGGTGTCCTGCGGCGGGCCCGAGAGGCAAGGGGACGAGTCCAGAAAACTGCCCTCCATCAGCTAGGGACGGTCGAGTGAGTTACGGACACGTGAAGACTGACTGCAGGGAACATCAGGCAGAATGAGTTTAAGGACGGGGCTCAGGCGACCGCGCCGGCGGGCCCACCAGCCAGGCCCAGCACCCGCAGCTCGAGGCTTAAGGAAACCGGGCGTTTCGAGGAAGTCTTCCCTGAGGCTGGATGAGCGTGGGCCTCTGACTAGATTCAGACAGACCCAGCCCAGGAGAACGGACAGAAGATGCAGGAGGAGACTCTGAGAGAATTCCTCAAATGCAGTGAGACTCTCTGGTTCTGGGCTGCCCTGTCCTCGGGGCTGCCACACAGCAGACAGCAGCTTGGCTCCGCGGGAGGGGGAAGTCACAGCAGCCTCGGGGAGCACGGGGTGCGCGTGGCTCCACCGAGGGCTCTGGGGCCCGAGGCCCCGCTGGCGAGTGCGGGCGAGGGCTGCCCTTGGGGACAAGGCAGTCTCGGCTGGGGGTCCAGGTAGGGAGGCGGGACGGGCGCCGCACCTACCTCACAGCGAGGCCTCTCTGAGAGGGAGTCAGCTCTTCATCCTTTCGGAACATCCCTGAGGGGAAGACAGGCACTTCGGTCAATCACAGCTAAAGAACGGTGTTTTCCCTCACTTCCTTCCCTTGAGCCTCATGCTCCAACCCCAATGTAGTGCCAAAGGCAGAGCTGGAGCAGACGGGCAAAGGAGGCGTCCTGGAGCCCTCAGTGGCTTTTTCAGGCTTTTACTGAGTTTACCAGGTTCACGGCAGGCAGGGGTGCTGGGGGGCCTGGAGGCTGGCAGGCTCCCAGCCCCCGGCGAATCTTCACTCCTCCTGGGCTCTCCAGCGTTCTCCTGTGGCCACTGCTGCTCTGCTGGTTCTCTTCCCGTCCCTCCCTTGTTCTCCTCTGGGCTGGCGTCCCCGTGACGCCGCCCCTATAAGCCCAGTCTCAGCCCAGGTGCACCCAACCTACACATGCCCACACCCTGCTCCAGGTGCCCACCATCAGGCATGCGTGCAGGACCGCAGGGGTCCCTCATACATCCTGATGGAGGGAGGGCAGAAAAGCCTGACAATTATTTACCCCACACCCAACTTCAGTGGGATTGGGGTGTGCTGGGTTCCACTCGTCCTGGCTGGATGAGGCTCAGCACAGAGGGGCCTAGGGACCCCATCCGTGTCTCAAATAACTGCACATTGGGTCGAACCGGACTCCTTCAGGGAGGTTCTGATTAAGTTAAAAACTCCCAAGGGCCACCACGTGGAAGGGTAATTCCAGGCCATTTCAGAAGGGGGCGGGGGGGTGGCACATGCGTTTCCCGTAGAAGGTGATAGACGTGGCCGAGGCCGGTGGGGAGCAGGAAGGCTTGGCATGATGGCCTCGGGCTGCAAACTGGACCCGCACCTTGTCTGCTCCCCTGCTCCCCTCTCCGCACAGGAGGCTGCTGCTCTTGCTTATCCGTCAGTTTGCTAGATTATGGGGCTGCCTAGAGGCCACAGGAGGCCGAAATGAAGACGCAAACAACAGACTCAAGTCGACTGTGGACCCGGGAAGGGGCCATCCAAGCCCTCTCGCTCGCAGTCTGTCCAACAGCGTCTCCACGGCAAGGTCCCGTTCATTTGAGACACGAAATACGAATATATAAATATTTGCACTAAAATATACACAGATGTCTGTATGTATATAGGGAGAGGGAATTTTTATTTATTTTTTTTAAATTTTGGGTTGTTCTGTATGTATTTATTTATTTATTTTAAAAACTTATTTATTTATACAAGCACTGGGTACAGTCAGAAGCGCGGGAGGGTGAGAGAATTCAGCAGAGCCAGAGCGGGGAGCAGAACAGACAGAAGGACCGAAGGACACTGCTGAGGGGAGCAGCGGGCGGCAGGAGAGGTCTGCGCGCCATGCGGGACCCTCCTAGGGCAGCCGGGGATTGAACCGGTGCTGCAGAGGCTGCGGGCAGCCCAGCGCTCAACCGCTGCGCCACCGGGGAGGCCCGGGAGAGGGAATTTTTCATGACGGTGTAACACAGAGATGAAGCGGGATTCATAAGACTTGACTTAAACCCAGAACGTCTACCTACTTTCTACTTTAAACTGCAAGCAATTTGGGTCACAGGGCTGAATCATACAATTTTACTTTGTTTTCGCCACTGAATTGAATGCAAAATTAGGTTGAAACGGAGGGGAAGCAAGTGTCTCTTAACAACCCTCTGCAGAGCGAGTGTCTCCCCTCAGCCTCCTCTAGCCCCGAGCAGACAGCAGGGAGTGACGCAGTATCTCCACCAAAGGATGAAAAATCAACTTTGAAATTCTTACCATCGTGAATTTCATGAGCCAAACTAGTGATCTTCTGGGTGATTATCATCATCGGGCTGTGACAAATAAAAAACAAGTATCTCAATGGAGGGAATTTAAAATAACACTTGTGACGTGTAAAATAGTTGATCACACAGCTACAAAATGCTGGCATTTCTAAACATGAAATAAAGACATCCAAGGAATTTCAGAGCGAACTTGGGGCTGCTGTGCCCCAAATTGGGTCAGGTCCAGGGGATGATCTCACACAAGAAGCTCCTTCATACTCCTCCTGTGTGGGGAAAACATGCAGCTGACGAGGGCCTGCGCCACGCCGGGACGTGGCCGGCACTTGCTGATAGGGTGTTTACCCCACGCTGCTGAGGGGGAGACCACAGATGAACAGACCGGCGAGTGTATCCCAGGCCAGATGTTGCTCAGGCTCAGCAGAAGGGGGAGGAGGGGGGCGGGGAGGCCATGGCAAGAGCAGTAACAGCTGCATGCAAGGCACACGGCACACGAGGGCTGCTCGCGCTCAGCAGAAGCACAGAGCTGCTCCGGGGAGAGGGAGCCAGGACAGAGTGAAGATTGGCCTCACCCAGAGGGTGACATTTAAACAGAGAATGTAAGCCAGGGAGCAATCCCTGCAGAGGCCTGAAGACAGGAGAGCCAGGTGAAGAGCTGCAGGTGGAAGCCAGGAGGCCGGGGAGGGAGGAGGGACTGAGACAGTGGCCCAGGAGCTCAGAGTTGTGCCTTTTGCAGGAAGCTGTAAGGACATGGCTCTGACCTGGGGCTGGGAACTGAGGCTTCAGGCAGGGAACTGGCTCTGGGCTGGTCCGCCTGTGGGGCGCTGGGACAGAGGACGGGTGGGTCAGACGTGGTCTCGGACAAGCACTTGCTGGGCCGTGAACAGCCCTCTACTCCAGGCTGCGTGGCCAGCCCTGCCTGCCGCGTGGCTGTGCCAGCTTCTTTGAGGATTCCAGAGACCCCAAAGGAGGTGGAAGCATAGAAAGGAGGCACCTGATTCCCTAAACCACTGGCTGGGGCAGGGGGTGCCTCTTGCTGAAATGCGAGTGAGAAAAGCTCCCGGGATGTCCAGCCACTGAGATCAAGCTGTCCAGCAGCAGAGAGCCCGCCCCTAGCTGGGGAGAAGGGGGCGCTTCCAGGAGCAAAGGGAAACAGAAAAGGAACCCACAGAGGTGGGACCCAGCGAGGAGTGCAGTGGGCCCAGGCAGCTCCGGGCCACATTCTCCCCTCTGCTCCAGCTGAGCTCGGTGACTGGCAGGAAGGTCCCGCGAGAGCACGTGGCGGTCCCGCGAGCTGGAGGATAGGCCGGGCACGCAACAGCCGGAGCAGATGTGCTCAAAGCCAGGCGGGGGCTGCAGTGCGCCTGCTCCATGCCCTGGTATCAGCCTGCGGGTCCCGGACCCCAAAGGCCCGTGTGAAGAGTCAGGACCTCATAACCTATTCACTTTCAGCTGCTCGTGTCAAGAGCTGTTGTCAACCTTCATAAACTGAATTCATCAGGCACATCCCTTGAACTTCTATCATATCCTAAACGTTTGCTCTTGTGCTCGTTTATTGTGATTTTTCAAAGCTGTGACTTATCTCTTAGACAAGAGAACTTACCTCTTAAACACAGCGTGCCCCGGATGCTCAGGTTTTTCTATGTTGTATCTGGTACTTTTCCTCACTGTGTTTTTTAAGTTTCTTCTCAAATGAAATCTCATCACCGACTCAGTAAGCATTCGTTTACCACCATGTGCTAAGCACGAAGGTGAACACAGCACAGAACTGGGATGCAGGCCAGAGGTACGGGCAGTGAGAGGATTCACCAGAGACAGTGGGGAGCAGAGCAGGCAGAGCCACTGAAATCCACTGCTGAGGGGAGCAGTGGGGAGACAGGAGAGGTCTGCTGTGCCATGTGGATCAGCTCCCTGGCCGGGGATCGAACTCAGGCTGCAGCAGTGATAGCCCGAGACTAACCCCGAGGCCCCCGGGGAGGCCCCCAGAAGATCACATTTTCTAAATTATTTCTATTCTTTCCAACTTACACAACTAGGTCTTAATTTTGTTATTTTCTGAAGGTAACAAATCACCTGGTTGCCTCTTCAAGTTCCCCAAGACTTTGTTCTGCGTCATCCAGTGCATCACGCCCTCCCCACCCCCCCACTCCGCTCCCGGCCAGCGCGCAGTCTCCTCCAGCGCACCCGCGACGCGGCAGCCCCGCTTTGGCGCGCCTGCCCCGAATCCCAGGTACACCCCTCCATCCTCTTCTGTGAACGGCCAATTTAACTAACTTGATTTTTTTGCACATTTAATCAGTTTTGTTTTGATTGTTCTTTTGGGTACAATCACCTTTCATTCAAGCCCATTTTAAAAATCTGTTTGATAAAAGTAAAATCTATTTTAATAATCTCGTTAAGAAGACACATCACCTCTTAAAATCCCCCTTGTGCAGCCATGACTTTCTCTGTGCTCAAACAATTTTGATCCATTTTGATTCCTGACCAATTTTTTTTCCACAGATGCCACCTTGTTTTCTTTTTCCCACTTCCTCTGTCCTTCCGTTGAACTTCCTGGTCATTACTTATCTTACTCAAATGACTCAAAATTAATTTAACAGCAAGTCTCTGTACATTTTTCCATTGAGAAAGCTGCCATAAAGAACATGGAGCTCTATCTTTACATGCCCCACGACTACCACAGCGTCACAAAGATGGGCCTGTAGCTCACGAGAGACGTTCCGTCGCTTGTGTAACAGGACAGAGTACGGGGGTGGGGGGGACGGAATTCCCTTTTAAGGAACGAAAGTCCCAAGTCACTGCTGCTATTCAGACACTGGAGAGGAGGCCGAACACCCCGTAAAGGCGCAAGGCATGGAAGGGAGAGACATTCTCGAGTGTCTGCTCTGGGAGCTGAGGCTGGCAGGGCTCCGCCCGCACCCTGGCCACAGAATCCCCATGGGTGCCAGGAAGCAAGACCGAGCAATGAGATCTTACAAAAAAGCTGCAACTGTCTGCACGGGGGGCTTGGGGCACACAGAAGAAAAGGGGAGTCCGGCGCAGATGTGGGGTGATTTTCAATGGTTACGGGACACGTTCCCACCAGGAGAGCGTACAACAAATGTAATGGCTCTCTCTTTAGAAATTTTACCTAATTTAAAAGAATAGGTTACTTCGTGACTTAACACAGCATCCTAAGAGACCTCTGCACGGGAGTTCTCTATTCATAAAGGAATCTGTAATTGAAATGTTGAGTATTAGATTTCCATGGGGCACTAAACACAACTGTATTTTGTCCTTTATTCAACAAGATAGAACAGACGCCACAAGCTGCTCAATCAAACTTTTACTCTTACCCTGAAAAATCGGCAGAATATTGTCCGTAGTCAAAGATGTACACCCTGGTGATCTGGCACACGCTCAGGTAGCCCAGCGCGAACACGAAGCAGTATCTGCAGGACAGACCCGCGACGTTAGTGACAATGAAAGATCGGTTTATTAAAGGTCACATTTTAAAGTAATTTATTAACTAGATGATAGAACTCCAGAACTGTCACTGGACCACTCCACAAACAACTTTCTTCAACCCATTATAAAACGCTGCACTAGTCTGCCCCACTGTACTTTGATTGTGCGCCATCATCACAGGTAAATACATCTAATTACTGCCTGTTCATATTTCCCCTCTGAAGACCTCCACACACCAAGGTGTGTACTGCAACGCCTCCCAGTCGCCTGCCTGCCCATATTTAACAATAGAAAATCCCCCAGCCCATGAACAGGAAATACTTCACGTAATTGCCTTTCACTTCTCTCGAGAGGTCTGCAGTCTCTAAGTATACGTGCAGTTCTTTTATCAGATTTATCTCAGGTTTCTTTCTTTTTTTTTTTTTTTTTAATATAAGAACTGGGGTACAGGCCAGATGTGTGGGCAGGCGAGAGGAGTCACCAGAGACAGAGAGGGGAGCAAAACAGGCAGACTGACGAAATACACTGCTGCGGGGAGCAGCGGGTGAGACAAGAGGTCTGCCGCACCATGTGGGATCCTCACGGGCAGGCCGGGATCGAACCCACACTGTGGAGGCTGCAGACAGCTTCACAGCGCGGCACTCAACTCGCTAAGCCACCAGGGAGGCCCAGGTTTCTTTTTTTGATGCAGTAGGTGCAGCTGTTCTGTTCTCACTCTTGGATGACCTGCAGCAGACAGCCATCACGGGCTCTGCGTGCCCATCTTGTGGCCTGCAGGTTCCCACGGCGCTCACTGGCCCGGGCCTTCCCCCAGCACCTGCTTGGTGGCTGTTTGCAAGACACGTGTCCATCCTTTCTGTGTGAGTCCTCTCATCTAAAGAGTATCTTTTGGGGCCTCCCTGGTGGTGTAGAGGGTTGAGTACAGCACTGCAAAGCTGTCTGTAGCCTCTGCAGCACGGGTTTGATCCCCAGCCAGGGAGCTAACCACAGGGCACAGCAGACCTCTCCTGCCTCGCCCGCTGCTCCCCTCAGCAGTGGATTTCAGTCAATCTGCCTGTTCTGCTCCCCGCTCTGCCTCTGGTGAATCCTCTCACCCCCTGCACCTCTGGCCTGTACCCCAGTTCTTGTATGCATAAATAAATCAATCTTAAAAAAAAATACAGAGTATCTTTTGTAGCAGGCATATAGTTCAGTCTGTTTTTAGTCCAGGCTGTTTTCTGATTCTTATTTAATGTAATTATTGATATGGTCCCTTCACATCTGCCATTTTGCTATCGTTTTAGATGTCTTAGGTATTTTTTGGTTCCTCCTTTACTGCCTTCTTTTGTATAAAATATTTTGCTAGTTACTACTTTAATCTCTGTTGGTCTTTCCACTATGTACATTTTAGTTCTTTTTCTCAGTGGTGGCTCTAGGGATAACAATATATATCTTATCACAAACTTTTTTAATTAATACTGACTTAATTCTGTTAAGATATAGTAATTTTACACAGGTCTCTTTCTCCCTCACTTTCTGCTATTATTTCATATGTATGGCATCTATATCATATAATGCTACAATGTTGTACTCACTGTCTTAAGTCTTTGAAGAAAACAGACACACAGACCATCTTTAATAGTTACCCACGTATTTATCCTTTCTGGAGCGCTTCCTTTCTCCCTGTGAATTCAAGTCACCCTTTGGTATACCAGCCCGGACCCAAAGGCCAGGTCTCTGTTTATCTGGGAATGTCTGCATTTCACTATCATTCCTGAAGGATAATTTTGCTGGATATAGAAGTTGTGGTTGAAATTTTTCCCCTGCATTTTGAATATGCCCTTCTACTTCCTCCGGCCTCCACTGTGCCTGGTGAAATGTGCTGTTCCTCTCTCATAATGAGTGCTTTTCTCTTGCTGCTGTCAAGTCGCTCTTATTGTCTTGTCTTCCAGCAGCATGGCAATAATGCATCTCAGATTTGTGAGTATCTGTTTGTTTTTCCGCACCAGGGGGTCTGCTGAGCTTGCTGGATGGGCAGATTAGTGCTTTTCAGCATATCTGGGGTGCTGCTGGCCACGATTTCTCCAAACACCCCCTCTGCTCTCTTTGGGGACAACCATCACCGTATGCTGGTGCCTCAGTGCTGCTGTCTAAGTGCTGCTGTCTCTGCAGTTCCATTCGCTCTTTCTCGGTATTCTGCACCTGTTCCATAGCTGGATAGTATCCACTCTCCAACTTTAAAGTCACTGATATTTTCTTTGACCTTCACAAATCACCATGAAGCATACCTGGTAAATTTTTCATTTTGGTTATTTACTTTTCAACACCAGGACTTTGGTTCTTCTTAATCGTTTCTATTTCTTTACCGATACTCCCTCTTTGTCGAGTCACGGTCATTATATCTTCTTTTAATTCTTTGAAAGTACAGTAGCTGCTTTAAAGTCTGCAGTAAATGCAACATCTAGTCCCACTTAGTGACAGTGTCAATGGACTGCTTTGCCCCCTCACCCCCAGTCATTTCTCATATTTGCTTAAACCTGGCGCTATCAAATAACATAATACTTCATTTGGGGGCAATTTTGACAATACATTGACTGTCGTTTTACTCCTGAGCACTGCTGTTGTACTGTTTTTGTATGTCTCTTAGCTAGGACTCAGTCTGCTGAGGCTCTCACCCATGGTGCTGCAGCAGCTGAAGTGTCTGCTCAGTTTCTGAAATCCTAAATTTCTGCCTTCAGCCTGGCTCTAGGGGTCATTCCTGTGTCTTCAAATCTTAGCCGTTGGCTGATAATTAGTGCTTGTGCTCAAACACCTCTAGCCAGTAAAGCCTCTGCCCTTTGCTGATGGACCACATGTGGCTGGAGCTCACCTGAAATTCAGTAGTTTCCAAGTCGGCCCCAGCCCTTCCTCTCAGCTTCCCCTGAGCATGGATGCCCCCTCCTGGCAGCCAGGGCTGTGCGCAGACCCTCTCACACCCCTCCAGGCCCCGACTACAGACCACGTCCTCTGCTAGGGTGAGCCGAGGCCTTCTCTGTCAGCCAGGGCGCTGGCTTCCTGCCTGCACTAGGATCAGGTCAGTCGCCTCTGGTATCAGAGCTGCGGTGGTCCCGGCCAGCCCTGCCCAAGGGAGTTACTCTGCCCAGGAAGGAGGGTGGAAGTAACCCCAGGAGGAAACACCACAGAGCCCCACTGCTCCTATTCCAAGGTCAGCAGGTTGGGTTTATTTTTAATGCGTCTCAAAATGCTGTTCACTTCTGGTGAAGCTGAGGGTCCTGCGATGGTTTTGACAAACTCCTTCAGTTTTACCGCTACTCTGGGGGTGAGAAAATTTGTGGACCTTTTCGCTCCTCAATAGCTGGAAGTTCCGCCAATGAAAATGGGATTTTGCAGGCTAGCTCAGACGCACCACAGCTGCAGAGGCCCATCAGCACCTAGCTCAGGCCTGGAAAACCCACACCTGGTGAAGCACTGGCGGCAAGAAGACTGCCGGCCTCGCCGGGGAGTGTGAACTGAGCCTGGCACTGGAAAATCGTCTCTACCCTTGCTACTCTAGTAGGAAAATTGGAAACCACTTGCTTTATCAGCAACAGACACTCCTGGCATCTTCAGACAAGACTCGGTGTCCCTCCAGTTGTTCCGAATGCCACAGAACCCCCCTTGCCGGCACCCTAGGACAGAAACCCCAGATTCTAGCATCTGCCCAAGACATTGGCTCGGAGCACACTCTTAACTCCTCCCCAGAGCCCTGCAGGTATCTACTGCTCCCAGCCGAACTCTGCCGCCCCGGGGCCGGGGACTGGTGGGTGATGCCCTGCCTTGGCCAGGTGTTTCTCAGCTGGAATCAAGGGAGCTCAACGAGTTGCAAATACAATAAAAGACATGAGGGATTTTGTTTGTGCCTTCACAGAAGCCTTATTCAGGAGGCAGCAGCAGCAGGCATTGGGCTGCAGCGAGGCCAGATGCTGTGGTGGCACCAGCAGCCACGCCCCTGTCCCTGCTCTGCTCGCAGGTGACAGAAATACACCAGTCACCCAACGACTGTCTTGCTTTGCACCCACACCTGGCTCAGTAGCACAGTGAAGTCAGTGAATGGTTCTTTACCAAGAAAACTTTTAGAGTTAACTCAAGTATACAAATAAAATCGGGTTTTGACTGTTGGTTTTAAGCAAGATTAATTTCTCTTTCAAAATACAAGACTACTGTAGTTTACACCCACGACTGAGGGCCTGTGGACTCCAGATCAAAGTATCATCTGATTCAGCCTCTCCAAGTAAGTCAGTAACTAAGCAAGAAGAAAAATTCAAAAGCTTTCAGCAACATCAGCAACTACTCCTGGCAGACAGAGCACCGCCGGATGGCGAGCAGCCGAGAAAGACACTCATCCATCAAATGCGTACAGGTTTCACCCCAGTGTAGCTGCCACCAAAACCAGGACCCCCGGTGGGGTGTCTGGAGGAGCCCGTCAGTGCCCCTGCCCTTCCCTGGGTCAGGGCCTGCGGCATCCGTGACCAGGAGGTCTGGGCCCCTGTAGGGTAAAGAAAATGTCAGGCTTTTCTGCCCTTCCGCCATCAGGATAGATGATGGATCCTTGTCCTGAATGCATGCCTGATGGCGGGCACCTGGAATAGGGTGTGGGCATAGGTAGATGGGATTCAGCTGAGCTAAGACTGTGCTTTTTTTAAGGGCGGCCTCACAGGGACGCCAGCAGCAGCAGCAGTAGCAGTAGCAGCAGCACCAGCAGCAGCAGCAGCAGCAGTAGAAGCCGAAGCCGAAAGAGAAGCCGAGAAGCAGCAGAACCAACGCCAGAGAGCCCAGATAGAGTGAAGACTTGCTGGGGGCTGGGAGGCCTACCAGCCCCCCAGCCAGCACCCCTGCCTTGCACGTACCCGCTGAACCCCAAATAAAAAACCTGCAAAACTACTGAGGACTCTGACTCCTCCTTTGCCCGGTCTGCATGGGATCAGAGAACCTGCACTGTGGCCAGTTCCGGCCCTTACAGCCCCTCAGCCTGTTCTTCGGGGGCTGCAGCCTGTTCCCCTCACACCCACACAAGAGACCGCTCCCCTTTCTTCTCACCATTTCTTTAGGGAGAGAAAATACAAGGTAAAGAGCAGAAAAAGAACAATGATTCAATTAATTCTCCAAACTGCCCTCAAAAGCAAGGGCAGCGCGGAGGACAAAGTACATCGTGGCTCCTCTGACCGGGCACCAGCTCAGCTGCAAAGGACCCGAGAAGCAGGGAGAGGAGGGGCCGCCGCGAGGCGGGCGTGGGGCGAGAGGGGAGGCGGGGCGGACCGCAGCTGCCTCCCGCCACAGGCTCGAGCGCAGAAACCTTTCAGCTGTGTCTAAACGCACCTTCCAGCCACTCGCAGGGCCTGGCAGGTGCCGGGGGTGCCGGGCTGGACGAGGCCCGCGCCAGTCTGCTCAGGTTCCACGTCCCGGAACGAGGCCCCGATATTGGAGCACGTCCATGTCTTCCCATCGCGCAGCGGGCGGCGTGTAACCCTCTCAGTGGCACAGAAACAAGAGTGCCCCGACAAGGAGGCGCATACTGAGTGCGCCACAGAGTGCTGGGGGGGGGGGGGGGCACCGGGCCTCGCTGTAAGCTGAGGCGGGTATTGTTATTACTCCTAAGTCACAGCAAGGACCCGGCGGGGGGACGGGCAGGGAAGCCAGGCCACAAGGCAGGTCACAAAGCTGCCCAGCGGCCGCAGCCAGCTACACATCTGTCAGCACCAGGAGAGAGGGGCAGGCCCGTGGGGTGAAGGTGACCGAATCCAGGGGGGCTAGGGGGCTGGCTGCGGAGGTCAGGGGTGCAGAGCTCCGTGACCAGCAGGAATTCAGGCGGGGGCGGGGGCGGGGCTCCCCACACACAAAGGCGCCAGGGCCCAACAGTAGGGCCTGTGTGGGGAGCCACAAACAGCCCATTATGACCATGGGCGAGCACTGGGGCGGGCAGAGGTGCAGGGGCCGCGGCTGCCAGGCCAGAGCGCCAGGAAGAGCTGCAGCGGAGCCGGCAGATCCCCACAAAGACTGGGAGCGGAGCAGGGACAGACGGGGCCAGGCCACCAGCAGGCACACCAAGGGGCAGGAGTGAGACGGGAGCGCGGGACACAGGGCTGCGGACAACAACAGCTCGAGGTCCAGGGGTGGCAGCAGCTACCAGCGCCGCATGCACATCAGGCGCTGCTCGGAGCACCTCACAGCCTGTGACCCAAGCCGCCAAGAGGCCGCTGAGTAACTCTCCCTGCCACCCTGCACACCTGGGCGCTGATCCCCTCCCTCTCAGCCTCCAAGCCTCACAGCCTCACTCCCCTTACCAGCAACGCTAGTCTGCAAGTCTCCTGCTCGCTGCGCCGCCTGCTGAGGGACCGTCCGGGGTGCGTCTGTGGCTCTGACGTGCTGACCGCAAACCCCACTTTCATTCAGGACCCAACCCCGATCCATCGAGGTTGTTTCTTTGCAATGACACATTCTCAAGGCCACAGCGCACAGTACTTACAGGCAATCTCAGGCCGTGGCCTCGGCCGGCCTGGTGGAGGTAAAGGGAGCTGCAGCCCCAGCACACCCAGGCCAAGCCAGCTTCACGCCAGCCCTCCACACCCCTCCCAGGCTGCCGCCGCCACATACAACTGGGCAGTGCCTGGCAGACAGTAACTGCTGAAACACTGACAGTTATGAGAAGATAACACTAAAAATCCATGTCAGCACCACTTAGGGTTTCCGAGGCAAAACCCCACCTGCAACGCAGCGACTGCTAAGGGCCTGCGCCTGTACCCCGGCCACCGACAGGTTTTCAGCCACGGAGAGAACCGAGGAAAAGCCCCAGTTTCCTTCCTGCCACATTTTATGTTCTCTCAGGGGATCATGGGGTGTCCTGAGAGTCCCTGCTGAGCCACTAACCACCACTAATTAACTTCATGAGGACAAACCTTAAGCAACTCGAGGCTTTTGCCAGCCAGGAGGTGTTCCCTGGCTAGGGCAATCTCACCAAGGACATTATTATCTGGGGACCCGTACCACAGAGGTCTCGTGGGTCCTGGAAAACAGTGAAAAGGGACCCCTGCGCCCTCTGGCCTCCAGGTCACGGTGGTGGAGATGAGGCCACCTCAGCTGCCAGGGGCCTCCCCCACCCGTCCTGCTCCAGGGCCCAAGTCCACAGGGAGACAAGCAAGTGGTGAGGGAGGCGGAGACACGAGCAGCTGCCTGTCACCCCACTACGCATGTCGCTAGAAGCCAGCAGCACGAGTGCCTATAAACCCCCACAAACAGATGGAAAGGAGAATCCCAGGCGAGTCCACCTGCACGCACTCAACAGAACAGAACGGAGTGGACAACCTCGCAGAGGGCGCACGTCTCCGCTCAGCGCCCAGGTCCCCTTCCCCGGAGGGCCCTCGGCTGTTCAGTGTTCCTTCTCATCCGTCACTCTTCTAATCCTTCCTGAACATCTGTCTGCAGTGGCGCCCCAATGAGAAGAGGCAAAATCGAGAAGTGGGCCCGGAGCCTGCCCTGTGGCGTCCCCTTCCGTGCGGCCCTTCATGAGATTTAACGGTTCTCACTGAGCCAAAATCCATAGGCCATAAAACCAACCCAGCTTCAGGGATGTGATTCAGAGAGTTGTAGTGAAATCATACACTCACTTTTGCCATCAACACCGCAATCCAGTTCCAGAGTCTTCCCGTACCACGAGGTCTCCCCGTCTCCACCCCCGGCCAAGGCTCCCGGCGCCCAGACCACCCGACAGGTCTGTCCTCAAGCCCACGGGGTCCCGCAGCGCTCCCGCTGCCAGGCTGGGCTGAGACTCGCCGGGTGCCACCTGCGACCTTCACTGCTCAGCGACACGCCAGCCTCTGGACATGCCGCATGTCGCGGACCTACTGACCAGCCAAGGGACGCTGCGCCGGCCCCAGCTCAGCTCTTGTGAACAACACGGCTGCAGCGTCCACGAGGGCCCAGGCAGGGAGTCACACTAGGACAGGCCGCATTCTGCCAAGTGTGAGTGTGACTTTTTAAGGAACTGCACGATTCTGTCCCTAGTGGCTGCAGCACCTCGCTTTCCCACGAGCAGCGGGGAGAGCTCCAGGTCCTCCACATCCTCGCCAGCCCTGGCCATTGCACCCGTGTGGCGTGTCACTCCATCGCCCCAGCGACTGACTTGCCGAGTCCAAGCCAGCGACCACTGGAGTTTAAGCGAGCAGGGCGGGTTTTCAGTGAGAGGATCATGGTTTCCTATTAGCCAATTAAAAGGCTCACCTCTTTTTAAAAATCAGATACCAGATGCAGTATCACTCCGAAGCTGACATTTACAAAACAGGTTAAAAAACAGGGTCATAACAGCGCAAACATCGCTTCCCCTGAAACACCCGGGATACTCACGCCCTTGTAAAAGCCACCGACACCGAGGCCTCGTCTGGTCTGCTCCGCGGGGAAAGAGGCGGCCAGTGCTGGTGGCGGCCGCATAAACCCAAGGTGGCGCGGAAGGCGCCACTGTCCCGGGACCTGCACCTTTGGGTTCTGAGGCCCAGCCTGCCCCACCTCGCGTCCTGCCGCCCACAGGGCCTGCCAGGTGCCCTGCCCAGGAAGCCCGATGCCCTCACGCCCAGACGCACATCACTGGCCCCACCCGCTCCCCTGATACCCCACGGGCAGCTAAACACTGGGCCGGAGCACCCTGCCTGAAGTGCCTGGCCCTGAAACACACTGTGGCTGCCACAGTGTGGGTAACACCTCCTGGCATCATGTCAGGAGCCCCAGGTAGCTGCCGCGCACCCTCCCCAGTGCAGGGGACAGTCCTGCGGGGGATGGTCCAGACAGGGCCATGAGCAGCGTTGGGGCCAAGACCAGCACACACCCGCGATTTCACATTTGTACTTAGGACAGTTCTTGAAAAAAGTATCACAACTTAGAATGATCTTAATGCAATAAAACCTCATTTTGGTGCAAATGCACCATCGTGACGTACTCACGTGCGAACGGCAGCACTTACTTGTGCATGCTCTCCACGCCGACGAGCACCATGATGCAGTAGGAGACCCCGCTCTGCACCAGGAAGTGCAAGGCGTACCTGCAAGGGGTGGGTGCGTCAGCAGGGGCCGCTCGGAGACCACAGGCCCTGGCAGCTGCACAGAGGAGAACAGCTGGGCTCGGGGGAGGCAGCACTGCCACTGCCAGGAGGGCGCCCCGCCCCGGTCCCTGCCCCCGCCCAGGTAAGCCCAAACTGAGGCGATAAAAGGTAAAGCCCATCTTCCAGAGCTGGAGTGCACGCAGGTCCACGTGCCTCTGCAGGAAACTCCGGAGTAACAGAGCAAGCCCGCGTGATGTGTCTCTCCAAATGCAGACACAGAGCCCGAGAATGTCACTGAAAGAAGATGAAAATGGGGACTCACCATCCAAAGCAAAAAAGTGCAAGATAAAGGCCCAAGAGGGTGGCGACGACATGTCTTATAAAAGAGCTGGTTTTGCTGGAACGAAGGTAAGTCCGAAACCACACGGCTGCTAGCAAGGCGAAGAGCTGGCACACGACGAAGTTGACCTGCGGCGAGAGGGGAGAGCGTGTTAGCAACGCAGCCCTGACAGCCTCCTTCTGGTCACATTTAAATTCTCAGGACAAAAACACGAAGGTTATAGAAAATTAAAGACTTTCCAGTTTAAGAAACCAAAAGAAAAAGGCCAGGGGCTTCCCAGAGGTGACAGAGACAAGTTCGGGGGGATGGGCACACACCCCCCCCCCATCTGTGCTACAGGGTCAGGTAGACCAGCATGGGGAGGCAGAGGAGCTTCTGGAAAACTGCAGGACACAAAAGTGCCAAGTGCAAGTGCCTGTGGCTGACGGAAGCAGACGTGTGCCCACGACCCAGGCAACCCTGTCACTCTAGGGGAGCAGAGATCCCCGTTCTGCGAAGCCCTCGGGGTCAGGGCCTGGCCAGGATCCCAAGGACCTGGAGACCGCGACCTCTCCCTCCACAAGGGAGAGGACCAGACCCAAAGCCATGGCGACAGCAGGAACCAGACACCTTGGCTCTGGGGGTCTCGGGGACTGGTCTGGGGGATGACCAGGTCCCAAGGAGAAGCTGCCCTCAGAAAACACCCACTCCCCAACATGAACTTCACACGTCCTTCCACACAGACCACGGGCTCGCAGGCAGGGACAACGCCCACGCAGCCTCTGCCCCCACCACGGAGGCAGGGCAGGAGCAAGGCCACAGGCCCGAGAACAAGCCCATCTCCCTCTCGGGAAGGACGGCCTCCGGGAAGGTTACGGAACGTGTCTCGAAATCCGTTAGAAAGAATCCATGTGACATTAGCAACTTGCAAGAAACAACAAAATCCTGTCTTGGCCCCTGGATGGTGAACACCTCGCACCACGGGCTCCACGGCCCGGGGCCAGCGCTGGAGGCCAGGGCGGCTGCGTGCTGCCGCTCGCACCGCAAGGCCCAACAGTCGGGCGTTGTTGCATGTTGTCTGAGAGGCCACTGTTCTCCAAACAGACTTGACACAAGCAGAATCTCTCCAAAAGGCTCCGAGCACTTTTTTGAATAGCACTTTTTAATGAAACACAAAATAAATGCATCAGAAAAATGAATACTGTAATCGAAAAAGCTTCTTACAGTTAAAAGCTTTCCTTCAAATAGGTCTTATTTCAACCAAAAAAAAATTTTTTTAAAGACTTATTTATTTATTTATTTACACAAGCACTGGGTACAGTCAGAAGCGCGGGAGGGTGAGAGAATTCACCAGAGCCAGAGCGGGGAGCAGAACAGGCAGATGACAGAAGTACCCTGCTGAGGGGAGCAGCGGGTGGCAGGAGAGGTCTGAGCACCATGTGGGACCCTCGCCGGTGGCCGGAGATTGAACCGGCGCTGCAGAGGCTACGGGCAGCTTCGCAGTCCAGGGCTCAACCGCTGCGCCACCAGGGAGGCCCTCAACAAAAATTTAGGGAGCATCTGCTCCAGGCTCAGCATGGGCAACCAGAAACACGGAGGCCCCAGAGCGCTCCAGAGGCCAGGGTCACCTCACATTGCCACGGGCCTCCTAGGTGGGCCACGAGTTTGGTGCGAGCAGCTAAAGTGCAATGTCCAGAGCAGAAGCAGAAAACCACATCTGCAGAGGAGGAGACTAAGGTTCGGTGCTCAGGGGGCCTGAGTCACACGGCCCAGCAGACGCCCGCACACGGTCCACGTGTGGGCAGGACGGACGGCGCGGGAGAGGCGGGCCCGCCCTGAAGGACAGGAGGGACAGGCTCGGGAGAACGAGGCGATTCTAGTGCGAGGAGGGAGCAGCGCAACTCACTGCAAGAAAAAAATCTGTAGGACATCGGGAGTGGGGGAGCCCAGACCACCTGTTCCTTTACATAGGAATCTCACAAAGCAGCTTTCCCTGCACACCTGGACGCTGAGATGACCACCGGACAGCCTCGGAGTGAAGCCAGATGCAGGCAGGCCCTGGTGGGGGGGTGAGGAGGAGCCCCTGGAATGCGGGGCATGAGAAGGAAGTGGTGGGCAAGGTGGACCGTGAGGTTTTGTGGAGCAACAGAGTTCATCATGACGTGCGTTTGCCGAGCTGGGCCTGTGTGGCGGAAAGGGCTGTGGGAAGACAGGGCTGAGCCGCAGGGCCTTCCGGAGACTCGGCGCTATGAGTACCTGGGCTGAGAATGTCTTTCCAAAAGCAAAAGTTTTCTCTATCACATTGCGGGGTTCCCGGTTAAACCCAAATGCCGGCCAATGCGGGTTGTTTTATTTAAAACAACGTAAGCAGCTGCGCTGAAGTACAACGGACACACCACAAACTGTCCTTCAAGTGTGAAGTGTGTTTTGCTGTGCCCACAGGGCAGAACCATCAGCACGACAGAGACGCGAATGTCTCCACCCCAAAGTTTCCTAGTGCCGCCCATTCCTCACCCTCTCCTGCCCGGCACCTCCGGGCAATCACCAGGCGGCTTGCTGTCATTATAGGTGAGTTGGCATTTTCTAGAAATTGATGCCAATAGAATTGTGTAGCAGACGCTCTTCAGCTTTCTGGGTTTTCTCCCCCAGTGTGACTCCGCGTCCTCCCTCCCGCGGAGCAGGCGCCCGGGGCCTGGTACCCGGGAGCGCGCCGGCCATTGTGAGTTTAGACTTCTCAGCCCTCTTCTCCCCAGCAGCTCCTTGGATGTGCTGGTTCTGCTCGGAACACTTGAAAGACTAGCACACACACGCGCCTCGCTCCTTCCCCTGTCTCCCTCCCGGTAAAGCTGGGGTAGCTCTTTGTTCTTACGTGGCCCCCACGTGGCCCCTCCTGCTGGGGAGGCTGCGAGCGCATCACCTGGTCACCCGCCGGGGCCTCTGGCACGTGCCGAGGACGGGCGGCAGGTCGGCCCTTTGTGTCTGTGCCCGGTGTGGTACTTTGGGACGTGTGTGTAGCGAGTTTATTTTTAATCTGGATTAAATTTATTTAAGCCTTTCCTGGAGCTTCATAATTTAGCAGCTGTGGCTGTAATTAATCTAGCACCTTCTAATTTCATGGGCAAATGTACATAAATCCTTTGTCACTTAGTTCACGAGAATCTTCGTGGGTGGCTGGGGCTGAAACTAAGGGCGGTGAGCGAGGGGAGGCTCCGTCCCCTGGAAGGCAGCAGACAGCCGCTTTCATCCAGGCGGGGCTTTGATAATCACTTGCTTTCTGCTTCTGTTTTGGTGCATGTGGAAAGGTTGCTGCTTCTTGGTCTCTATGGCTGATCTGAAAATACACTTCAGGATCTGTCAGTTAATAACTCCCGGGAGTCTGCCTGTTTTTAATGACATCAAATTTAGTGAGGAGTAGGAGGTGATGGTGTCTGGGCTCTCGCCCTGCATTTCCCTGGGCGTTTTGCTGCAAGAGAGGAGAGGGCTGTGCCCGGGGGAAGGGGGGGGCACGGGGGGGGGGCTGTGCCCCAGAGGTGGACAGGGCTGTGCCCCGGGGGGAGGACAGGGCTATGCCCGGTGCTGCTCCCTGTGGAGCGGCTTCTTGCCAAGACCCAGTGAGTCCTGACTGGGGAGGAAGGTGGGGGGGCTGAGACGGGCGGTGGGGTCATCCCGGAAAGCAGGTCCCAGCCCCTGATCAGCGGGGTCTGCCTTAGTCTTCTCTGTCAACTTCGGGGGTTCAGAAGCGTCCAGGTCTGTTTTTCCTTCCGCCTACACAGTGTTTCCTGAACGTGGAGTCGAATGTCTCTTTCTGCTTATACATTTATTTTTTCATGTCCACTGAGGAAGTTTCTTTTTTTTAATGGCGGTAACACTGGCTTACGTTTTTGTTGGCTCTGGAGTTTCTAACTGTAGCCATGAATACTAACAGCTCAGAACCCCTTGCAAAGACGGAGCATAATGCTAGCTGTTATGTTCCTAACGGTCCACTCTCCTTGATTTTAAGCAAGCTCAAGGCATGATTTTCCCACTTTTTTTCACTAACTTAAAAGCACAGATGTAACCAGAGAGAGGCTCCACTTGGTGTGGGTAGGAACCCAGAGGCGAAGTCTGTTCCCGGCCTTGACAAGTTCACAGTCTCAAGGGAAAGTCAGCCTGTGGCCTGGTGAGAGACGGGCGCTCTCTAGAAGTGGTTTAAAAAGTGTCCTGGAGTCCAGGGTCTGCTTAACCTGGCGTCTGCCTGGGGGGCTGCACGGAGGTGACCACGTTTGCTGCCAGGGGCTGGAAGAACCAGGCTACTGGGGGTCCTGGTGGATGGGGACCCACCGGGAGTACAGCTGATTGTCCAGCCTGAATCTGTGCAGTGCTAGTCTGACTGCACTCTGCTGCTCCCTCCTCTTGGAGGCCCAGCCATGGTCTGACCATGCAGATCCTTGTTGCCTTCACAGCACTTGCGAGACCCAAAACCAGCTGCTCCTGGAGCTGAAGCCTCCCGGGGTCCTCTGGGTCTGCGCCACACTTTTCCACAATGTCTGCTGTAACTCAATGAACGTCGGATTTTCAGGAAGAAAGGGTGTTAGAGAGCACCCAGTCCAACATCCCGATTTAAAGAAGGAAACACAAACCCCCCTCCAGGGGGGCTCGCCCCCTCCTGCCTCTCCCCTGGGCTCACAAACCTCCTCCCTTGGGGGTCGGCTAAGTCTCTGGAACGCCCTGCGGCTCAGCCCCACCTTCCCCCAGCTCTTTCCTCCACACAGGCCCAGCTCAGCAAACGCACCATCATGAACTCAGTTGCTCCACAAAACCTCACAGTCCACCTTGCCCACCACTTAGTCTCACGCTCCACGCTCCTGAGCCCTGCATTCTGTCCCAATCACGACTGCCACCACCGTCTCCTGCTGGCTGACTGCCTGCAAGGTGAGTGTCACACGCCGCGGTCACACGTGACCAAGCCAGCGTCCAGCTGCCGGGCAGTCACGCTCGTGCCTCGTCAACGCTCAGCTCCTCCTCTGCCCGCAAAGCAGGCCCCGCACCAGCCACGTCCCCGCCACTGGCTCCCTTTAGCCACGCTGATGTCCCACACACCAAACTCATCTCCACCCCAAGGCCAAAGCCCCGCCCCCAGCACCTGGAATGCGCCAAGTGCAGCCACGTC